TTTGCTCAAGAATCTTGCTGAAGTCACAGAAAGGAGCTACTTCCAGTCAGTTCCGGTGCCTATCTTGTTTTGGGGGCTAGCTAATGATTCTTCAGGCAGTCATGTCATGTCACATTTTTCTGAAGTGACTGATTAGAAGTAACTGATGTGGTTACAATAGAGGTAATCTGATATAATATAAAATAGTCCCTGTTCATTCTATATATATTTGTATCAAAGTTGTTTAAGGTTAAAGAGAAGGACAAAGAACAGTAATAAGACAATAAGATGGTTGAAGGGATTTTTCTAAATAGAGATGCTCAGAGCAAAGTTCATAATGTGTTGCAAAGGTAATAAAAAAAGAGTTAGCCACTCATTTCTCAAATGCTATTTTGGACAGCTGTGGACTTCACCACTACACAGAGACTACAAATAACGTTTACTTTTTTTTTGGAAAGTAACCTCTGTCCAGAGAAGAATAAACTGACAGTATCCAGTCCAAGGGAAAGCTCCTAAAACTAGATTTTCTCCTTTATTGTGTTTAGCCCTTGTTTATTTTAGGAAGGCAAATTAAAAAGTCACAGGCGTTTAATGTTCCCCATAAGAGCCTTTGCTGGACCTCCTTTTTAAACCTGTGAATATATAATATTATCACCTTTGCAAAATGGATAACTATCCGTCTTTGTGGACAGAAAGGTGAACACTGCATGAAGTCCAGCTCTCCAGAATGAAGATTTCATCTATGCCCAGAAAGCTCCCTTGGTAGTCAAATAAATTGCTACATATTTGTGACTAAAGTTTCACCTGTTGTGTTGATAATTATAGGATAGAGCTGAAACTTCTGCTTTGATTTAGGATCACTTTGGAAATCTCTGGGGAACCGGCCCCATCAACCTCCTCTGTAGGAGGAATTCTGTATGCATCATCTGTGCCTCATTCGCAAGGCACAGAGTTGCAAAGTTCTGGTCTTCAACTTGGAGTTGTCTTTCATCACTTGGTGGTGGGTATTGTGGCTTGGCCCCTGCATAGACTAAGCTTCAGTCAGTAGTACTACTGGTTTGAGTGTGACTCCATCAGAGACATGCATTTTGTTCTATTTCTGCTACGTCATTTTTACCTAAAACCAAGGTCTGAAGCAGCTTGGATTGTAAAAAACAAAACAACCTTTCAAGAAATACAGTGGTACCTCGGGTTACATATGCTTCAGGTTACAGACACCGCTAACCCAGAAATAGCGCTTCAGGTTAAGAACTTTGCTTCAGGTTAAGAACAGAAATCGTGCTCCGGCGGTGTGGCAGCAGCAGCAGCAGCAGGAGGCCCCATTAGCTAAAGTGGTGCTTCAGATTAAGAACAGTTTCAGATTAAGTACGGACCTCCAGAACGAATTAAGTACTTAACCCGAGGTACCACTGTATCAAAGTGGAATAACAATTCAAGGAGGAAGATTAAAACCATAATTTAGGATTGATAGATGAAGCCAGCAATCAAGAGGCACTGTTCAGCACATGTATGCCTGTTTTGCATGCAATGCAAAACCATAATTCAGTGCTATGTTCATGAGAAGGATTATCACACCTTGACCTCTCCTCCAGTGACCTTTCCTCCAGTGTGGCTGAGGAGAGGAAATTGAACAGCTTTGCGCCTGCCTTTTAAATTTCCAGGGTTCTTCTGAGCTCAGGAGAAAAAATCATTTAAACGAAGCTTGGGGAAATGGACCTGACTACAGGACCAGATCCAGAAGTGGCCAGTCCTCCATAGACAAATGTCACCTGACATCACATGCCATCATTGCTTGAATTCAGGCTGTGATTACAAAGGGAGAATTGGAAGTACACTCTTAATAGTCCTCTTGATCCTTCCTTTCTAGCTTGAATTTGATGCTTTTTGAATTTGGTGGTTTTTTTCTGCTGCTCTGCATGGCAACAAAAAAAGTTCCGAATTCAAGCAGTGGATGGAAAGGAAGTGTGATCCTGATTCTTCCTTTTGAATTTGGTGCTGCAACTTCATCTGTTCAGCACCCTCACTGGTTCAAATTAACTACTTCCTTTAGTTGGACATAACCCTGGTTTAGAAACAAATGCTTCCAATTTCCTTCTTGAGGCTGTGTCAGAGTGAGGAGTGTGTAATCCTGAGACCTGCTGCTTCTCAAAGGACTGGTGCATGTGAAACAGGCCGTTTTTGTGTGGCACTGACTCATACTTTGGCCTGGGCCTGTGGCACACTTAGCACTTCTTTTTAAAATCCCTTTTTAGTATGCCTCTTTAAAAATGCAAAGTTTGCTTTCAGTGACATGCAGTAAGTTTTCCCACAAGTACTTTCCTTAGCTCATGGCCTGTACAGACTAATTGATACAGTTCTGTTGCGTTCTAGCTTTTGTTTATTTCAGGAAGACTATAAAAATAAAACCTAAATTCTTATAATGCCATTTAATAACTCCTGTGTGTGAAATGCAAGATAATGAAATGTGCAGTAAGAATTATTCCATTATACCCGCAAAGTGGAAACGAGCCATCTCATTCTCGGGCGTGATGTCAGACTTTAATGTTTGCCAAGTAGGAATTTACTCATGCTTCAAAAAAACACCTGCTACCCCACTGGAAGTATTTAGTGAAAGCCACACAGGCTGCAGTGATGGAAAGGACAAATCTGCCACAATGGCATTTTATCCTCCATGGGTAAGGAGGAATAGAAATGCTTTATAGAAGTTCAAACAAGGAAGGCGGTGAATACTGTGCAAAGAAGGGATAATGAAAGTTTGAAAGCTGGAATATTTGCATGTGTCCAAGTTTGAAAATATGAATACATGTAGCTTTCTTAATACTGAGTCTGATTATTGGTCCATGTACCCCAGTATTGTCTAATATTTTGTTGGAAGCCATCCATAGTGGCTGGGGAAACCCAGCCAGATGGGCGGGGTATGTATGTATGTATGTATGTATGTATATTAATTTTATTTTATTGGATATCTTTACTTGTTAAATCTGGGACCTTCTGCATCAGGGTGGTCCCCCCAGATGTTGTTGTGCTCTAACTCACATCATCCCTGCATAGCCAGAAATCAGAGTTGATGGGAGTTGTAGCCCAGCAACATCTTGCGGGGTGGGGTGGGGGACATAGGCTTCCCATCCCTCACCTACATTCTAAGCATGTGCTCTACCACTAAGCTAAGGCCTACTACATGAATCATAACTGAGACGTTCATGGCTATTTTAAAAGCCCATCAGGACAACTGAGGGGACATGGGAGATTGATTATCTATTTATTTATTAATTTATATATTATTATATTTATTATATTTAATTATATCCTGCCTTTTCCCCTCACAGGGATGCAAGGCGGCTTAAGGCTAAACTGGGAGGACTTGTGTTATCAGTGGAAGCTGTCTTAAGAATGTTCTGTTTTTCAGCATGTCATCATCACATGCATCCCTGTTTGCTTGAGATACCACTTAAGAGCTTGTGACAAACATAGAGCGCAATGCTATGTATATTTTCTGAGAATCTAGCCTGTCAAGGGTTCCTCTCAAGGAAGCATGCACAGGGTTGCAGCTTTTGAAGAGTAGCTTGAAGAGTTTGTCATATTTGTAAGCAAGTGGCGCTTAAACTAGTTTCTCGTGTGAGAATTAAAAGGCAGGTGTTTTGAGAAATTAACTGGATTGGGGAAACTGAGCTGGGTCTGACTGCCAATATCCACAGGGTACATGGTTGTAAATATACATCCTGCGAAACTGATTTCAAATAATTGTAAGTGCATGTGTTCATTTTAATATACCTTTGTATACAAAGTTTTGTGTAATATTTATTGTGTCAGGCATCATCATGTGGAACAAGCCACTGACATTTCAGTGCTCAGGAAGTGAGCCTAACGGCCTGTTCAGACAGTTTCCTTTTTTTCCCCTTTCCCCACCTGATGGAGTTTTTGCCAGTTCTGTTTTTGTTTTCTCCTCATGTGGGGAAGAAAAGTTGAAACTTAGAAACAAGTGTGTGGGTGAAGAAATTACTGCAGAAGCAACAGCTCTGGGGAATGTCTTGGTCTGTCCTTTTAAATGAAAGTCTTGCTCCATGACCACAACTATCTCCACCCAGACCATGTCTAGTCTCTCCCTTCCTTGTTTTCAGCAAAATATGTTTTCAGGATTTTGCATCAACCCTTATGAAATGGATATATTGGAAAGGAGAAGGAGGTGCACTCGGGCATTACTCCATTGTGCCTAGTTACAGCTCTGTGACCTCCTGAATTACTGCCTGTTGTGCAGATTCAGAGGGTTTTAAATAGCAGTCAAGTCAAGACAATCTAACCTTACCTGAAAGGGAGTGCTGTACAAGTTTGTAATCTTTCCATCATTAGACAAAGGTTTCAGACTAGCTAAGACAGTAGGTTTTAGTGGACCGTTTTAGTGGCAGGATGGCTCACAGGTGGAAACATAAAAGGAAAGTTGTTGGGATTGGGAATGGATTGTACTGGACAATGTTTCTGCTGTAAATATGATGCCAAAATATTCTGGGGTGTGTGCGTGTATGAATGAAGCAAATTATCAAACTGGTTTGAGAGGACTTTGCCCTGAAAGGGGTCATATAAGTACAATCAGTAAAAATAATTTTTTAAAAATGATATCACTGGATTTTGAGTAAGCACTTGAAATCTACCTTTCGTTCTGTATTTCAAGCTCAGCTGAGATCACGGCTACCCCCAACTTCCAAAATTATTAATTATCCCTTTATGCAATTGTTCTTGCTTCCTGGAGATAAAGTGAGCTCCAAACGGGTACAAGCTACTGAAAAATACATTTTAGGGCATGGACATCTTGAAAGCAGTGCTAAGATTAGAAGAATGGATGAACTGGAGAGTTAGAAATAACAGTTTACCTTTACTGCTTAAATGCTATTTTGGGATGAAGGCTGTTCATTTCTAGTATTTATATTTTGCTGTGGCTAGTTAAGCAGGCTTCTGAGGTGGCATACACCAAATAACCATGAATTCAGTTTGATTACAGCATGGCCTTTCGTTCTTTCTGCTTTCAGTTTGAAGTAACAGAACATTGAACCAACGCCTGGAATTTTTGGAAGGAATATTCTGGTACTAGCTGGTAAGTTAATAGATGGTTAGCAAAAAATGAAGCTTAAGCATCTCAGCTTACTGTGTTGAACCTTCTGGTAGTCCACATCTGCAGAATGTGAAGGTATGGGGAAGGGCCACACCTCAGTGTTAGAGCATGGAGTTTGCATGTACAAAGCCTGCAGTTCAGTCCCTGGCATCTCCAGGTATGACTGGGAAAGAACCCAGCCTTAAACCCTGGCGAACTACTGCCAGTTGATTAGCAAAAGACAGAAGGGTGTGCCCCCATTTGTGGCATATTTCTGTGCACAATTGGAGGTATTCCATATGATTACGAAGGCAGAAATAGGGAGTAGCAGCTTGTTCTGATTAATCTGGTGGTAACCTTGTTATGGAGCTATTCATTTCGCTTTTCAGTTGAGCCAGCTATGTGGACCAAAGAGCTTTCCACTCTTATCTGCTTCATCCTGTAGCCCAGGGATCTGCAACCCGCGGCTCCGGAGCCGCATGTGGCTCTTTTACACCTTTGCCGCGGCTCCGGGGCGGATACTAGCGAGGGGAGGAGGCGCATTGTGCGCCCCGACACTCCCCCACTGTGGCGGGCGCTGTACTGGCTGTGACGTCGCATGGGGGCGGTGCATGCGTTAGTCACGCACCGTCCCGACGTCACCTTCCCGCCCGCCTGCCTGCTACATTGTAAGGGGCATGTACGCTGGTCACTGCATTGAAAGGGGGCATGTTTTGAAGGGGAGTGAAGAACACACACACACACACACACACACACAAAAAGGTAACTTGTTAATTTAACGTTTATTTCTATGAGGAGGAGTAATTCTGAGGGGTCAAACAAAGAAATAATAAAAAAGTGACAAAGAAGTTATTTTTATAATGACGAGTTTTGCGGCTCCCAGGTTTTTTCCCTTCGGAAATGGGTCCAAGTGGCTCTTTTTGTCTTAAAGGTTGCAGACCCCTGCTGTAGCCTCTACTCCATTCAGTCTCCAGTTAGGAAGGACTGACATAGGCTTTGTACGTGAAGCTGTTATGATTCTGCCCCCTTCTAATCTTACTTTGTTCTGTATTGTCTTGGATTATGTCATGAAGTATGGATAGGCATTAGGTGAACATGACAGCATTGCCTGTGGTAATATTTCAGTTGCGAGCATAACTGCCATGAACACGTGTGTGTGATGCACCATTCAGTGTGAATGGAATTTCACAGGTGTGGGCAGGGTTAGCCCCACCTTCCACACAACAGATAGCTTCAGCAGTGCATGGTCTGCATGCTATGTTGGAGAGGCAATCAAGCTGCAAATCTGAGCCATACCAGTCTCTGCAGTCCTGTTGCACTTACAGGCTCAGAAGTTCTTTGCTACTCAGTAAGAATCAGAGTGCCTTTTAGGAAAGCCATGTTGCCGAATAGATGCTAGTAGAAAGCTGCCAAAAGACTTCATAAATGAGTTATTATTGAATTTAATCAGACTGCCTTTCCCATATCACCTTGTCCACTGCATTGGATATAGAGGAGGCCCCTCTCTATGTCCCATCTTTGGGGAAGGATTGTTTGACTGGGATGAGAGTGAGGGCCTTCTCAGTCCACTCAGACTGTTCAACACATTGCCCCAAGAAGTCAGGGTGACACACACACACACACACACACACACACACCCCACTTGTTAAAGTTAAAGTTGTTGAATACTTTTTTATTTTTAAGGGCAGGCTTTGCCTTGATGAAGCAGTTTGCTTTATCGGTTCTGCCTTTTGCTATTGTATTGTATTCTACGGTATTTGTGTTTTGTCTTGGTGTTGTAGTTTTTATTGTGAAACTGTGAACTTGCTTGTTGTAAGCTGCATTATATTAAAAAAAAAATACAAATATTTGCAAGCTCCAGTTATTAGGCAGCTCTGATCCCTTAATAGCTAAAAAGTTAAACAGCAGTGTTTTTAGTTAAATTCTCTTCCTAATACAGTTTAGTCAGACCAATCAATCAAATGTTTATTAAAGTCAACAAACCATTAAAGAAGCTATAAAAAATGAAATATGAAAAATATGAAATCTCATCCTCTTAGTAGCCAAGGTATTTCTCCCCCCCTCCCAACATATTATGGCCATTAACCCAGGCTCTGAATTTGTTGCACAGAAAGCTGGCACAAAATTTTCCTGTAATAGACAATAAACTCATTATTAGACTTCTTCCCAGGACTTTTCTTCTAACTCAGTATTATAATGGCTTTCTAACTTTTTAGTTAGGCATAATAGGGAGAGTATTGTAAGCAGCCCTGATTCATTTGAGGGCCTAGTTAGGATATCAGCCTTCTAAATAAATAAAGTTAGAACTTTTAGAGGGCTATAGGGCTTCTCGGAAGGCTGTATTTCGTAGTGATATTCCAGGTAGTTAAACATATTGCAGAGCTCTATGTTAATAGGCTAAATGGCAGCCCACAGAACTGCGTGACTTTGTACTTTTCTTGAGGTGACGTTAAAAGTGAATTCATCACCATGGCAGGTGAGCTTGGTTAATAAATAGAACAGCCAGAATCCAAAGAGCTACTTTTGATGTGCCTCAGGAGTTAAGTGCACCCTGCGGGACTTGTTTTTACTTTTATTCTTTGAATGGCAGATTCCAATACCATTTTTTCAGACTCTTCAGAGCTTCAGAAATGGTTTGCTCTGCGGCATGGACATCTGTTATAATGCAAGTTCAAATCAGTCTTTTAAAGAAACCCAGCAACCAAAAATTGAGAACAAATTTGAGTGAGTCAGTTACGCTTTGAAAAAATCAAATGGAGTTAATTAAATGCCTTTGCCTATATTTTGTCGTTTGAACTCTGTTTTCTTACATCTGTACTTGAGTTATTTAGAATCCAAGTGAATATCGGTGACTTATTTTACTAATAGTAAATGTGTTGTCCTGTTTACTCACTTTCTAATTTTGTCTTTCAGATTGTTACATGATATACAGCGCTACAGACAATTGAAAGCAGGGACAAGGCTCTGCCTATTAACCTGGCTCTGTCATGGTAAGCGTACAAATTCTGTTAAGCTTAATCAGCACAAGGCAGGTTGAAGCATGAGAAAGTGGGGTGTGACCCTTGGATGTATACAGTAGGCTGTACTACACTTGGGGATTATATTTCATTCAAAGGACAGAGCTGTTTGAAATGAGCAAGGATTGGTACGGCTCGTTTCTGCCCTGTTGAGTACATAATAAATAGCTGCCAGGTTCCAACAAAGCACCAGAGTTAGGGATTCAAGTTACTTACAGTACTTACTAACTTTTTCTTTCTCTTCCTGGAGAAGGAAAGTGGCTTTGATGTCCCACCCTTGCAGGGTTTTAGGTGTCTAAATCACATCCTTCAGCACAGTTAAAACACAATTTTTGGCACCTTGTGCACCATAATTTAACTCTGTATTTAATATTCATGGGGCATAAATTCAATTTGTCATCACTTTGAAACTAATCTGGAGTTCCATGCACTTAGATTACATTTCTGGGCATCTGACCAGTCCAGGTGTCAAATACAAGGCTGATCTGCTTTCTCAAAATGGCATCTAAAATAAAGGAAAAAATAAAAAGAGTTGCATACTTTCATATGTTTATCATGAAGTGAAAAAGATGTATAAAATATATGTTTTGATACTGTTCCGAGTGAGTTTACAATTAGTTACAGTTGTCAGTTTTTTGTTTTTTTAAAAAAAGAACCACAAGTTTTCTGAAGTAGTGCTGAGATTTCTCAGTGAGTCAGTACCATTAGGCAGGGGAGGGAAGAAAGGGAAGTTTCTTTTGAGTTTTTATTTGTTTTAGTCTATGGTTGTTTTAACTTTTTGTTTTAAAACGTTGTAAACTTTCCTTGTGATAATGTTATTGTTTTATCTTTTTTGTAAGTAGCTTTCAGGGTTTTTTCTACAACCAAGTGGTGCATAAATTTTATTTTTTTAAAAAAAATTGTTTATTGTTTATTTAAAATTTCAAGGCATTCCAGACCTGAGTGATACCTCTGCAGGCAGCAGGTAGAGGGAGGTGCTGCTCAGTTCCTGTCATTTGAGTCAGTTGAGAAAGGGGAACTGGAGAGTAGGCCAGCACTATGAACATCCCTTTGCCCTGATCACCACATTTGTGTGGGCACCAAAAGGCAGCAAGCTAAAGTCTTGTGTGCTCCTGACAAAAAAGTGGTCAGTAGGTGACAAATTTAAAATTAGAGGCTTGTAATAGCAAAGCAGTTCATTGGTGCATTGCAGTGATTCCCCGTGACCCACCCCATCCCCCCAAAAACTCAGTCAGTGAAAAGATTTAGTATGTATGTGTGTATAACTGTTGAAGTAAACTGCATGATCTGTTTTTTTCAGGATGAAGAGACTCAACACAGCCTTGAATGCATCCAAGCTAATCAGATCTTCCCCAGGAAGCAGCTGATCCGTGAGGATGAGAATCTCCAGGTAGTCACCCGACTCTCCTTTGCCCTCGCAGCAATGACACATGGGCAGATCTGATGATGCTATTTCTAGCCAAGATCAGACACTTGATTTATCTTAACTCATGGGACTATTAATTCAAACCCTGTTGCTGCACTTGTGAGCTTGATTGCAAAAGTTATTTAACTGTGTGTTTCTTAATTGGACGTTTTCCTGCAAACCCATCTGTGCTGTCTGCAGCATGTCTCTGAATGCCACTTGCTGATGGGAGGGCTCCTGTGCTCATGTCCTGCTTGTGGGCTTCCCACAGGCATCTAGCTGACCATTGTGAGAAGCAGTCTGCTAGATTCAATAGGCTTTTGGTCTGATCTGTCAGGGCTCTTATATCCTCACTAGGCTTCATCACTTACTTTCAAGGGACCTTCTCTTCCTTCCCTTCACCTTGTTAGAATTAATTCCTCAGCTATACAGTATATATGAAAACCTTGGACTTCTTTGTGTCACACTTTCCTTTCCTCTGTCAATTCTACAATTGTTTATAATACAGAAAAACTTCCTGCTTTCTGAAGTAGCTCCACAGGTTTTATTTCTGTCCATTGCTTATACAGTCGTACCTTGGTTTTCGAACATAATGTATTCGGAAGTCTGTTTGAATTCCGAAACATTCGGAAACCAAGGCGCAGCTTCCGATTGGTTGCAGGAGCATCCTGCAGCCAATTGGAAACTGTGGAAGTTGTGCTGGACGTTCGGCTTCTGAGGCAAAGTTCACAAACTGGAACACCTACTTCCGGGTTTGTGACATTCGAATTCCAAGTTGTTCATGAACTAAGCTGTTAGAAAACCAAGGTACGACTGTATTTCTATCCAACTTGATATTGAACTGAGGTGATGTTTCAGCTCTGTAACAGTCCCTTCTTCTACTGCTGGAGCTACGATTATTTGGGGCGAATCTCCTTTTGGTGTTTTAGATCATCTTTGACTCCCTGTACAGTGTGGAAGGTGGAGACGACTTCTCTACACTTTCACAATGGGCATCTTGCTGAAACAACATGAAAGTGGAAGGCAGCCACTGCCCAAGGGGTCTTTGGTTGTGGCTGCCTGCCATATTAATGTTGTTTCAGCAAGAATCAACTTACTGTGGGAACATTCAGCTGCAACCGCTTCCATCAAAATATGCCCCTCTTAATGTTTTGTGACACAGCTTAAAGCCCTTGTTCTGTCAGGTGTTTACCCAAAGCTTTCTGTGGCTTTTAACAACTACATGCACGTCCTTGTCATATTCCGTCAAGATCCGTATGCTTTGCATTTGAGGTGTGAGTGAGTGAACTCCTTGAGAATCCATCATCAACTTGTTTACATAAAACTTATTTCCCTCCCCCTTCCCCTTTCAACAGGTCCCGTTCCCCGAACTTCATGGGGAGAGCACTGAATACGTAGGTCGAGCTGAAGATGCCATCATTGCACTTTCCAACTATAGACTTCACATCAAATTTAAGGAATCAATTGTGAATGTAAGTCTTCACGTCTGCCCTGGCTGTTCACGGCTAGAGATCTTGCTGGTTATGTGGTTGGGAAATGCACAGCCACCCATTCCTTATATATTGGGGCTCTTATCATGTAATTCATAGATGTAAGTTAGGAAACAACAAGGATCCAGAATGAAGAATTATGTCCATCTCCCTGCTGCTGTTCTAGATAACTAACCTGCAGTTCTTCTTTCCTCATCCTGGTTCAAGGTGGGGAACCTTTGGCCCTCCAGATGCTGCTGACTGCCTAGGATATTGGGAGTTGTAGCTCAACAACATCTGGACGGTCAAAGGTTCCCCACACATGTCCTAGCCCCGCTGCGTTAATTCTTCTTGGTTGCCTTATTAGTATCCTTGATTGAACACCTTTTTGGATTTGCTTCTTGGCAGCTGTAGCTCAGCTGAACAGCGGTAGGTCTTTGGCCCTTGCAAACTTTCCAATCCATTTGGTAGCAATGTATTGAGATTCCTGCTCTGGTTTTGGGGAACCGAGCTGTGAGCTTGCATAATATGGCTGCTGCCAAGGATCCTTTGAGACTGGTGGTGCCATGCGAATGTTTTCTCAGCCCCTGAGACCACATGTCAACAGGTAGTAGAATAGTAGTATTCAGTTTTCCACTGATGGGAGTATATAGGCCCACTTGTAGAGAGCATGGCTCATTGTCTGTGCCCAGCATTCCTTGGGTTGTGGTCCATGTGCTTCAGCTCAGAGACCTGGTAAAGTAAAATGCATGAGGTTGTTTGGAAATTGGAAGAGGCTGTCATGGAGCATAACAGTGCTCTTTGTATAGTAGCTGTTACATGCAATGAATCACGCTGTTGTTGAAATAACTTTCTCCGTGTCACTCAGTGACCTGTTAGAAATATCTGGCTTTCTTTGGGGTGACAGGGAAATCTATATAATTTCTGACCCTGTTGAAGAGCACCTAGCTCAAAACTTGTTAGGCACTCAGTTCCCTAATTAAGAACAAAAAACAAAAACCAGCAGTGACTTCTGGTGCTGCACACAAAGAGCCTCATTCAAGTGAGAATTTATTGTTCTACTGCTTAAAATAGATTCCATGGGACAGAGTTCCTTGGTGCCCCCTTGCTGTGTGCTAAAGTGGATAGGCAGTCTGAATTTGTTTTTGCATTTTTAAAATAAATAAATGATTAGGACTAGAAGTTCTTCTGTGTAATTTTTGTGTTGTGTTGTGTTGTGTTGTGTGTGTATAAAAGTTAAAACAAGTTAAAACAGTTTCTTGGTTGCAGCTGTGGTCCTCACCTGACAACCCAAGTAATGTTCATTCTGCTTCGTAGCTTATCACCAGCTGCGAATCATGTGGAATTATGCGAGTCATGTTGGTGAGATGAAGTAGAATTAAAACACTTCTGTAATGAAATCTGGGTGTGTATGCTAATCCTAATAGATGAGTGGAAACAAAATTGATACATTGCATTGAGAAGCTACTGACTCCTAGAGCATAACATGGTAGTTTAGAAGTATCTGCTTCAGTGTCACCGGACAAGTAATACTGCTGTAATTCTAAGTATTCTGAGATGCTATTAATTTCCATACTTTTAGTGTGTTTATCTGATCATAGAGAAATGTTTATTAATATAATCATTCTGGTTAAAATTTACACTGCAGTTTATAATACACTGATTGGAATATTGAGTCCTGACAAAACTGCTGGCACTTAATGTTGTAATGCTAGTTGAAGTTATCCCCATGTGACATCCTGAATTTTGTTTCTGTGCCTCTTGGCCAGGCAAAAATTAGTGCTCCTGAAGTCACTTGATATTGCACATTGGCAGTAGTAACCTGGGCCCCCAGCATTCATGTTTGGTATGCAGGTTAGCTGACTAATAGAAAGGGAAACTCAGCTGAGAATATCCAAAGCCTGCCTTTTGGTTTCATTCTAATTTTGTCCTTTGTTTACAATTCAATAGAGAGTCTGTAAACTTGCCGCTTGTGAGCTCTCAGTAAGTAAAACGGTGTTGCTGTGTAACATTTTACTGCTGCACCTTTGCTTGGAAAAGAATAAACTTGTGTGGCCAGTGCTCACCTTGCAACACAGGCAGGGGCTGTAATGCATGATGCATTTTGACTGACTGGATAAATTCATGGATCGCATAGCAATAGGAACTTGATGTCCCCTTTTGAAAAAGCAAACAAAAGGCTCAGTAAACGAAGCAATAAGCTGATGGAATGGTGGCTTTCAAAAGTGTTGACTTATTCATCCATGGGATTGTTTGCAAATTCAGCAGTGTTACACACTTTGCACATCAAAACTGAATGCCCAGGTTTATTTCTTGGTTGGCTCCATCTAAGGAAAGTGTTTAAATTGTGGCATTTGGTAAAGCGATGGGAACAGCAGCAGCAGCAGCAGCAGCAAAAGAATTATAATTTGGTTCAAATGTCATAGATTTGAATTGGGACTTCTTGTAAGTTTGTAGTAGGTGCAGTGCACTAAAATTTAAAGGATCAAACAAGGGAAGTTTAATGACACAGTGAAACTTATTTCCTGTTCGGTTCAGTTAATATTTAGGATTTTTGCCCCTCTACTCGTGGGCAATAATTTAGTTTCACCAAATGTAGCTCTCTTCATCTGCAATCCATAACAAATTAACATTTGTTGGAAATCATTTTTTTTTAAAATTAAAGGTAATAAACATGCTTAGAGATTTCCCACTGTAAAATGACACTGGTGGGTTTGGATAGCTTTGCATGCTCACTGAAAACAGGCAGAATGGTTTGTTCATTGTTTTACTGATTCTGCCTTATTAGTGCACTGCTGCCTGACCAAGCATTTTGTGTTTTGGAGGCTGAACTAACTGCACGGATTTGTGGTGTTCTAAAGCATGACTATTGAACACAAGAAGAATCTGGCTGCTGGATCAGATCAAAAGCTCACCTAGTCCAGCATCCTGTTTTCTGCAGTGGCCAACCACATGGCCACACAAACAAGACATGAGCGCTGTAGCCCCTTTCCCCACTATTGTTTCCAGCAGTTGGTATTCACTGCATGCAGCCTCTAACCCTGGAGGTAGTTCCTAGCTGTCGGCATTCTCCTTCCTGAACTTGCCTGGTAGAAAGGCAAATGGAATTCACAGGTCAAGGTGAGGCAGAATGCTTGGCAATATGAGATGAAGGAAAGTTATATTCCAATAGTCCCCCCCCCCCCCACCGGAAGCAAACGCTCCACTTTTCATAGAGAATACTGTGGAAGGCTGTATTTAATAAAGGAGGGTTGTTTAGAGCGAAAGAGAGAAGGGGAACAGATGGAGGCAAGGAACAGGGCGGGAGAAAAAATAAGGAGGGCAGCAGGAAACATCTTTTTGAACTAATAAGTGATAAAGAGGAGGTTTTAATATGATAATCTTGGTAAGGAAGTTTCAGCTCCGCAACTGTGATCTTGGAAAGGTTCAAGGAAGGGTACACAGGGAGAGGCTGATGCACAGCACAAATTCTTGAAGCAGCCCAGGTTCCAGAGTAGGACAAAGATGTGAGGAAAGTCTTTGACTTGATGGAGAGCTTGGGTTCGTTTGGTCACAAGGTTTCTGAGCAGAAATTTTCAAGTCCCCTCTTACTATTTTATTTTATTTTATTTTTGGTCCCCTAGCATGAAACCTTGGTCTATTGTCCATTGCCACCCTCTTTATGCCTGTAGCAGTATTGACGCTAGCCTAGTTCCATCTCAAGCCAACAGCTCAGGATGTGGGAATATTTGTTTGTTTGTTTGCTTACTGCTGTATCATAAAAATGTATCACAGTGGTTTGCAACAATATAAAAACATAAAACCAAACAATAAAATCACAAGCAGTTAAAAACAAAAGCAGAAAGAAATTAAAAGCAAACATCAGTAGGCCATTATGGAGGACGTACTCTTAATTGCCTCCATAGGCCTGGCAGAATAGAAGAATTTTCAGCAGGTGTTTAAAAGTTGGCACAGAAGGTGCCCGTTTATGGTGCCTGCCCCCCAGCAACATTGCCCTGCTCTGTCTTTGCACAGATAATGCATTCCAGGGACCCTGGAGCCATGGTGACTGGTGCCCATAGGGGCTTCCAAGGTGGAAGTCAGGGAGACCAACATTAGGTGGAGCCAGCAAATTTTAGTTTTGCCTCTTCCCTGCTGGGTTCTGCAGTGCCAACTTCAACCAAGGAGGAGGAAGTAGCCAGCTGGAACCAGCCCCAGTAGGAAGGCAAAGCAGATGGGGGCTGGCTGAAGTAGAGTGAGATTGGTGGTCCAGTGCCCTGTTTGGCTTAATGGACCAGCCTCCACTGGCCTTGAGGCAATGCTGTTGCTTGGTCTCTCTGGCTGCCCCCATTGCACATGGGCCTTCTCCTGTTCAACGGGTGTGCACCTTCTGCCCAATCAGAAGTTCGTGGCTGCCAAGAGACAGAAGTGATAAACTTGCTTAACAGCTCATATAATGGACATAATTATGGTGAGTTGGTCCATATATTATAGTGATTGCTAGTGGGGTGTAGTTGAGAATACACCATAGTTTCTGTAGGGTTTCTGTCGGCAGAAGCCGTATCAAGACAGATTGACCCATTTCTACATATTGATATAGGTGTGGTGTTTTATTTATCAGTTGTGAGTTAAAGGCTGGTGTTTACTCTAAAAGGAAGCAGTGCTGAATTTGGGGATACTGTTGAAGTGGGGGCACAGGAGAATCCAGTAACAGAATTGTGAAGGGCAGAGTTTCCCCTTATCCCAACATTTGCTCTATAGAGAATTCGCCCTCCCTCCCGCCCCAAGGAGTGAATGAAGGTAAAACAGGAGTAGAAGAAGGTAAAACAGGAGTGTGGTTGTTTCTTAGGTTTGGAGATGAGAAAGGTGCACTGCACAAGAAGTATTGCATGACCAAACCATATAAGCTGGAGAACTGTCTCTAATGTTTGAGAGAAATGTACTTCTCTTTTCCTGTAGAATTGTTGCTGCTTTAAACATGGAACTCGAGTGATCGCCTTAAAATGTGCTTTATAAGTACCATAAACATAAAGCACATTTTAAGGAAGGCAAGTGTATATCTCTTACATTTCTGTAACATTTCTTGCATCTGGTGAAGTGTAACCCAGTCCATGAAAACTTAAATGCTATAATAAATGTGTTCGCCTTTAAGATGCCACAAAATAGGAGTCTGTTTATGCTGTGTCATAATTACACATGTTCCTTTTCCATGACTCAACTGTACCTGTTCATATGGGAAGAAAATGAGGGACAATAGTCTAATAAATCATTATATTAAATGCTGTGAAACTGTGTCAGCCTTTTTTAAGCAAGGTCATTTAATCTTTTTAATCACAGGTTCCATTGCAGCTTATAGAGAGTGTTGAATGCCGGGATATATTTCAGCTTCACTTGACTTGTAAGGACTGCAAAGTTATCAGGTATGTGTGTATATATACATATAAATTATCCTGATGGTTGTACACGTTACACTATTACAAGGAAGCATGGCCTGCTAAAGATTGGTATCAGTGCCCTGTTTAATAATTATTACTTGGTCTCATGACTGGGCAACGTTTTCCCCCTTGTCTTGTATTGTATCAATAGAACATTGACAATCCACTGTAGCAGTTTAACTTTTCAGTTGAAGGCATGCATTTGCAGGAGTATAACAAATTATCCATCTCCATCAATTGTGGGTGCCTCAGATTAACTGAAACAGCTTATTTCATTGTGTGTTCATTTTCACGTTATTGTTTGTTATTATTTATTACATTTGTGTACCACACCTCGTCCAAAGATCGCAGGGCGATTCACAACATAAAAATACAAAATAAGAAAATACGTAATAAAAAACAAAAACCAATGGGTACCATCATGAACTTTAAAAAGGTCATTGGATGTTTAATCAGGCAAAGGCTTAGTTATGGAGAAATGATTTTGCCTGGCACTTAATGAAGGCACCAGGCAAGCCTCCCTGGAGGGGAGCAGGCCACAGATGGGAATCCACTGTAGAAAAGGCCTGTTCTCATTTATCATTTGCATGATTTTGCTTCTTGGGGCCAGAGGTGGTAATGGCCTTTCTTCAAATTAAAAAAAAAGTATTTAGATAGCTTTGGCTATGGTCTGAAGGTTTATGCAAAGAACCCTAGATTAAAAATGGATGATCTTGAGGTAATGATATTAACTTTGCATTTTTGCATATTGGAGTTCACTTGTAAAATATATGCAGTGCAGCTTTTGAAGCCAAATGCCAGGGTGTTCTCTCTTCTTGTCTGCTTTGAAGCTAAACTTTCATTGGATTCTGTGGCTTGGATCTCTCTGGGTGAGAATTAATAGATTTTTATCTGGCTTAATTTTAAAAAAAAATTTTTTTTTTACAGATGTCAGTTCTCTACTTTTGAGCAGTGTCAAGAGTGGCTTAAACGGCTGAACAATGCCATCCGCCCTCCTTCAAAGATAGAGGATCTCTTTTCATTTGCTTACCACGCCTGGTGTATGGAGGTGTATGCTAGTGAAAAAGAACAGCATGGTGATTTGTGTCGACCAGGTATGATGCAGACATTCTTTGTGTAGCTGTGGAGATAAATGAGCCTGTTCCAGTTGATTGAGGTGCTGGTGGATTTTTGCCTCTGAAAAGTTTCAAGGTTAAGGGAGTGAAGGGTTTAATGGATAGGTTTTAAAGCTGCCACTATTCAGTTGCCTTTTGTTGTTGTTGTTGTTGTTGTTGTTGTTGTTGTTGTTGTTCATTGTTTGTGGCTGCTTTCTCCAACATGCAGCTTTCCTGCTATTTTTAATATTATGTTTGGGCTTCTTCATAGACAGTTCAAGCCAATTGCATATTACATAAGCAGCATTAGGATGCCATGTCATCATGCATCTATTCAGTCTTGACAATGGGATGCCACAAAGCCAAATCAGAGCAAGGGCAATGAGTTTGGCCTTCTTTAATAATGGGTGAATATTCTGGCCTCATTTTGCAGACCCTCTGGAACAACAAGCTGAAATGAAGAGAAAGCTTTTAGTGGTAATAAAGTTCTTCCCCCTGTCTTTTGATATAGGCCTATAACGTATGCATGTGCAGAAACAAAAATTTATTATTACACTTTATGCTGTTACTATAGAAGGTCATCAGGTTGGGTTATGGCTCCACCTTCTTATAGTAATGGAGAACTGCCTTTCAGGTGAGAACCAACAGTTCTTTCTGCTGATGCCATCTTCATAATAGGAACAGCCAGTTACAATGCAAATGATGTTTTACTTGTTCTTGCTCTTGCAAATTCACATTGATATATGCAGTTCTCTGCAGAGCAGAATTCTTGAATTCAAACTCTTACTCAGCTGAGAGTTGACCAAAATTATACAGTGATATGAAGGTGCTGCTGAGAAGAGCTTTCAGTATTGCAATTTTCTGGCATAGATCAAGAGAGCTTTGCTGCTGTACAACGATCAGTGAAAACTTTGGACCTGATCCACAGTCAGAGGGGTTTTATCATATTCAGGGAAGCTTACTTAACCCCTCCCACCCAGAAAGGGGACTTAGCTCTAGCTGCAAGTCATGCTTAGACCATAAAATTGAAGTGAAACACACTCTTGGCCCCATCCATTGGCCCCATCAGGGGAAAGTTGGTATGTATGTCATCTCATGACCCTGAGATTAAGAGTCTCATGCTCTTCCGACTGAGCTGCTAGTGCAGGATATTTGCAGCTATTAAAGAACCAGCATTTTTCCCAGCAAATGTTTACAAATTGTCTTTTGCTTGTGCAGTAGCATCATGTGTTCCTCAAACATACCAGCCTAATTGTACAAAGTGATAATAAAATTTGTCTGAGCGCTTTTTTTACAGAGGGAAGAAGTGCATTGAAACTAGAAGGGGGCAGGCAAATACCAACCAATCTTTAAGGGGCCTTAGCTTAACTGGTCTTCAGCTAATAATCAGGAAGCAACTGATTATTAGAAGAAGAGAAGAAGAGTTTGGATTTGATATCCCGCCTTTCACTCCCCTTCAGGAGTCTCAAAGCGGCTAACAATCTCCTTTCCCTTCCTCCCCCACAACAAACACTCTGTGAGGTGAGTGGGGCTGAGAGACTTCAAAGAAGTGTGACTGGCCCAAGGTCACCCAGCAGCTGCATGTGGTGGAGCGGAGACGCGAACCCGGTTCCCCAGATTACGAGACTACCGCTCTTAACCACTACACCAAACCCATCACTGTGTGCAGAGCCAATTAAAATAACATGATACTGCTAAAGATGGTTACCAAATTTAGATTTTCATGGTTGGCATAAGCAAAGCAGATTTTCTGCTGTTTTAATTTCTTAACAAAATCACTGGAGCCATCTCATATTAAGTTCTTTTCATTCTATTCCTATTGTCTTCTTTTGTTGTAGGAGAACATGTAAGTTCGAGATTTAAAAATGAGGTTGAACGGATGGGTTTTGATATGAACAATGCCTGGAGGATCTCCAACATCAACGAGAAGTACAAGTAAGTTCTGTGAATGCTTGCAGACAGCTGGCACCAGCCTAACTTTTATTGAAGTAGGCATTTTGGAGCAGAGCATATCATAGCCTTTGCTGTGGTTGGATGCACTTGTAGATCCTGGTACTGCTGATGGTTTGGAACTGAGCGGGTGGGGTTTCTTAGTAGCCTTAAAGCTCTGAAAAGCAAAGTGATAGAGCACCCCATGTAGCTGCCATTTTGTAGTTCTGTTTCTCACCATCCATGAAACAGGCCTGCTGTGGTGTATTCAGACACTATCTGCCATCTAGCCTCAGAGGGCTGCTAAAACGAATAGTGCAAGCTACCTAAACACTTTGGGTCTCCTGTCCAGTTACTTCCTGGCCTTAAAAGACCCAGGAGCATCCGAGAATAAACAAGCAAGGTTGGGTCATGTAATATAAGGCTGTGTCTGGCAACTTGGAAACCATTGTTGCTCTCCCTAGGCGAGTGCTAAATTATAAGATTGCTCTGTTCTTGAGAAAGTAGTGCTCACAAAGGACTGTGGAATAAGGGAAGACAAGGAAAGAATGCTTCCTTGAGCTTCTATGTTGGAAGGGTGCTAACAGCTTGTCATGGAAGGAAACCAATGCTGTGGCTATACATGCATGGCTTTAAAAAAATGTCCTCCTTTTCCCACACAGGCTCTGTAGCAGCTACCCTCAAGAACTCATAGTTCCTGTTTGGATCACAGACAAAGAGCTGGAAAGTGTGGCAGGCTTCCGATCTTGGAAACGCATCCCTGCTGTGGTTTACAGGTGAGGCCTGCACTGAAGCACCCACTAAATTGAATGTAAAGTGGCGTGTGTGCTTTTTATCACCTTGCCAGATGCTTAATCAAGCAGCTTGGCAACTATGCTGAACTACAAAACTGGCACCATTGATCTTTCACTTGCCTTTCTTTGGGCTATGGAGCATTGACCCCAGATGCTCAGCTGTAAGCTAAGCTGGCTGGGACTTGTTCCTTGATTCACTCCAGCTGCAAAGCCCAGAACCCCTTCAAGATGTGTAGGAATGATTGGATAAATGGTGGCTGTCTCTGTAGTCCAACAGTTGTGAAATTGTCTCCCCAGGGAAGCCCATCTGTTTGTCTGATTATGACCTTTGTGGCATCAGGTGCAAAATATTCTACCTTTTAATTTTACTCTTATGTTTTGGTGTATTTAAACTTGGGCACATTGCTTTCCTTTTAATGATTTTGAGGCTGGTTTTTATAATAATTATCTTGCTGGTCTGTTTTCAGTTGTGTTTTTTTGGTCCTGATTTTGCACTGAATTCCAAGTTTTTATGTCATTTGTTTTGAGAAATGCTTTATTGACTGGATTTTATTTGATTTATTTGTAAATTGCCCAGGGGACTTTGTTTGACGATCAGTCTAGAAATGTGATAATAATAGTTGGCTACATGGGTTGCTTTGGGACATGGCACAGGTTATATAAAACTATAGATGGGCTTCACGGACTGCCTGTTTCTGAACAAAAGGCACATCTAAAGTACTGAAGCTGCTGATCATCATTAACTTTGGCAGTTTGTCACTGATCTCTCTCTTTAGGATTAAACAGGCAGCCTCCCAGTTCTAGACATCTCTGCATTATAGACATTTTATATGCGTCAACAAAAAACTGGTTGAAATTCCGACCCTGGTATAAGTGGTGATAGATCTATTGGTTCAGTTACTTTGAAACTTGTTTCTTGAGCATTCTGACACAAATCTCTTTAAATCCTAACTTCTTCTTTTTTTACTGTGTTTTGATTACAAATGTTGATTCAAATGAAATACTGTTTTCATAGGGCATACATTAGAATGCCCCATGAAACAGTATTTCATAGAAAGTATTTCTGCTTTAGAAAGTCAAAATTACTTTTGGAATTCTACAGTAAGGTGGCACTTCCTATGTCACTGTGCTTTTGTTCTAGCATTACCTGCACTTAGGGCCCTATTGTGATGGCTACTGTTAGCTGTTTCATTTCTGTTTCCTATAGGCATCAGGGCAATGGGGCGGTCATTTCCCGTTGTGGGCAGCCAGAGGTCAGCTGGTGGGGCTGGAGAAATGCTGATGACGAACATCTTGTCCAGTCAGTGGCCAAAGCTTGTGCCTCAGATTCCAAGTCTAACAGCAGTAAACTAGTGAATGGAAACTGTTCAAGAGATTTCTCCAATGGAGGAGACCTCTCTGATGTAGAATTTGGTAAGTTTGATTATCTCTTTGTTTCTCAAATATTGCATTTCGGAGTCTCCATAGAGTTCGAATGGCAGTTTCCCCCCTGATAGGGATTTCAGCCTTTTGTCTGCAACTCTTGTGTGTAGGACACCTGGATGCCTGCTCTGCCTTGGAGGAGGTGGGGGGGTGGGGGGGAAGGATAGCCAGGGTGCCACTCATGTCATTGATGGGCCATAACTTAGTGGTAGAGCACCTGTTTTTCAGAATAATAATAATAATTTATTATTTATATCCCGCCCATCTGGCTGGGTTTCCCCAGCCACTCTGGGCGGCTTCCAACAGAATATTAAAATACAATAGTCTATTAAACATTAAAAGCTTCCCTAAACAGGGCTGCCTTCAGATGTCTTCTAAAAGTCTGGTAGTTGTTTTTCTCTTTGACATCTGGTGGGAGGGCGTTCCACAGGGCAGGTGCCACTACCAAGAAGGCCCTCTGCCTGGTTCCCTGTAACTTGGCTTCTCGCTATGAGGGAACCACCAGAAGGCCCTTGGCACTGGACCTCAGTGTCCGGGCAGAATGATGAGGGTGGAGACACTCCTTCAGGTATACTGGACCGAGGCCGTTTAGGGCTTTAATGGTCAGCACCAACACTTTGAATTGTGCTCGGAAACGTACTGGGAGCCAATGTAGGTCTTTCAAGACTGGTGTTATGTGGTCTCGGCGGCTGCTCCCAGTCACCAGTCTAGCTGCCACATTCTGGATTAGTTGTAGTTTCTGGGTCACCTTCAAAGGTAGCCCCACGTAGAGCGCATTGCAGTAGTCCAAGCGAGAGATAACTAGAGCATGCACCACTCTGGTGAGACAGGTCCCAGGTTGAATCTCCAGCATCTTCAGGTAGGGTTGGGAAAATTCTCTGCCTGAAATCCTGAAGAGCTGCTGTTAGTGCAGATAATACTGAGCTACATAGATTCAGCAAAAAGTGGCCTCCTGAGTACATAATGACAGGGTGGAATGATAACTGCAGGAGACAGTTTGAAGGAAAAGCAAAATGGCAGTTGGTTCTAGGCAGCCCGGTGGGGTGGGCCTTGTGGCCTCACTTCTCCCTCTTCTGTAACCAGGTTGAATCAGCTACTGCTGGTGCCGGAATTAGACGTGAGGAGTATGTTCCACTGTCAAAAGCAGCTCCTCTGCTTCTCTCTCACTTTCTTGATGTAAGATGCCATGTAATCCATGTGTCAACTGTGCACTTTTTGGATATCTGCTGCAGAATAAGCTGTTCTCTCCTTTTCTTCTTCAGATTCCTCCATCTCCAACGCTTCAGGAGCAGAAAGTCTAGCCATTCAGCCTCAGAAACTTTTGATCTTGGATGCACGCTCTTATGCAGCTGCAGTGGCAAACAGGGCCAAAGGGGAGGCTGCGAATGCCCAGGTGAGTAGCCGTGCTGTGCTCTGAGCATTGTGCAAAGGTGTTTACACGTGCAGAGAAGGAGTGGGAGTGGAGACCTTGTCTAAACCAGATCAAATTTTGATTACCAGAGTAGCTACCATTAATTCAAGGAGGTTGGAAATGGGGTGTGTATGCTAAAAAGTGTTAAAATCCAAAGGGGTTGTTGCTTAAGAAGAGAAAGATGCCACCTTTTGTCCTGCAATTTAGATCCAGTCTCTAAAGCCAAACTACAGCATTTGATCATGGAGTCCTTACCAGATTTTAGTCAAAAGTATGGGTTTTTTGTTTGTTTTTTAAACCCACCTTGTTTTGTTTTAAGGAAGTGAAGGAATTGCACTGCATGGCCAAATTCACTAAACCATGGTGTTTAGTGTTGCATCTGAATTTCGCCACAGAATGCAGAAGCTGCAGGTAGCTTTGGGGTCATGTGTCTACCCCTTTCCCTGTTTGTAATTTGTAACAAAGAGCAGTTTTTAGTTTCACCCAAACTGGTGAAACTCCAGGTTGTTGCAGATTGCAAACAAGAAGTTTTTAAATTCCTTCTCCTGGTGTGCAAAGGAGGAAGGAAGGGAAAAATTGAGAGAGACATCTGCTTAAATTTCTGGAGAGCCACTACCAGTGTGGTGCAGACAGTAATGAGATCTACCGATCCAGGGGTCTGATAAGAAGGCCAAACAGTTATGTTCCAAGTGACACCCTGATTCTCTGTATGATTCAAAATCTGCAGTAGATGTCAGCTTAAAAGTTTATAATATGCGCTTGACATCATTTATAAGTTCGCTGATCCACCCAAACCAATACATGGTGAAAAACTGCATGGTGCAGCAGCCAGGTGCATCTTATTTATGAAGACCTAATGATTGTAATTTGTTTAAAAATTGCAAGATGCTACGGAAGTCCAGCATGAACCCATATTTCTACCCTCCAGGCTGCATTCTAATTATACCAAAAAACTTCTGTGCAACTACGTCACCCATCCCAAACAAGTACAGTGGTACCTCAGTTTACAGACGCTTCAGGCTACAGACACTTCAGGTTACAGACTCCGCTAACCCAGAAATAATACCTTGGGTTAAGAACTTTGCTTCAGGATGAGAACAGAAATTGCGTGGTGGTGTCGCGGCAGCAGCAGTGGGAGGCTACATTAGCTATAATGGTACCTCAGGTTAAGAACAGTTTCAGGTTAAGAATGGACCTCTAGAACAAATTAAGTTCTTAACCCGAAGTACTACTGTATTGGGATCCGTATACTTGAAATTCCTACATACAAAGTAGCCCATGGAAACAATTGAACTTGTATGTCTACAGTTGCAGGTGTTGCTTCCTGGCAGTGGTTCAGGAGTATAGTGGCTGAAGAATGTGCCACTGTTGTCATGCTAAATTGCCACCAGAGAGGGCAGAGGGTGAGAGATAATATCCAGACAGGTCCTGAGCATGCTGACACTACACAACTCTTATTTTTCAACTCCTCCACTGCCATGTCCGTGTTGCTAACTAAGGGGGTTGTCTGACTTATGTTCACTGGTGATAACAATCAGTTTCAAACCACTTCTATAGATAGAGACCATTGTTCCCAGCAAGCAGTCCAGTAGATCAGTAAGTTCATGTGTTTTCTTTAGACTGTGTTAGAATAACTCCCTCTATTCTGTCATAACAGTCGTCCTTTGTCATGATGTTTGGCGTGCCTGAGAGAACCTCAAAGGCTAGAGGAGGCTGATGGGATAATAGCGCCTAGCACAGGCCCCAGCTGCTGCTGGCTCATTTTTACAGTAAAGCTCCTTCATTCATTTTGCTTCTGCCTTGTTTGAAGTGCCTTATCTTCTGCTTTTAACAGAGTATTATCCAAACTGTGAAGTAGTGTTTATGGGAATGGCAAACATCCATTCTATTCGGAAGAGCTTTCAGTCGCTGCGTTTGCTCTGCACACAAATGCCGGACCCAGGAAAGTGAGTGACGTGTGCGCCTTCTCTCTGCTCCCCCCCACTGTTGTCCCCTTGCACATCTCCCCTTCCCAGCATGCACACTGTACTAATAGGTTTATTGGTATTGCTTTTTAAACAATCTAATCCTCAGTCTTCTTTTTGTCATTGTAAATAAAGGCAGTCATTTGCATGCCTTCCACCAACCTTGTGCCCCCCAGATATTTTTGGATTGCAGTCCCCATTATCCCCAGCCATCATGGCCATTTAGAAGGCACCAGGTTAGCGAATGCTGGATTAGTTATTAGATAAGAGAAAATTAACATTTGTAATTATTTGTATATGTTTGTGTTTATATATATACACACACACACACACACATTTAATATTGGCTTTTTTAATTTAAAAAACCTAGTTGTTGTTTTTAATCCACCTACCTCCAGACCTATTGACCTTTGCTGTTTTCCCACACAAAATAGGAGGGTGCCCCGGAATACTGCCAAGACACACTCCTGCATTGTTGGCATGTGTGCAAGCTTACCTTTAGGGGGAACCTACCTGTTGTTACTGTTCTCTTTGAGAACCTTAGATAAGCTTCTGAGACACCCCAAGGTTTCTGGCAATAGAGGCTTGGAAACCCACTAACATGAGCGATTTGTACTTTTTGATGCAGAAGAAAAAAAGTATACCCTCCACTTGTTACTGAAATTTGCTCAACCTACAAACTTCACTTTAACAGAACAGAGAGGTCAAAACTATTCTCCCTTGTTGATCTGCAGCTGGCTGTCAGCTCTGGAAAGCACCAAATGGCTGCAACATTTGTCTGTCCTTCTGAAATCGGCACTTCTGGTAGTTCATGCAGTGGACAGAGATCAGCGGCCCGTCTTGGTACACTGCTCAGATGGCTGGGACAGAACCCCGCAGATAGTGGCTCTGGCTAAGCTGCTGCTGGATCCATATTACAGGACCATTGAGGTTCGTGGCATGGGAAATAGCACAGTTGGGGGACCTCTAAATTGTGTTTAAAAAGGTTTATGGTGGTGGCTCTTCTAAAGAAGAGCATCTGTGGCCCTCCAGATGTTGCTCAGCTGCTATCCCCATTGTTCCTGGCCATTGGCTATGCTTGCTAGGGCTAATGTGAATTGTAATTGAGCAACATCTGGAGAGCCAGTGGTCCCCCACGCCTGATCCATGTTCTTTCCTCCAAACTGCTGAAGAATAGACTTGGCATGAAATAAAATGGATTTAATGCTGGAAGGGTTTTTTGGGGCTGGGGTGCGTAAGAGAAATGTGAGTTTGTGTCCGAGAATGAAATAGGTAGTCTGAAGTAAGGATCATTTTGAAGTGTTATTAAGGATGGCAGAGATAGAAACATGGATCTGGCTCTTGGGGTACCACCTGTGTGTAAGCTCTTTTCCTCAAGCCTCATTGATGCAAATGAGAGCAGCTTTTCTTCATTTCAGTGGGTCTTGCCCATGAGGCTTTCATAGTGAATTTGACCCCTTGCTGGTTAATTGCTAGGAGGGAAAGCATTTTGGGTTTTCCACCTCATGCCAGCATATCTTAGTTTGGCTTTGTGGACTTGAGCCTTGTGCAAATTTAATTCAGTGATGCTTCCCTCAGGGTTTCCAGGTGCTTGTGGAGATGGAGTGGCTGGATTTTGGCCATAAGTTTGCCGATCGCTGTGGTCATGGTGAGAATTCGGATGACCTGAATGAACGATGCCCAGTGTTCCTGCAGTGGCTCGACTGTGTCCATCAGCTCCAGAGGCAGTTCCCCTGCTCTTTCGAGTTTAATGAAGCATTCCTTGTGAGTTGAATACTTTTACACACTGCTTCTAATATTTTGAACCTTTTCGTAGTTCAGTATTCAGATCTGAAAAGGAAAGCTACCAAGCCAAAAAAAGTAAAAAGTAAAAATCTCTCGTTGGAGTCTGCAGAAATGCTCACTCAGAGGGTAGTTAGGTATGTTCCATAGCGTTATTTAAACTCTGAATTGGAAAATCAAATTTGGAGTTCACATTAAACTCACATATTTCAGACCTGCGTATCTGTGTTTTGGTGGTGTGTGCGAAAGAGAAATTGAGAGATCCTACTTTTCAGGCTTGTGTGCCAACAATAATATAGCTGCATCCTTTCTATATAGGTCAAGTTGGTGCAGCACACATACTCCTGCCTCTTTGGTACATTCCTGTGCAACAACGCGAAGGAGAGAGGTGAAAAGCACACCCAAGAGAGGACCTGTTCAGTTTGGTCTCTGCTGCGAGCAGGAAACAAAGCCTTCAAAAATCTGCTTTACTCCTCCCAATCAGAATCTGTATGTACTTTTTATTGTTTGCACTCCTATAAAAATGTAACCAGTCTGATGCACATAGTTCTTTTTCCCTTTCCCATTCCCACAACACACCTGTCAGGTAAATCAAGATAAGGTGAAGTATGATGCAGCTATTCAGCCTACCTCATTGAAGCAAGAGTTTGTATCTAAAGAGGGTAAAGGAACCTGGTCTTCCAAGACAATTCAAAACACTGCATTAGGTAACCCAAAAAGACTCTCAGAGCTACAGCACTCTGAGAATAGTCTAAAGATGTAGGACACAGTCCAGCAGGATGTTCCTTTCTGCAAACCCCCTTGAGATGAGTGGGAGCTGGGCAAGAGCACAGTAGGTCCATGTTGCAGTTTGAGTGTCTGTCCCCATATTCTGTCTTCATGGGAAACACCTGGGAAGAGTGACTTGAAAGCAGCCAACATATGTGGTGGACATACTGTACTACTATTCAGCTATTTTAGATTCAGAGCAAACAGGCTGTAGGCATATAATGTACTATTATTTCCCTATAGACGCCAAAAGGGCTTCTTGAAACCCACTCTTTTGACTACAAACATTCAGTGATCTTCAGTTAACCAGTTTTGCAGCTGTTAATAATGTCAAAAAACTCTTAAGGCTTCATGTGCGCACTCCCACACATCCTTGTAACGCTGGTAATGGTCTGGCATTACATGCAGCCACAGCAAATGTCACCCAACTGTAGGGAATGGGGTAGGTTTTGTGTTATTGGGGGTACATTGCTTGAGAGAGAATGTGTGCTGAAGGACACATTATTACAGTATTCTAAAAGTATGGCTGTAAATAAGATAGTTAAATCATCTGGGAAAATCATGTAAATCACTCTGAGCTCTTCTGAGACACAGAACGGCATAAGTGCAGTACATATAATAATACAATTTGTGGATGCACTACACTGCTCATCTGGTTGTTTTAAAATAAGTTGCCATTTTAATATAACATTCTTGGTTTTGGGCGTTTGCTTGCTTTCCCAGTCCTTGCAATGATTCACCCTCTTTTGAAATAGTTTGTCTACTTTCTAAATTAGTGGCACTGTGGTGGTTAAGAGTATGAGCAATGAGCTGGCGGGAGGGGCTGTATCAATTGATGGGGTGGGCAAACAGAGGCCATTCCAAAGTGTCTGGAAGGGGCAAGATTCAAATGGCTGCTCTTGAATATATTCAAGATTAACCTGCGACTGCAAATTAAAATGCAAGGTCAGTCAATCTCAAACCTTAATAAAAGGATTACAGCCTTCTTAGTAGTCTGTTCGTCCTCTCTCCCTCTCAGGTGCTGTATCCTGTGTGCCACGTGCGAAACCTCATGCTGTGGAGTGCCGTTTACTTGCCATGTTCTTCCCCTTCGACCCCTGCGGATGACACCTGTGCCCCTTACCCAGTCCCAGGTTCCAGCCCTGAAGATCAGCCTCTGGGCAGGTGAGCTCAGAGTTCAGATGATGTAATGTAAGTAGATGTTTGACAGGTGAGGGAGTTGCCTCTATTGCTGTCCACGTGATTAACAAATGGCAGTTTTCAGGAGTTGTTGAGAGAGTATAGCATCATGCGAAAGATGATTATCTGCAGGCGTGATTGGCCGTTAACAGCTGATTTCTAACCTGTAATTAGAAACAATTCTCAGCATTTTTCTTTCTTTCCTCTCCAGGCTGCCAAAGACAAGGTCATTTGACAATCTGACAATGGCTGGTGACAGCAGCGTACCGACAACCAACCGGCGTAGTAGCGACCCCAGCCTCAACGAGAAGTGGCAGGAGCACCGCCGGTCCCTGGAGCTGAGCAGCCTTGGGAACCCGGAGGACGACCCCTTTGACGGAGAATGTGTGAGCAAACAAGGCAGGACTCTGGTTGGAGCAGAGCTTTCAGTGGCTGTAGCAGAGGGGCAGATGGAGAACATTTTGCAAGAGGCTACCAAGGAGGAAGTGAGCCTGGAGGAGTGTGTGAGGGGCGTTCCAGAAACGGCAAGTAAAGAAGGGGGAGAGGACACTGCTCTTGATAAGGAAAGCAGGACTGAGAACCTGGACAGCTCTACTGATAACATGGGTGGGAAGACCGAACTGGATACAGCAACTTTATTAGACAATCCAGTTTCCAGCCCACAGATGGATTTACAGGGTGCTTTTGAGCTTCAGGGGCAAGATGAGCTCCATTACGATGTCCAGAAACCATCTCAGGTGAAGGAACTACGGCCTGGCTTTTTGGGCAATGCTGTAAATAGTAATATTCAAAGATCAGAGGAGGACAGTGTTAGTAGGCTACCTGTAGAGGTCAAAATCCCTCAGGGCACTCCCCAGCCCAGCCTCCCATTTCCTGTCCTGCATGAGATGGGAACATCAAACATGGAGAGCTCTACGGAAACTTTAACAGAGAATGGGGCAAAGACGGAGCTGATCCAGAATGTCTCTTGCCATTGGCTCCATCCCATGGACAACAGTGCTGGCGAACTTTCCCGCACTGTCGAAAGTCGGCCTGAGAACGAGGACTCAATAGAGCTACACAAACTGGCAGCGGACCTAAACAGGACTACTAAGAGCAGCAGCTTACATGACCCAATGCCTTCACCTTGTGCCTTGCCTTTAGCTGACTATAAAGAGATTGTGTGCAATGGAGAGCTGGAGCCTGAGAACAAGGTGGCAGAGAGCCCGGCAGGGTTCAGTGTTACCCAGAAATACCCTGCACCAAACGGACACTGTGTGAACGGGGAGGAAGGCAGGGTAAAGGCTTCCCTCAGCCGACAGGTCTCTGCAGCTAGCTGTAGTTCTGCCCCGCTGCATCTGAGGAATTTGCACCACAAGTGGGTTCATGCTATTCCAGGCCGGCAGCAGACAGCAAGCAGCCCGGACCAGCCTGCCCGGAGTCACCTGGATGACGATGGGATGCCAATCTATGCCGATGTCATTCAGCAGCGCCTCCGCCAGATTGAAAGTGGGCACCAGCAGGAAGTGGAGACTTTAAAGAAGCAGGTGCAGGAGCTGAGGAGCCGTCTAGAGAGCCAGTACCTGAACAGCTCGCTGCGTTTCAACGGGGATTATGGGGATGAAGTGGTAAGTTAAGCGACCTTTGCCATGATTGTGCCCGTGGTTCTGTGCAAGGAAAATGGATCTTTGGAAGTGACTCCACAAAAAAAGGCTACCTGGATACATATGCCCTCTTCCCCACAGATATATATGGCACATTGATAGCCAGAGGCTGGGGGTGTAGGGAACCAGCCTTTCCCTGATTCACAAATTCTTTCTCACTTAGCCCCCCTGGAGGTGATTCTGATTCATTACAGGCAGCTAGATGAATGGCTAATTTGCAAAGCTGCTCATTCTTTGGAGAGAGAGAGAGAGAGAGAGAGAGAGAGAGAGTGTTTTAGTGCCAGTAAAAATGGCAAAGCCATACATGCTTTATTTGGTTGAGAAGGGCCACTGCCTTGTATAAACATTGTATAAAGACTTGTTGATGTTGTATCAGGACTTCTTTATAGTTATTAGCAAAAGACGCCAAAGCACTGCTGCAGCAGAGACTAATTTATTCCATGTCCTGTCCAAGTTCATTGAAATGCCTATGCACCATTTAGGCCTGTTGAAAGGTCTCGACAGTCCAGTCCACTAGTTTCTGCATTTTCTTTTGAGTGGCCAAGAGTCCTCACTCAAAAGAGGCACCCCGTTGCATCATTTTTTAACCTGTTGGTGGTTTTAAAGGACAGTTCTTTGTGTCACGTGTTTATGAGTTTATGGATGCTTGGGGCTGCTCCAGAATTTTAAAAAATGCATGCATAACATAAAGCATGAAAACAGGGCCGATCATGATGTGGCATGCAGTGGGATGGATCGCCAGCTGGCAGTCCTTGATCCAAATCCCTGCTGTGTTCTGCTCACCAACGTGAGATCTGTCATTGTGAGGTCTATTCAGAGGGGAATGAGCAACTGTGAAAAGGTGGTTAGTAGCCAGCCAGCCACATGTGTCCCGTTCTTTCCAGTGCAGCCTGGATGAGAGAGAGCAAAATTGCCAGTAAGTAACCTAATGAGTCGAGAGTACGCGGGTGGCGCTGTGGATTAAACCACGGCACCTAGGGCTTGCTGATCAGAAGGTCGGTAGTTCAAATCCCCGCGACGGGGTGAGCTCCCGTTGCTCGGTCCCTGCTACTGCCCACCTAGCAGTTTGAAAGCACCCAGTGCAAGTAGATAAATAGGTACCACTCCGGCGGGAAGGTAAACGGCATTTCCGTGCACCACTCTGGCTTCACTAGAAGCGGCTTAGTCATGCTGGCCACATGACCTGGAATCTGTATGCCGGCTCCCTTGGCCAGTAAAGCGAGATGAGCACCACAACCCCAGAGACGTCTGCGACTGGACCTAATGGTCAGGAGTCCCTTTACCTTTAACCAAATGAATCGGGGGGGGGGGGTGAATAGAGAGAGTGTGTGGATATTTGGAAGGTAGGCTGTTGGGCTTGTGCTTGGCTCTGGATTGGCCCTCCCAAGTGATGTAGTTGTCGTCTTAAAGGTTTTGGGTGTGATGGGAAGACATTAAGACCTCAGTTGAGACTTCATTTCTACCCCAATATATAGAACAATCCTAAGGTAGGATTGGGGAGCCTCAGCCCTGGGGGCCAAATGCAGCCCTCCAGGCCCCATCTGTTTGCCCTCTGAACTTTATCAAGGCTACACCTGCCCTATTTTGCATCCTCCTTGAGTGTATTTATCTGACTGGAATGGATGGAGAATAGAAGAGTGTGAGAGTGCTTATAAAACTTATCCTACTGTGCAGAAGTAAAATTCACATCCATTGGCCACTTTTGCTTCTAGTCCTGCTCATCACTGGCTTGCGGCCCCTGGAAGGAAATGTGGTCCTTGGGCTCAAAAAGCTTCCCCTTCCGTGTCCTAAGGAGAAAGGCTTGTCCCATAGACTTCTGCTGTGTGTTGAGTAGAACTGCACAGTAGCTGGAAAACTGGTATTTTAAAAATAACCAGTGTTTTGTTTGCACAGCCTTAAAACTGTCTGAAACTGGCCAAGGGATTTGGCTGACAGGAGGATGCTGCCATGGAGCAGCAGCATCTGCGGTGCTGGCACAAGTGGGGTGTCTGAAGAGTTTATACTAGCTTCTTCCTCCCAGCTGACAAAGCCTGAAAGAGAAACTAAGTACCCCTGATCTCCTCTCATTTTCTTCCCATTTTTACCCAAAGGGGATGTCTTCTGGCCACTGCTGCCACTCCGTCACTCCACTGTTGCCTCTCCCAAATTGCTTGTACTCCCACAGTTGCTCTAGTGAAGCCCCATTCCGTTCTCCATGCCCCACAACCACTGCTGTAGGGCTTAAATAGTATTTTCTGCATGGTTGTATTAAATGGTGCTCTGCATGGCGTACAGTTTTTCAAATGGATTGGAAAGCGACTGAGTCTGTTCAGGGATTCCATTGTTTACTGTTGGAGCTTTTGCAGCACCGTATTTATGCCACAGAGCTCTGTCTTCTGCTCCACATCTCACACACCTTCAAGTATCTACCATATAGAGATAACATCAGCACCCCAATCATTGCCAAAATATATGAGCCGCGAAAGTATATTGCTATCAGATATGCTCATGGCAACATTTGAATTTTAGCAATGAGTTTGGGTTTTCTGTTTTGCAGAACTTTTGAGGAATTTGGTAGAAGCCACCTCTCCACGCTATCCCATAATCTGATCTCTGAGCAGGAGGTTAAGAAGGATTCCCTCTTCTCAGCTGCCTAATCCATGTTCTGAGGGGTTGGGAGTAGGTTCTGTTCAGCTGTGTTTGTTTGCCAACAGACTTCAATCCCTGACTCGGAAAGCAATCTGGATCAGAACTGTTTGTCTCGCTGCAGTACAGAGATTTTCTCTGAAGCCAGCTGGGAGCAGGTGGATAAACAGGACACAGAGGTACAGGCAAATTCCATCTCCATGGCCTTCCTCTCCCTTTTCCTTATATCGGCACCTGCTACTAATCACCTGGCTCTACTCTGTATCCCTTTGGTTCTGACATTGGTCTCTTGAAACCTCTTCCCTCTTGTCCCTGTTGTCTCTAATACTTAAAAAATCTGTACCCGTGCCAAAGAAGCCCCATAGCTGTCAGTTTTCTGCCTTTGGACCTGCACTGGGAAATGATGAAAGAATTTTCCTTGACTAACATGTGGTGTGTCAGTGTGCTTGGCTTATTTAGCTATGTAAGTGTGAGAGAAAGTTGGGGGCCTTAGCACTGGTTGTGAAAACTTGGTATTTGAGATGCTCGGTTAGAAGATTCTTCTGTTATTTGGCCAAAGATGAAGAAACAATTCCTTCCTTCCTTCCTTCCTTCCTTCCTTCCTTCCCCTCTGTATCCAACTTACTTTCTAAACCATGTATTTAAAGTTCTCTCTCTCTTTACATCTCTGTTCCCAGGTGACACGATGGCTTCCCGATCACCTGGCTGCACACTGTTACGGCTGCGACAGTGCATTCTGGCTTGTCAGCAGGAAGCACCACTGCAGGTAATGCATGTAGGATGGATAGTGTGGGGTGCAGGTATGCTATTCTGCTGCCATGTCCTGGAGGGGCTCCTCTTTCTTTTAGCCTCTGGGCACTTTGCCATTTATTTTTCCTTGATAAGATCACTCTCCCATATCAGACCATAGAGCCACACACGGCAGTGTTATAGCAAGGGTAGACACCCACTGCATAGCATTCTTCTTGCTGAGTCCACCATGGCCTGCGTCAGAAGGGCTTAGCTTTTGACAAGCGGTAAGAGTGTTATAAAGTTTGTCACACAGCCCACCTCCACACCTTACAGTTAAAGTACTAGTATACCACTTTAAAGACTCCTGGCTTCTCCCAAATAATCATAGGAACTGTAATTTCTTAAGGGGGCAGAGAGTTGTTAGGAGGTCAGATTTCCCGGTGGCTTTGCACTGGGGCTTAAGTATGAATCTTAAACTTCCCACCAATGCACAGTTCATAGAATCCTGTGGAAACTTGGTCCCCAGATGGTGATTTGAGAAGAGGGACAGAACCCTTTTGCTTTACACCTGCAGTCTTATATCCTGCCCTTCCTGCCAAAAATGCCCAAAGTTGCAAACATCAAAACATTAAAGCAATGCAATTTAAAATAAATTTTTAAAACACACATATATAAGGTACCCTCTAGTAGTCTTGCAAACTCTAGGTTGCGCCATCACACTTATAGGCAATGCAAGCGCTGTAAAAGAATTTTTGGCAGGTGACAGCTGCTCTGGCGAGCCAGAGCCGCACACGGAAACGCCGTTTACCTTCCCGCTTGTAAGCGGTCCCTATTTATCTACTTGCACCCGGGGGTGCTTTCGAACTGCTAGGTTGGCAGGCGCTGGGACCGAACGACGGGAGCGCACCCCGCCGCGGGGATTCGAACCGCCGACCTTTCGATCGGCAAGCCCTAGACGCTGAGGCTTTTACCCACAGCGCCACCCGCGTCCCTAAAACACACATATAAAATAATTAAATGTAAAACATTTAAAAGCTGTCACTAAAGCTTAATTTCAAGTTTGCCATGGTCAGTATCTTTTAGCCATCAAATGCCTTGTGTAACCAGGAATGTGTTTCAGGGGAAAGTTAAAGTCAGTAATGAGGAAGACAGGCGCATCTCACCCAAGAGGGCAATTCTGCAACTGGGGAACCACCACTGAGAAGGCCCTGTCATGGGTCAGCACCAGCCAGGTGGCAGTCGGGTATAGCGCTGCCAACAAGGCCTCCCTTTTTAGTGTGTTTGCTTGTCTCAAACTTTCTCACTAACTTGTTTTGTTTCCAGTCAAGCAGCAGCACCAATAAGCTCCATGCCCCCCCCACGTTCTTTTAGAAAAATATTCCTGGGCTTACTCTGCCAGTTTAGCACCTGGCCCGTGCTCAGCCTTTTAGACTGTATTTTCTGCTTTGAGCAAATGTTTAAATCACCTCATACAGAGAGGTCTTCTGCTTTGTGCTGAAGTCTGTTAGAACAGCAGCTTTGGAGAATGTTGGAAATGTCCCATTCAATTTCTTCATCTTCTAGCTGTGTCAAGACTTCTTAGCTGAGAAGGCTTCCAAAGAACAAGTAGGAGCCGATTTTGAGATTTGATCCATCTTGAGACAGTGTGTGCCATGTCCATTTCCTCAATAGTTAAATTGTGTTTCCCAGTCTGATTTCTGTGGCTCTCTTTATTTTATATTAAAATCAGAGGCATGTGCCTCATATCTCTTCACCACCACCAACCCCCCCAACCACCATCACCACCACCACCAAAAAACCCAAACCAGTTTATTTTCCACAATAAGAAATGATGTTTCTCAGTGGAGGCCATGCACTGTGTTTCTGCACGTGTCACTGTTCTTGCCATGCCTACTGATTGGAGGAAGGTGGGTCTGAAGAAAGATACCATGCAAAGATGCAGCAGGGACAGCCTCTTCATTTGTTGGGCTCACAGGGGCCATTTAACTTCATTTCTCACAGCACACTATCATTTTTCATTTAAAACATAGCTGTATATTACCTTCTCTCAGGCTAGCAGGAAAAGACAGTGGTCTCACCTTGCCATTTCTGGGGGAAAAACCACAAATCCTCCGATTTAGTCTCCCCTCTGAGCTTTTTCTCCCCTCCTTGCAGGGACCCTGACCGTGTTGATCAGACTTGGTGAGCATTTGGAACAGCCTCTGTTGTCTGCTTGCACTTCTCCGATAACCTCTTCAAACTAACCTTTGACTCCCTCCCCTGCACGCCTCTTGCCCATAAATCGTTACACCAAAGACGAATGGTAGCAGCCCAGTTGGATATTGAGGTCTGTGGGCCTCTTTTCACGTTATACTAATAAGACTTTTTGTTTCATACTGCATACTGCAACTTTGGCTAACATGCAAGTGGCTTATCTGCAATGAGTATTTCAATTATAAGAGCAGGCAATTTCTGTGTATTGAGTGGTACCATCCGGTTTGGTGGAGTGGAGACCCCCTGTATCGCTGCAGCTTACCTGCTAGAGCTGCAGCAAAGGCGATGTGTCCACCCTGCCCTGGCCCCATCCAGGTAAGCTGCAGTGACACCAGTATCAGGAGGGCAGCTCTACTTCTCCACACCTGCCAACACTGATATATAGAAACCAACAAATTATTTTGGCCTTTTTCCATTGAATTTGGTATTACAGAGAGCTGGCAGCTGTTGGGGAGTTCTTGAGCAGTACACTGAGAGAACCTTACCAATCACTTCTGAAATAGCACAAGAGTGAAAAAAGCCTTAATTGTGGGCTAATGGGCACTGAGTGAGGGACAAGGCAGCGTGAGCATTAGGGTCTCCTCTGCTAGCCAGGTGGAGTAGAGTCCCTGAGAAGGAACATGACTTTGACACTGAGGGCCAGGAGTCTGGCAAAAATCCTGCAATGGATATAGGTACCTACTTAGGGACTAAGTGATCCCTTTGCGTGAGATTTGAACAGATATACCCAGGCAGAAAATTCCAGATAGTATCTCTTTTACACAATGTCCAGGAGTTTCTCTTGAAAGGAAATATTTAGTCTTCTTTTGGCAGCTAGGTCATGCTGTGAACCATCACCCTTTCAGAATCTTCACTGTGACGGCATTTGAATGGCTTTTTAATAGAGTGGTCTGTCTTCACTGCATTATTGTTTTCACTCCTGCTGTTCTCTCTGATAGCAGTGTCTATTGGAGTCCATAAGAAGACTTCCAAATCACCAGCCCAAGTCTAGCCCTGAGTGAGTGATATCTAGAGGTTGCTTTGCCATGCTAGAAATATGAAAGTTTGTGAGATGAAAAATGGGGGTTTCCCTTTGCTTGTTACATCAACAGTTAACATAAAGAAAAACCACACCTGGCACGAACCCTTTATATAAAGCCAGTTGCCTCCTATCTCCCACTATTAAGCTACTGGAGAAGAGCAGATTAAACCTGCTATGTTTGTTTATGCCAACCTCAAGGCACCTGTAGTGAGGCGCAAAACAATTCTTACTTAATGCTTGCCTATACTGCAAGTCAAAGATTATGAACCAGGGACCTTGTCCACTTATGCGGCTCAGAGCTGCATTTGGGGGAGAGCAGGTTTGAGATCAGAAGTGGGGGGTTGTGGGGTTCTAGTTGCATGCAGGACCCCATCCCTGCCCCAAGATGCATGTGCTGTTATGGCCCTGCTGTGACTGACAACTGACAGATGTGTCAGCTGCTGCATCCCTCATTCACTCAGTATGTGGGCTGCATCTTTTCTGGCTGCTCACTGCGTGGCTTTGCATGGTCCCCATGGACTCACATTTTCTTTGTGCTGAAAGGCAGTGTTGCTGTAGTTCCTTTGAGCTGCAGCCGGCTCACTTCTGGCTTATGTAGGCTTTTTTCTTTTTCGGGGAGGAGTTGACTGGCTTGCCAGTCTTCAAGGCTCGATTCTAGTTAACTTCTTTTTGGGAAGCAACAGCCAGGAGCAGACGGAGACATAGCTGAAGTGTTCCATTGCACTGAAGATAGGCACAAAAGAAATTTGTGGCTCGGTTACAGGCTCTTTTCACCCCTCCAGATCACCATTTCTCGGCTGGCATCATAGCAGACATCACCATCCTTTGGCGCTCTGACCCACTGCAGCTTGCAGGGGGGAAAGAACTTAACCCTTTTCCACCCAAGCTGCTCTTTGGCAACTAGTCCAACCTTTTTCTGCAAGCACCAACTTAAGACATGTACTGTTGTGGAAACTGCATTTCTGAGTTGCAAATTTACTGTAATTTCTTCTCTTCCTGTTCCTGACTGAAGGAATTGTGGGAATGTCTTTTGCTCCAGCTGCTGTAACCAGAAGGTGCCGGTCCCCAGCCAGCAGCTCTTCGAACCCAGCCGGGTCTGCAAATCCTGCTACAGCAGCTTGCATCCCAGTAGCCCCAGCCTTGACCTCGAACTGGACAAACCTATTGCTGCCACCTCAAACTGAGGCTCCAGCGTGGAAGGAAAGCTGGGAAGAGACAGCACCACCTCTCCCTGCTAAGCAGATACGCACATTTCTCTGCTGACTGAAGCTGGTAGGACTGGAGAGAAGCCTTGCACTCTGGAGTCGGGAGGAGAGATGACATGCTCAGAGGGACAGGATGCTGGGCCTGTACTAGTGGAGCAGAAAGCCCTCCTTTCCAGCTGTTCCTCCCAGTGTCATTTTCATCCACCTCATGTAAATTTTGTGTGGATTTTGCTGGGAGACGACGAAAAGAGGGTCTGGAATCTTCCCCGCTGGCATTTCTGTTGCCCTGCTGTCAGAACTGTGCTGCAGACGGATGATTCTACCTTGCTGTGAGAGGAAGGGAAATCGGTCCAGGGACCTTGTGAATACCTTGTAGCGTCAGTGCTTATGCTTTCTTTTCCCCCAGTCACTCCTGTTGCTTCCCAACAGCAACCTGCTGTTTGGGAAGTTGTTGCTGCTAGAAGAAATGGGAGCTGCCTTCTCAAAAAAAAACCTCTCTCCCTCTCTGTTCTTAGAGTGGGCTTAGTTATCCTTGCTGCACGAAAGGGCAGGCATGGCGGAAGGGGCGGCAGAATGGGTTGCAGATCTCCACGTTGGGCAGTCCTTTGCCGATGTTGGCAGACTTGTGGCTCAAGGTAGGCAATGCCTGGACCACTTTGGCTAAAGAAAGTGTACGCTTGTTTGAGGGAAGTGAGAGGGAAGGGGGATTGGACAGACCATTCCTGTTCAGGGTTGTATTTTTAAACTGGCACCTCACTTGTACATGCAATTTGTTTTGAAGGAACTGGTGTTTGGGCTTATTACTAGCTGTTAAAATGCTATCCTTGCCCCCACTTTTTTCTTCTTAAAAAAAGATAGTTTACACGGAAGGCAGAGCTGCTTCGCTGCACTGGGAAGGCTGCATGCAAAGTCAAATAATACTGTTGGCCAGGCTCCCCCTCTCACAAGGAGAACCCCAAAGCAAATGGGGGATGGCTTTGATTTTTTGGGTTTTTTTCTGCCCAGGAGAGTCAGTGAAAACTGGTTTGCCAAGGCCCCCAAACTAGGGCATTTTAACAACTGCCCCCCAAAAGATATGTATGTAAAGATACAACTCATCTAAAACGAAAATGTGCCCCTTACATTAAAATCACTTTTCTGCTGCTGTGCTATGAAGAGTTTTGAGTCCTCCTATTTTTATTTTAATATCGTCTTCCCTACCCAACCCTGCCAACAAAAAAACACTTACAGGTTTTGGTTGGTGGGCGTGAAAATACATTTTTTTCTGCAATTCATTAGCTAGGGGAAGCTGAAGCAGCTTCTGCCTAAATATTCCACCAAGTAGTGACATACCTCTATCTTCCTCTGCCCCAGCCTGTAGAATTTGACTACTGAACATGTTTCCCTTATCACACGGCTGCCACCACTTGAAACTGCCTCAGCTTGAGATGTCTTCCTCATGGCACAAGTTCGTAGGCAGCACTGATCTCCCTGTGGCTCTTACGCATTGTGGGCAACTGTACCTAAGCCAGCAACTGTGGGGAATGTGTGGCACTGCCAGTAAAGCCCTCCAACCATACCAAGGGGGGCTGTGTATTAATAGCAGCATGGAGGAAGAAGAGAGACTCCAGCAGCAGTGCTGTAATAAGCAAACCAATCTTCCAAAAAGAGATTGCAAAGTTAGAAGTAACCTATTGCCAAGATAGGGCAATGCCTTCTAAAGTGAAGTTTTCGAGTGTATTGGAATACCTGATAGAAGAAAGCCGTCAGCAAACTTTTGTTTCTTTCCATGTTCTCTGTGAAAAGGTGTGTGTGTTGATTACAAGACAGTCATACATGGGAAGCATTTGGGAATGAAAATCAAGTGTTTCCAAGAGACATAGGAAGAGACTTTGCACCTTTTAAGGCAGCTTGGGGATGTACGTAGCTTCTTTGTACTCCTCCTTTCTTCCAGCTGGGAGAACGGGCAATACAAAGTCTGGCTCTAATTTGGCTTTTGGATTTTTAATATAAAATTAAATGTTATGGGAGTATGCAGCAAAGATGCATAGCACTCTTTTTTTAAGAGGTGGGAGTTGCAATGGAGTAAATGGAGTTTATCTATACTTATCCATTAAAGTGGGTGAATAGAGAGATGATTTTTGAAGGAAAAGCATAATTGTGTTGCGCACTGTGGCAGTGTGGTTTTAATGGTACAAATAGATGGTGAAAACAAGGTCTAATATTCTGCAGTTCATAACGACAGGTGCCAAGAGGTTCTGATACGGGTTTTTTGGGGGGGCGTGTCTGTGATGTACAGTGTGAATAAACGCTTGCAGCTCTTAGTCTTTTTGATCAATGAAGCACTTTTTTATTAATATTTTATTCTTTGTATGTAAAGCAGGACACTCGCGCCAGATAGCTGTGTATATATAATACTCTTCTCTCCTGAAGAGGAGCGCAAAGTTGCTCCTTTATATTTTTCAATTTTCTTTTGTCAAGAGCAAGACATAAATACTTTAGAATTGTTAAATATATAAATAAAAGTGAATAAAGTTTAGAGTTTTGCATGGGAGCATTTGCTGACCCACTTCCTACTTTTTTAACTGCCCCACCCTTCCGTAAGCTGGAGAAATGTGCTGCTACGTCTTCCCTTTTTCCTTATCACTGGTTTGGGCAGGGTGGTGGTGGCAACAACAGCAGCAGCGGCACAGAGCCTTGTTTGCCTTTGGAAGCAAGTTGACCTCTTGAGGGTTTTACTAGTATGAGATGCCTCTCCTCCTGTAAAAAACCTTTCAAAACCTTTTCATGTATATATGCGCACACACTGTGTTGTACCAAATGCACAAGCTATGAGAGACACCGGTGTACTACACAGCTACATCCCTCATTACTCACACAAGAAGAGAACACTGCATCACCAATTGGGTATTCTGCTTGAGGTGTGTTCACTACCTCAGTGGCAGGCAGTAGGTAGGATCTACAGCAGCCTTTCTCAAACTGTGGGTCCCTAGATGTTGTTGAACTACAACTCCCATCACCCCTAGCTAGCAAGGCCAGAGCTCAGGGATGATGGGAGTTGTAGTCCAACATCTGGGGACCCACAGGTTGAGAACCGCTGATCTACAGCATTAAATGACTTTTCCTGCGCTCCCAGCTTACCATATAAATTTCCCAGTTTACCATATAAATCTGCTACAAATTTCTTTCTCCTTACTCCCTTTAAGCAGCCCAGCTAAGTATCCCACAATAAAACTAGAGTTCTTCCTAGCACTTTTCTTTCATCTGATCTGTTTTGGCAAGAATCTCCATGTTTATAGCCTTCTCTGTCATCCCCTCTGAGAGCTCCATCACACTCTCTGGAAAGACGTTCCTGTGTAAACCATTTTGCAAGTGGGTGAGACTTCATATGAACATTTGGCCTGTAGTCTTTGGTCTGTGTGGTGTGGCTACTTGGAGCTGTCGATCCTTGGATTCCCTTGTGGTTCATTAGGAGCAGCTAATACCCATCTGGCTGGATAAAATGGCTTTCCATCTAATAAATTCCATGGATTTTCTTCTGAAACCACCTACAGCTTTTGGGGTTGCAGCCTAAGTGCCTGCAAATTGGAAAGGTTCCTAGGGCTTAAATGGGGTCTTTTTGGTTTGCAGCAGTTATATGGGCAAAGACAGAGCCTTCAGAACTTAGTAGTTGGGACACACACGCGCGCGCACACACACACAAACACACACACTGCTTTGTAACCTATGTCATTTAGCCCTGTTAATATCTTTTCGTCTGTTTCTTGACAAGTGTACCTGAAATGTAACTGGGAGCTAAGCAGGTGTCCAATGGAGGAGCCACATTCCAAACTTTTTGACACAATGCCACTGTCCTTACAGGTCAGGTTTGCTTTGTATTCCATAATGAGCTAGAAGTTGATTATGCTGAGAGGTCATAACATACCTGTATGTCATTAAGGTAGAGGCACAAAGAGTAACTTGGGGATCTGTTCAACTGTGACTTGCAGCCATGAATGGCATCCAGACTTGGGCTCATACACTTCTTTCTATATCCTCATGGCTGTTAAAAATTAAGAACTGAAAAGAGTTGAATGCACACAGTTGAATGCAGTGTTTTGTGACAAAGACTGTTTGTTTCTCAAATTTCTACTTTTATTTACAGCAGTCTTTGCCAGCTTACTTCAGGGTAAGCAATACCTTTTTATTGTATCAGAACTGTCTCTCTCCCCACTAACTTCTTTAATCCAGGATAGTGCATGGCATCTCTTCTGCCTTCCTTCTTACAGTCTTCCTTTCAGAACTGGGTGTTTGTCATAAACCAAGGAAGTATCCAGAGAAGCTGCTCCAGTGCTATAAGACCCAGCTTTGTCTTCACTGTCCACTGGGCACATGTCTTGGTGACACCATCTGTAAGAGTTGCAGCAAAGCCCTTTGTGTACAACTGATTTAAACTGGAAATCTGGTTTTAAACTTTAAACCCATCAATGATTCTCCTACTGCATTAAGCAGAGGTGGTGAACCCTTGGCCCTCCAGGTGTGGCTGAGCTACATCTCCCATCAGCCTCAGTCAGCGTGGCCAATCATCAAGGCTGATGGGAGTTCTAGTTCAATAACTTATGGCGGGTCATAGGTTTCCCACCTGGCTAAAGGTTTGCAAGAAACTGCCCTGATGTATGTTGGAAACTAAATACTATCTCTTCGCCATAAGCATCAACATTTAATATTTATATTTAGTGAAGAGATTTGTGACCATCTGCTCTGCCACCCATATTCAGGAGCCTAATGTTCACAAGGCACGTGTGGTCCCATTAGAAAACCAAACAGTTTACTGGATAGATTTGACCACTCTGAAATGCTTATGTGAGAGTTGACCGCTTCCCACCAATATCACACAGCTATGTCCTCTCAGTATGTCCCTTTCTCGCTTCCCTACATGCATACAGCCTGGCGCTCTAGAGCCGTATGAGAGGTTCTCCGATCTAAACTGTTTCTCTTCAGCCTTGACAGCTGCACTGACTTTCAGCATTCCAGGACTGCCCCCCTTTCGTAAGCAGTTAAAAATATGAATATGCCTGTGCCATCTTAGAAATTGCTTTGGAGGATGGACTAAGCTTATTAAATACCTCTGAGCAGTATAGATGTCTGTGGCTGAAGCATTCGGCCTGGCAGCATATTCCAGCAGGAGAACTCCTATATAAAGCAAATACATAGGTGGTTAATATTACTGACCTATCATCCAAGTAACATTATTCTGCTACAGCAAGGAGGGAAACCTCAGGTTCAGGGGTAAAATATGGCCCTCAAGCACCACTTAACCTGGCCCTTAAGACTCTCCCTAGACCCACCCCTCACCACCCTTCTGTCATATCCTATTTGCCTGTTTAGGCTGGCTGGAGTATTCCCTTGAGCTCTAATAATGCTGCTTGCTGGAGGACAGGGGTGCATAGAAGCTAGTCTATTGTAAAAGATAAAATTTACATTTATTTCTCCACCACTTTGGGTTTGGGCCTTACGCATCACAGGTCTGTGGTCCCTGAAATGTTTCCCTGAATGGTATGCAACCCTCTAACTGAAAAAAGTTCCCCATGCCTGTGCCAGAGATCAGCCAGTCATACGTGAGTCATTCTGGCCCATGGTGGGCCTTTGTGGCATACAGACTAGTCTGTGAATATCCCCCCACCCCCGTATACACCTAATGCCACTAAAGTAACAGTCCAAAGATCTAGTGCCATCTCTTTACCACCCCTGCCGGGTGTTTTGTCTTTGCCAAACGTAATTCCAGAGGCAAAAGCTGAAAAATTGGATGTAAACTAGAAGGTAATGAAGATAATGTTTCCAGATGGGTGTATGCCTGAGGAAGTAGTCAATAGACCAGGTAGTCACAGGTGGTGGAACAGATAATGGCAGTGATTGGGAGCAACAAGGAAAGGTGACCTGGCCATTGGTTTCTCTGAAATTACACTGATCTCTGGCAGCCTGCTTGCTTAAAACTACAGCAGTTCACACAGACAGGAGATTGTGCATGCATCACCTTATGAAGAATACCGTGACATGTTCTTAGGAACAATTGCCTGAGTGAAAATAAGCTATTCCAGCTTGATGTGCTGGCTTTCCAAGAAATTCCGTTCTGTGCTGGTAACTTAAATCTTTTTGATGTCCACTGATTTGGTGCTGCCCTCTTGTGTACTGCTATGTGCCATATGATGTTAGTTGTACTGAGGGAGCCAGACTCTCCTTTGTATCGGGAACTAGAACACATTTTGTGCCTGTCAAAAATCCTCTTTTGATTGTCACGGTATTGGAAACAGCTGTTTTTCAATTATGGATTTATTCTCCCTATCCCAAAGTAAATTTCTTGCATCTTTTACATTAAGACATTTTACTCCTGCCTGAGATGAGTCACTTGCTACGTGGCTGTGCATCCAGTCAAAAAAATGCCACTTTTTAATCACTGGCCATAGGCTCGCAGTGCAGAGTTGGGTTGGAAGATCACCCAAAAATGCCCAGTGATCATAAGCTTCAGCCTACTGCACTGAATTCTACATCATTCTGTAGTAAGCTGCCAAAGTGATTATTTAACAGCATTTTTCATTACCTCCATAGATCCGTGCCAGAGCATAGGCAAAGTCTCTTGCAGACAGCTGCATCCCGGCTTCCCCCTTTAAGCTTATTTTCTGAGTGAACTGTTTGAGTTTGTGGAGATCATTTTGAACTATTTGCACAGAAATTTCCAGTTCAGAGACGCTAAGCGCCACCTTCAACCTGGCCTGCAAGGAAATCAATCATATGGTAATCAGTGTTTCTCGAAACAATCAGTACTGCTGTCCAATCTAAACCATCTTTTCAGCTGTTAGCAAATCTGAACCAAAGTTTACATTTTTTTCCGGACAAGTATGTTGATCTGAACAAGAAAGAGGCTTGGGGTACCTGAAAGGATTTACAGTTGTCAGTATGACATAAACTTTTAAGAACTTGAGTCCGCTTTATCACATGCATAAGCGTTATCACATAGTGCAATGGGGAGGGGGGGAGTCTGTAGACCTCCAACTATTTTTAGACTATACCTATCATTCCTGAATAGTGCCCATGCCAGCTAGATGATGGAGACTCCAAATCCCATGTTGCAGCTTCCCAATCACATCTGGAGGGTCATGTCCCCCTCCCATGTCATAGAATAAACACACATGATGTTAGATGGAATGAAATACAAAAATACAGCCAGGATCAAATACATTAAACTTTGAGTCAGAGCTTTCCAAACTGTGTTTCATGACATTTTAGTGTGTCGGCTGCAGTGTATAAGTGCAGCTGGTATAACCTTCCATTTGACAGCATGGCTAAGAATCAAGCCAGCCATCTATGCTAGATGTTTTTGTCACCTCTTAATAGTGGCCTGCTCCTCAACCTGTTACCCTCTGCCTTTCGGACTATAACTCCTGTTAGCCCCAGCCAACATGATGATTAAAAAGTACAGTGATTTCTTAAATACTTTGGCCCCTATTACACACATGTCTATTCACAAACTCTAGAAAACAACCATTCGTCTTTATATTCATGATATTTGAGCTTTGTCTCTTTGAAAACCACTCTAGCACAGACAAACTGCTGCAATCTCTTCATCACAGCTGAGGGCACAGGAATGGATGTGGCTTATGCACTCCTTTCCACCTTCTGCAATCTTAACAGTGGCTTAATGCAGCCTTCCCCAGCATGGTGCCCTCCAGATGGATTCAGCCACAAACTAGGCTATGTTCAATGTGTTGGCCTTGGTGTATAAAACCCTATAGACCTTGGGACCACGGTACCTGAACGTTCATCTCTCCCCCTATATACCCAGTCAATGATTATGCTCTGGAGGTGAGGGCCTTCTGCAGATGCCATCTTAGGAGGTTCATTCCACACATTGTAAGAATCAGGTCTTTAGGGTTCTGGCACCTGCCCTTTGGAGTCTGCTCCCTTTGAACATAATGTGCCACTTCTGTTGCTTTTTGGTACCTGCTGAAGACCTCCCTCTTTCAATAAGCCTTTTAAGTGGCTATATTTCCCAGTCTGCATCTGTACTGGAATGGTTTTTAAGATGTTTGATTGTTTTATTGCTTGCTTGCTTGCTTACTGGGCTCCTTTGGGTGGAAGGATAGAATATAAGTTTAACAAAACCACACAAACACACATGCCATCACCCCCTGCCAGCACAACTCTGTTGGCCATGGCTGTTGGGAATTGCAGTCAAAACCATTAGGAAGGCACCAGGTTGGAAAGTAGGCATAGTTTAGAATTACATTTGTAGCAGTGGCATTAACAGTAATGTGTCCTTGCTGAGGAATGCTCACCTGGGCAGTAGAGAAAAATGCATTCCAGCACTTTTCCTTGGCTCTTGACTAGGGAGCGCAGAACATCCAGAGAGAGGATATTGGTTGTTCCTTCCCAGATAGTTAGCACCTGTCAGGGAGTCAGAGAAAAGTGGGACAGCAAACAAAATGACAAGTGAAGGAAGCCAAAATCTAAGACGTTGAGGGAAAGTTGAGATGTTAGACTAGTAACAAGGAGAATGGAGCTAGAATGAATACATTGTGCAATACATTAGTGCAGCAATGGGAAACCTCCAGTCTGTGAACCAAATTAGGCGAGGCAAGGGTTCTCTTTGGCCCGTGAAGCTGTTTTCTGCAAACCAAGCCCACCTGATCCTCACCTGACATTGTATGTGAAATGAGGATGTGGCAGATAAAGACATGTAAAGGGAACAATCAGGATCCTTAAAGTGTACTACGCTGGATAGTTTCTTGGCAAACAAGGTTTGCTGTCAGTGCTGATCAGCTGTTCGGTGATGATACAAGCCCTGCAGGGATTGGCTGTGCTACAGAATTCTCAGAGCTTCTTAGTGCAGCTGATTCCTGCCCAAAGTGTGTCCTGCCCAATAGATCATGTGATGTCAGGTGAGTGGCAGGTAAGTGGCCCCAACGCCTGTCAAAATGGTCAGTGAAGGACCCTGTTTCTCACCCCACTTCCACATTACTGAGTACTGCTTGTGAGCTGGTCCTTCAGTTTCCCCAGTTAGGAATCTGACCTGCTGACTAGGGAGCGCAGAACATCCAGAGAGAGGATATTGGTTGTTCCTTCCCAGATAGTTAGCACCTGTCAGGGAGTCAGAGAAAAGTGGGACAGCAAACAAAATGACAAGGGAAGGAAGCCAAAATCTAAGACGTTGAGGGAAAGTTGAGATGTTAGACTAGTAATGGATAGAAGAGTAAGAACAACTGCATGTCACTCCAGATGAAATATCGCTCCTGAAATCTCTGCAATATATCAATCTCTGCCAATCTGTCACCCTCCAGATGTTTTAGACAACAACTCACACCAGCTATAGCATTCTAAGGCTGTGCTGGCTGGGACTGCCAAGAATTGTAGTCCAAAACAACTGGAGGGCACCAAGCTGGCAAAGACTGAAGAAAATAAACGTAGAAAGCTGAAAAACAAATTGCCCTTTCTGGTCACAAAATACACTAGTCAGCACGGTTTTGAGTTGGAAAATGGGTAGCAGAGGATGCTGAGCTCTTTCCCGACAGTTGATTTCTACCATCTGTGATGTTCCCATCCAGACTATATTAACAAGCAGGGGAATAGCATGGGGGGGGGAGCAGCAGACGCATGATTTTTAGGGGGTGTGAGCCACACAGGGATTCCTGTCCCACCTGCCTGCTGCTGGGGGTTATCAGCACTGGAGCCTGGCCTGGCCTGACAGCTGTGTCCCCAGCCCCCTTGCTGAATGTCTGCCTGGCCAGCGTCAGGGTGGGATGGGGATTTGCCAGCCAAGGGCCATGTCGGTCAGCCAGGCTTCTCCCTGCATGGGTGGGCAGGGGCATAGCGCCGCTTGATTCTGGTGGCCAGGGATGAACTAGCACACAGGCCCCATGTACGTACACTTAGCAGTGTTGGCATGTTGGGTTTTCTGGGCCCTGCATGTCCGCCCCCCGCCCAGTGCACACTTGCCCCCAGCCACCAAAAAGGAACAGAAGACCGCTGTAAACAAGTGAGAGTGGAATGGTGACACTTGCCCCCAGCCCTTCTCTGATGAAATGCAGTCTCCCGGATGTGCTTTGCAATAGAGAAGGGATTGCCCTCCAACTAATATTTTTGAATGCCCCTCCCAAATATAGCCTGTTTGTGTCTATCAGTTTACTATAAATATTCATCTTTGAAGAAATAACATTGGCACTAAGGGATTGTATCTAACTCATGATTAACACCTGCCGTTAAATTGAAGTCCCTGCTATTTGGCGCGTAAATCCAGTTACAAGCTGTAGGGACACAGTTTGAAGCTGCTCTTTCTAAGACATTCTCTATCAACAGCTGGTGCATTCTTAATCCTGGAGAAAGAGATGCAGAGAGTACATTTTTGAACTGCAGAACTTTTACCTGAAAGAAGAGTGAAAATAACTAATTCTAGTGTGAGCTTAGACCACTGTGACAAGCAATGTCTAAGCCCCTGGAGACTCCAAATAATGGAGCCACCACTAAGATTCTGAAGCCAGTTTTTGTCCCCTGCTCTACCTCAACAGCATTGCTATAGGATATAGGCTGCTGAAAGAAGGAAAAGCTAAGAAAAATGCATTTATTGCAGGGTGTGGGTGTGTGGCTTAATACCTGGGCATCCCGTAAAATTCCTGCCAGGCCTGTATCTTCCATGTAGCCCTGCCCTCCAAAACACTCCAGCCCTTCTGAGGTAACCGCAACAGCCTGCAACAAAGACATGTGGTATGTGCACATTCCCATTAACCTTGAACACCCAGAGATATGCCCCTGGTCTCCGCCCATCTCTGACCACTTCATATACACCTAAAGCGCATTACAGACCTGTCAGCAGACTGGGGTGTGGGGAGGTCAAATGCGGCACATTTGCACTATCCCACTTTGCACTGTCTAGAATCTGGGGATGGGAAAGGCTTGTTGAAAAGAGGATCAAGGCTAAGGGACCACCCTAGGGCAGAAGCCCATCCAGGAAAACATCGGAGTAGCTATCATTCCAATATGTTTATAATAGTTCAATTTCTTGAATACGCTTACCCTGGCAGGGTGTTACTATTTAATAATAATAATAATTTATTATTTGTACCCCGCCCATCTGGCTGGGTTTCCCCAGCCACTCTGGGCGGCTTCCAACAAAGATGAAAAATAAACTAAAATGTCACATATTAAAAACTTCCCTGAACAGGGCTGCCTTCAGATGTCTTCTGAATGTCAGGTAGTTGTTTATCGCTTTGACATCTGATGGGAGGGCGTTCCACAGGGCGGGCGCCACTACAGAGAAGGCCCTCTGCCTGGTTCCCTGTAACTTGGCCTCTCGCAGTGAGGGAACCACCAGAAGGCCCTCGGAACTGGACCTCAGTGTCCGGGCAGAACGATGGGGGAGGAGACGCTCCTTCAGATATACTGGACCGAGGCCGTTTAGGGCTTTAAAGGTCAGTGCCAACACTTTGAATTGTGCTCGGAAACGTACTGGGAGCCAATGTAGGTCTTTCAAGACCGGTGTTATATGGTCTCGGCGGCCGCTCCCAGTCACCAGTCTAGCTGCCGCATTCTGGATTAGTTGTAGTTTCTGGGTCACCTTCAAAGTTAGCACCACGTAGAGCGCATTGCAGTAGTCCAAGCGGGAGATAACCAGAGCATGCACCACTCTGACGTGACAGTCCGCAGGCAGATAGGGTCTCAGCCTACGTACCAGATGGAGCTGGTAAACAGCTGCCCTGGATACAGATTTGACCTGTGCCTCCATGGACAGCTGTGAGTCCAAAATGACTCCCAGGCTGCGCACCTGGTCCTTCAGGGGCACAGTTACCCCATTCAGGACCAGGGAATCCTCCACACCTGCCCGCCTCCTGTCCCCCAAAAACAGTACTTCTGTCTTGTCAGGATTCAACCTCAATCTGTTAGCCGCCATCCATCCTCCAACCGTCTCCAGACACTCACACAGGACCTTCACTGCCCTCACTGCTTCTGATTTAAAAGAGAGGTAGAGCTGGGTATCATCCGCATACTGATGAACACCCAGCCCAAACCACCTGATGATCTCTCCCAGCGGCTGCATGTAAATGTTGAAAAGCATGGGGGAGAGGACAGAACCCTGAGGCACCCCAAGCGAGAGCCCAGGGGTCTGAACACTCATCCCCCCCCACCACTTTCTGAACACGGCCCAGGAGGAAGGAGCGGTACCACTGTATGACAGTGCCCCCAGCCCCTCAAGACGGTCCAGAAGGATGTTATGGTCGATGGTATCAAACGCCGCTGAGAGATCCAGCAGAACTAGGAAACAGCTCTCACTTTTGTCCCTAGCCCGCCGGAGATCATCAACCAGTGCGACCAAGGCAGTTTCAGTCCCATGATGAGGCCTGAATCCTGACTGGAAGGGATCCAAATGGTCCGCTTCTTCCAGGCGTGCCTGGAGTTGTTCAGCAACCACCTGCTCAATCACCTTGCCCAAGAATGGAAGATTTGAGACTGGGCGATAATTGGCCATCGTGGCCGCATCTAACGATGGTTTTTTAAGAAGCTGTTTAATAACCGCCTCTTTCAGCTGGTCTGGGAAGGCTCCCTCACGGAGGGAAGCATTCACCACCCCACGAAGCCCATCGCCCAGTCCTTCCCAGCTAGCTTTTATAAGCCAGGATGGGCAAGGATCCAGGAGACAGGTGGTTGGCTTCATACGTCCAAGCAGCCTGTCCACATCCTCGGAGGTAACAGATTGGAATTGATCCCACACAACTTGACTAGACAGGACTCTAGCACTCTCCCGCCCTGGCCCTGCTCCCACGGTGGAGTCTACTTCTTCCCGAATCTGAGCGATTTTATCTGCAAAAAACTTTGCAAAGTCATTGCAGGAGTTCATGTGGCCCGTACTGGGCCCCGATGTCGCAGGTGGTTCCGCTAAATTGTGAACCACCTGAAAAAGTCTCCTGCTGCTGTTTTCTGCAGATGCAATAGAGGTGGCGAAGAATATCTTCTTCGCCGTCGCTATCGCCACTTGGTAGGCTCGACGTTGAGCTCTAACCTGTGTCCGGTCAGATTAGGAATGAGTTATCCGCCACCGGCGCTCTAACCGTCTCAACTATTGTTTCATTGCCCTCAGATCCGTGGAAAACCACGGGGCTGTCCGGGCTCCATGCAATCGGAGAGGGTGCTTCGGAGCCAAACAGTCAATAGCCCTGGTTAACTCCACATTCCAGCGGGCCACCAGGGAATCGGCTGAAAGGCCATCAACATGGGATAAAGCATCCCCTACCAATCTTTGGAAACCATTTGGATCCATTAAGTGGTGGGGGCGGACCATCCGAATCGGTCCCACCTCCCTGCAGAGGGGATGGGTCGCAGAGAAGTCCAGTTGCACCAGGAAGTGATCTGACCATGGCACTTCTTTCGTTTCACAACCACTTGGCCATTAAACAGTTACCAAGTTTTGTTCTTCCCTTTCCTTTCCTCTTCTCCCCCACAATAAGAATCTGGCTCCTCTGTGAATCCTCCCTTTTTGCTTCAGAGCCCAATATGTAACTAAACCATGAAACCAAATTCTAGGCCTTGAAACAGTACTTGTTTCCCAGTGTAAAGTTTGGCAACAGGCGTCAGCAGCCTAAGCATGTGCTGGTCTTGTTCAGTGTCCTTCTTGGTTTCTTCCAGTCCAAGCAATTTCCCTATCTCCATCATCAGCAGGAATGCTCCTCGAGCTTGCACCTGCAGGAGCAAGACAGCGTGGGATCATTGGGGCAGGGTGGAGGAGCACACAATGTTCTTACAATAAGTATCACTTGGCTGCAGAAACAAGGATTTCATGTTGGGCAAGAGCGGTAGCTGAGTGGCAGAACACCTGGTTGGTAAACAAAAAGTCCCAGGATTAATCCCTGGAATATCCAGGTAGGGCTGGAAGTGTTCCCTGCCTGAAACACTGGAAAGCCAGTGCCAGATAATGTAGACAGTAATGAACTAGATGGAAAACGATGTCTTACTCAGTTTAAGTTACAGATAGGTAGCCGTCGGGGTCTGCCATAGTCAAAACAAAAAAATTCCTTCCAGTAGCACCTTAAAGACCAACTAAGTTAGTTCTTGGTATGAGCTTTCGTGTGCAAGAACTAACTTAGTTGGTCTTTAAGGTGCTACTGGAAGGTTTTTTTTTGTTTTTACTCAGTTTAAGGCAGCTTCCTATGTCTTAAGGATCTTAGCTTAATGGTAGAGCATTTGCCTAGCATGCATTAGGTCCCAAGTCTGATGCCACACATATCCAGGTAGGGCTGCCTGAAATCCTGGTTGAGTGCCTGATATATCCAGGTTCCCTGCCTGAAATCCTGGAGAGCCATTGCCACCACCTCTGGTCACTTCTTTTTGCACTCCCACTCGTAAGCTCCCACTGCACCTTGAGACAGAGAAAAACTACAGGCATTTTGCTTTTCTAAGGGAGCTGCTGGATCCAACAGAATTTATCTGAGGTCTGAAAAGAACATGGAGCTGAAAGAGGTTGTGAGAAAGAACCTCACTCTTCCAACTTCCTCCTTTGGCTTTTTGGGCTTTTCAAGGGAGAAAGAAAAGACCACCTTCACCTCACAACCAAGAGGAACGTGAATGTGGAGAGGAGTCTCATGTGCTTCGTAGGTGGCAGGGGAGGACCTCAAGGGTCAAGGTCAAACAAAACCAGCACCTCCGAATGCTCACCTCCATTCGAGCCAAAGTCTGCATGTGCAAAGGGTGAGCCTTCAGGGGTTTTCCAAAGGCTTCCCTCTTGGTGGCATAATCCCTTGCCAGGGTGATCACTCTGGAGATGGAAGGCAATTTTTAGCTAATTAAATGCAAAGGTCACATGTGAGAAGACATGCCCCAAGGTCGCAAAGGCCACAGCTGTTGAGAGGAGTGACTAACCTGTGGTCTTCCAGATGTTGCTGGACTACAACTTGCACCAGCCCCATCCAGCGTGGCCAATGGTCAGAAATGATGGGAGCTGTAGTCTAACAACATCTGGAGTGTCTCAGGTCCCTCATTCTTCCTCTGTGTAGATTTGTGATTGAGGTAGCTAATTGTAGCTCACAAGTAGTGCTTTTATTTGAGAGATAGTAACATGGAAGTTACCATCTGCACCATACACTGCAAGTACATGTTTCTCCCAAAGGAATCCTGGAAACTGTAGTTTACTACCACAATTTGGAAACCAGGAGTTTCTTAACAGCATTTTCACAGCCAACTTCATCTTACTTTAATGCTTATTCAGACAGCAGCATGATTCAAAGAGCCATAATTAAGCTCAAGCACCCAGCAGGTCTTAGGGAAGAGGACATGAATTACCTTCTCATGTACCCAACTGCACCAATGACATTGTGGATCCTAGTGATGGTCAGCATGTTTACAATGGAAGCCACACCCCGGCCCTCTGCAGAGATCTGGAAGCATGAAGCAGAAAAAGCCAGAATAAGGTTAATTAGCATGGTCTGGATTGAAATTTAGTAAAAAGGGAATCTCTTTGCTTTCTCTCATGTTCTCCCTGGGGCATAAAAGCCTATAATACCCTTTCTGCCTGCCGGTAACTCCTAAGCAGAGCAGTGGGAACTCTGCACAGATTCTTCAGTCAAGAAATACGTGCACACAGCACAGTTGCATAGATACATATCTAGCCATTAGGAAGGGAAGAGCAGCTCATAGGGTATAAACACAAGGAATGGGGTGAGGAGGCAGCTCAGTAAGCAAAACAAACCTGAAACATGCTAACCAACGATTGATGCAATTCTTTGGTAAGGATCTGCGTAACAGAAGCAGAAAGGGCATGAAGGCCAAGGAACGAATTTTCGAGGATGCCAGTTTTGGGATGGGACCAAAGGCAAAAGTGATCATGGACAATAATCTACTTTCAACACAAACACCTCTTTATTCTCCATCCAGACAAAGGCCATTATTGGAGTTCAAGGACACATTCCACCCTGGCCAGAAAAAAACAACCCTTGGGGTATAAAGTAGGGCCAGTAGGGTGTGTGGCCTGAGGAGTTTTAAGGCCCAGATAGAGAGACCTGGAGCACCGCATTTGGCCTCCAGGTCTGAGGTTCCCCATCTGTGAGGAGATTGTAAGGTAGAGGCCACAGAGTGCATTGGCCTGCTCTTAGTCTTCCTCTGAGTACCATAGTACTCCAGAAGGCATTGTTCAACAGTTCGATGCTGTTTCTTTTTTGCTAGTAACTTGGTCTTCCTAAGGAGGCGGAAATTCTCATCCATGCTGCTTTGGCTGTTAGATGTCTGCTTCAGCACCTGCATGGCAGCTCCATGCATGGGCAAAATCCACAGAGAGCTGCCCTGCTCCAGAGCACCTTGCTTTCATTTGTCTCATACCAGGGAAGTAGAAAGTGAGCTTTGGAGGAAGTTTTCCTCCACACCTTTTTCTTTCTGCTCACCTTGAGTGACTTGGCTCCATTTAGGAGGAGCTCTGCGGTCGGCAGTTGCCTTGTGCCCAGCTTGTCTTTCAGCCGTTGTATCTCAATCCCATTCAGCTTCCCTTCCTCATCGCACATCTTCAGGTAGAACAGAGACAGACCTTTGGAGCCCTGCGGCCGAGAATGCAAAGGTGAGAAACACTGACTGGTAACAAGGAGAATGGAGCTAGAATGAATACATTGTGCAATACATTAGTGCAGCAATGGGAAACCTCCAGGCTGTGAACCAAATTAGGCCAGGCAAGGGTTCTCTTTGGCCTGTGAAGCTGTTTTCTGCAAACCAAGCCCACCTGATCCTCACCTGACATCGTATGTGAAATGAGTATGTGGCAGGTAAAGACATGGCTGTAAGGGAACAATCAGGATCCTTAAAGTGTACTACGCTGGATAGTTTCTTGGCAAACAAGGTTTGCTGTCAGTGCTGATCAGATGTTCGGTGATAATACAAGCCCTGTAAGGGATTGGCTGTGCTACAGAGTTCTCAGAGCTTCTTAGTGCAGCTGAGCCACCACCCTTTTCCTGACCAAAGTGGGTCTTGCTATAAGCGCTGATCAACTGTTTAACACAGCAAGGCCCAATGGATCATGTGATGTCAGGTGAGTGGCAGGTAAGTGGCCCCAACGCCTGTCAAAATGGCCAGTGAAGGACCCTGTTTCTCACCCCACTTCCACATTACTGATTACTGCTTGTGAGCTGGTCCTTCAGTTTTCCCAGTAAGGAATCTGACCTGCTGTATTTGTCCATCAGCAGTCATGCTCCTTGCCAGTGTCAAAGTTATATCTGAATCGGTGGCCGAAGTAAACCATTTCAAGCCATGGAGACTGTAGCTGCCATCAGGGAGTTCCAGGGCTACTGTCTCTGTGCCACGAGCTGCAAGAAAAGAACACCCAGTCTTAGCTGCTGCTGATCTTCACAAATAACCAGCACTGGCTTCAAGCTGAAGAAAAAGCAACATTATCATTCAGCAGTGTAGCGAAAAAAGAAACTGGCACCTCAGTAACTTTGGGAAAAGGTCATGGCACCTGCTTCATATGCAGAAGTTCCCAGGATCAAACCCCAGCATTTCTAGGTAGGGCTGGCAAAACCCCCTGCCCCAAACCCTGGACAAAAGCTGCCAGTCTGTGTAGATAATACTGATGCTGTATAAGGCAGCTTCCTATGTTCCTATGGTGAAACTGAAGCAATAGGAAAACTTAAGCAGCTACAATGTTTGCAATCCATAGGATTGGTTATATATTACCTGTCCACCAGCAAAGTTGCCATGGTGATTACTATGGGCTTGGCCTATGTGACATAATAATAATAATAATAATAATAATTTATTATTTATACCCCGCCCATCTGGCTGAGTTTCCCCAGAAGCCTGCGGATAGATCTGAGTTCAGGTTTAACAGAATCACATGAGAAAGCATTAGAAACTATCCTATTTTATTCATATAGTCATGGTGCTGCTGTGAGTTAATTGAATTTTTAAACTGCGAGACTGCACATGCTTAGAGTATTATCTTTCTTTTACAGTATTACCAGGTTGGTAAACTGTTTTTCATTTGTTCGTTTTTCTTTTCCATTAGAAACGTGGAAGCAGTTAAAGGCATGGAATGGAAGAGGTGTTGGGGTGGTGGGAGAAATGTTATTTGTGCATTTCTCAACAGACGTTATACACATGGCCATCTAAATGACCTCTCTCCATGCCTCAACAGACCATTAGGCTGATGGTGTATAACATTATCTAGCTGCACCACTACTCATTTCTTAAGGCATTTTGTATTGCACTCTGTGTCAGACTTCCCACTTTGGGGCACACTTACCAACATCAGAGCCCCCTCTCCGTTCAGTCATCCACTGGCCAGAAGTCCAGAATTTGGCAGCGTCACGTGATGTCAAGTGGATAAAAACTTCTTTGAGGGGTTTGGGGATACCTAAGGACTGTTGGGAGTTGCAGGAAACAGACGGGAGAAAGAACAACAAACAGGATTTCCTCTCCTGGTTCCTTCCACAGCAGCCCAAAGCTCCTTTGTCCTGTCATTTGTTGCTCCTCCCTCTTTATTCCACTGCATGCTTTAGGAGACCAGGTGGGAGGAGAGCTGGTCTCAGCAGGAGGGGGGGTGTGATGGCCTGGGATTCCGATTCGGAGGATGAAACAGAGGAATCCCAGCCTGCACAGGAGTCCCCGCCTCCAGGGCCGGCTGAACTGGGGCAAGGCCTAGATGCTGAAGAGCCTGCACCTGTGGCAGTGCATCAGGAGCTGGCCCCAGGTGAAGCCCTTCTGGCCCCAGAGGGGCTTGACGACTCAGTGGCCACAGGTGAGCCTCCTCCAGGGCCCAGTAACCCTTCGGCCTCTCCTGATCTGCAGAGGCTTAGGGCAGAGAGGCGAAGGGAACTGGTTGCCCCCAGGAGGAGTGCTCGCCTTAAGGCCAGAGGAGGCGGGGCTCCTGGGGGCCGGGACCGCCCCTGGCCTTAGAAGAGGATAAAAGCCCAGTCAGCCCGGCCCCAGGTTGCGGGAGCAACGTCGTTGTTGGCTTCGGACCTTCCTGTGTTCCTGATCCCTGCTCGGCCTCCTGTTCCTGACTATCCGGTACTCCTGTTTCCTGCTCGGCTTCCTGTTCCTGACTATCCGGTACTCCTGTTCCCTGCTCGGCCTCCTGTTCCAGCGTTCCTGTTCCCCGCCCGGCTCTCCGCCTCGGACCTCGCCCCTCTTCGTGTGGACTCTGCTACACCCACGGTACCTTACCCCCGGGACCAGCACAGTTTGCTCCCGCCACACCCGCACTCCCCCTTCGTAGGGGTGCGTTCGGGAAGAGCCAGAGGCCATGGCTGACCAGGCGGCTGCACTGGTGGCTTTGGCCCAGGAGAACCAGGCCTTGACTCACACCGTGCAGCAGCTCAGTAACGCGGTTGCGGCACTTCAGCAACGCTTGGAAGCCCTACCGGCTCCTGGGGCCGACGCCCCGACTCCTGGCAAGTACCCAGTGGCTTTGCCTGAGAAATTTGATGGAGCCCCGGCCAGCTTTCCCATGTTCCTGGCCCAGGCCAAGCTGTATATTCAGGGGCGAGCCCGGAACTTTCCTGACGACCGCACCAAGGTGCACTTTTTGATTAGTTTGTTAAAGGACCAGGCGGCCAAGTGGGCGTTGCCGCTACTCAGGCAAGACTCCCCCTTGCTGGCAGACTATACGGGGTTTTGCAATCGTTTGGAGGCCGCGTTCGGCAACCCCCAGAAAGGGAGTCAAGCCAAACGGGCGATTCGGCGTTTGAAACAGGGCAAGTCCACGGTGGCCGCATATACCACGGAGTTTCGGCTGTTGGCACAGGACTTGACCTGGAATGACTCGGCACTGCGGGACCAGTATCTCGAAGGGCTTTCGGACAAGGTACTGGACCAGTTGGCCACAATGGAACGCCCCACCACGCTAGACACTCTCATTCAACGGAGTCTACAAATAGACGACCGGTTGGAGGATCGTCGTCAGGCCAGGGGTCGCCGACACTTCCAGTTCGCGGCACCAGCTGTTTCCGGCAGCCCCACGGTCACAACTGATTTAACGGAGGAGCCTATGCAGCTCGGGGCAGTGCGGCCACGCCTTTCCCCCGCAGAGAAGGCGCGGCGTCGGGAGGGAAATCTCTGTCTTTACTGTGGCGGAAGTGGACACTTTGCTCGGTCCTGCCCTGAGAAACGCCAGCCGCAGGGAAACGGCCAACCCCAGTAGCTGATGGCCCTAGCTACCGGGGGTCCCAAACCGCGCAGAATGGGCCCGCACCAATGGACTTGCAACATCTTATGGTTTCGGTACGTTTATACCCTCCAGGTGGGCCCTGGATCCTCACCCATGCTTTGATAGATTCAGGGGCAACTCGCTCCTATATGGACGCTGCTTTTGCCGCCCATCATCAGGTGCCACTTCGGAACAAGTCAGTACCGGTCCAGGTGGAAGCGACTGACGGACGACTTCTGCGTTCAGTTGCCGTTACTCAGGAGACCCAGCCCCTGGTCCTGTGTCTCCAGCAGCACCGGGAGTTGCGAACTTTGGACATTGCCTCTATGCCCCGCTTCCCCCTGGTGCTCGGGATGGACTGGCTGGAAGCCCACAACGTTCAGATTGACTGGGTCAAACGGACCGTGCACTTCCCAGACCCATGTTCCCATGCTCAATCCGGGACGCTGGCGGCCGCGCCCTCAGAGGAGGCAGCACCCACGCTCCCAGCCGTGTACCAGGACTACCAGGACGTGTTCGAGGAACGGGGGGCAGACCAGCTGCCGCCGCATCGGCCTTTTGACTGCGGCATAGACCTCCAACCCGGAGCGCCTTTACCAGTGAGTCGCTTATATTCTCTAACAGAGCCAGAGCGCGAGGCTTTGCAGGACTTCTTGCGCAAGAACCTGGAGCGTGGGTTCATTAGGCCTTCCACCTCGCCTACCGCGGCACCAGTGCTTTTCGTTAAGAAGAAATGTGGGGAACTCCGCCCTTGCCATGATTACCGAGCCCTGAACAAAATTACCGTCCCAGACCGGTACCCCTTGCCCCTTATCTCGGAGCTGCTGGAGCGGGTGCAAGGGGCACAGGTGTTCACCAAGCTGGACCTCCGGGGGGCCTACAACTTGATTCGGATCCGAGCTGGGGATGAGTGGAAGACAGCGTTTGGGACCCGGTACGGGCAGTTCGAATATTTGGTTATGCCTTTCGGTTTGTGCAACGCGCCTGCTGTGTTCCAACGCTACATCAACCACGTGTTTCAGGACTTGTTAGACAAGTACGTGGTGGTGTATTTGGATGACATACTGATTTACTCCCGTGACCCGGCTCGCCATGAGGGACATGTCCGGACCGTGCTGCAGCGCTTGCGTGAGCACCGTTAGTACGCAAAGCTCAGCAAGTGCGAGTTCCATCAGCGGACTGTGGACTTCCTTGGTCACCGGCTCTCTCCAGATGGGGTGCAAATGGACCTGGGGAAGGTGACAGCGGTTCGAGAATGGGCGGCACCCCGGAACCGCAAGGACCTACAGCGTTTCCTGGGGTTCGCCAATTACTACCGGACCTTCATTGCTGATTATGCTCATCGCACCACCCCGTTGACCCGGCTACTGCGCCCAAAGACGCCGTTTTCCTGGGACAAGGAGGCAGAGGAGGCGTTTCAGGGGTTGAAGGCCTGTTTCCAGAGGGCACCAATCTTACAACATCCTGACCCCTCTCGACCCTTTGTGGTGGAGACCGACGCCTCCAGTACGGCTCTCGGTGCCGTCTTGTCTCAACAGATTGGTCCTGAAGCGCCACTCTTACCCTGTGCCTTCTATTCCCGCCAGCTCCTACCAGCCTCCCGATACCGCAGGGGAAAGCTGCAGTATCTCATTGACTGGAAGGGGTACGGACCGGAGGACCGTTCCTGGGAACCAGCGGCCAACGTCCACGCACCTGCCTGCCTCCGAGAGTTCCATGCGACGTACCCCGGCAAGCCGGGTCCGGACCCTCGGTTGAGGGGGGGGCCTGGGAGGGGGGATGGTGTGATGGCCTGGGATTCCGATTCGGAGGATGAAACAGAGGAATCCCAGCCTGCACAGGAGTCCCCGCCTCCAGGGCCGGCTGAACTGGGGCAAGGCCTAGATGCTGAAGAGCCTGCACCTGTGGCAGTGCATCAGGAGCTGGCCCCAGGTGAAGCCCTTCTGGCCCCAGAGGGGCTTGACGACTCAGTGGCCACAGGTGAGCCTCCTCCAGGGCCCAGTAACCCTTCGGCCTCTCCTGATCTGCAGAGGCTTAGGGCAGAGAGGCGAAGGGAACTGGTTGCCCCCAGGAGGAGTGCTCGCCTTAAGGCCAGAGGAGGCGGGGCTCCTGGGGGCCGGGACCGCCCCTGGCCTTAGAAGAGGATAAAAGCCCAGTCAGCCCGGCCCCAGGTTGCGGGAGCAACGTCGTTGTTGGCTTCGGACCTTCCTGTGTTCCTGATCCCTGCTCGGCCTCCTGTTCCTGACTATCCGGTACTCCTGTTTCCTGCTCGGCTTCCTGTTCCTGACTATCCGGTACTCCTGTTCCCTGCTCGGCCTCCTGTTCCCGACCATCCGGTGCTCCTGTTCCCTGCTCAGCCTCCTGTTCCAGCGTTCCTGTTCCCCGCCCGGCTCTCCGCCTCGGACCTCGCCCCTCTTCGTGTGGACTCTGCTACACCCACGGTACCTTACCCCCGGGACCAGCACAGGGAGACTCCCTGAATTCTTCAGCAGCCTGCCTCATTTCTGTCTCCTGGCTCCATTCCTCTGACACCTCTGAGGCTCGGCTGCCCTCCGCCACAGCCTCTTCCTGCTCACTAAACCCTGTTGCTTATTCAGCTTTCAACACTTTCCTCTGACCCTGCATCATTGTCCTACCACAAATTCCCTGGCTCTGAGCCTTCTTTGCCTGGTGGTTCCCTTGCTGGTGCCCCCCCACCACTCCTCTGCATCCAACCAGTCCATGACAGTCTGGGTGAGCTGCAAAGTCAGGCAAGGGAGCTTTCCCACAGAGGTCTTACACAACAACTCACTATGGTGCCCTGTAGGCTCAAAGCCCAGTATGGTGGAACCAGTTGCGCTGCCAAAGATCTGCCTCTGAGATAATGGCTAAAAGGGTTTTCAGCAGAGCTGGCTGATATGCTTCACTTTGGATCTAAGCAGAGCCAGGATGCCACGTATGCACCAGTTTTGCTAACTCCTAATCTGGCCTTATTAGGAAAGGCCTTGGGGAACTGAGGAATATGTCTTATATAGAGTCAGACCATTAGCCTAGCTCAGTATGAGTCTAGCAGCTCTCCAAGGTTTCTAAATAATAGTGTTGTGGATAGGGGTTTTGTTTTTTGGTAAGGGGAACTTATGGGTAGGGCGTTTTACTTTGGTAGCAGCATTCCAGAAATGAACCTCCAACTTAGTCTAATTCAGAGCAATGCAATATAGTGATCTACCCGCTGAGCACTGACTTGTGATCTCACCTCTATTACTTTTGCTGCTCCATCAGTCATGGCCAGAGGAGCTAAAAAAGTACCAGAAGAAGGTGCGAAAAGGTACAGTTTGGCAATCTGATGAATGCGGCTGTGGAAGGAGAAACAAAGCCCTGCTGAATTTAGAAATGCCAAGGGAAAAATATATTTGCTATAGAGAGATCTCAGCTGGATTATAGCTACACAAGAACACAAGAAGAGCTTGGCTAAAGGCCTATCAGGTTCAGCACTCTGTTCTCACAGTGGCCAACCAGATGCTTCAATGAGAAGCTCACAAGCAGGACATGAGTACAACAGCAATCTTCCCACTTCCAATTCCCAGGAAATGGGGTTCAGAGGCATACTGCCTTCAACAGTGGAGGCAGAACATAGCCATCATAGCTACTAGCCATTGATAGCCTTACATGAATTTGCCTTGCTGACTTTTAAAGCCATCCAAATCGGTGGCCAATCATTACATGCTGTGGGAGTTCTACTGTGGGAGTGCTTTCATCTAGAAAAGTGTCACTATCCCCACTGTAGGGACATTTCATTTTGAATGGCACTGGAGGTATATGGACATGTTTGCCGCCCTGAAGTGTGGCCAACTGAGTGTGAAGGTGTCAACTAAAATTGTACCTCCAGTTAGAGTATCTCCTCTCATAAGCCTCAGCAATCAGCCCCTCCTCAGCCGAGATCTCCTTCATCCTCTTCCAGGCTGGGCAGGTGATAATTTCATCCACACGCTGCCCCCAGGCATCGAACTGCTTAAGTTGTGGAGGGTTTAACTCACACTCACGTCCCAGGAGATCAATTTCATCCTTCACTCGAGCCCCAAACTGTTCAAGGTCTAAACTTACGTCAGCAAATACCTGCAAAGTAAAAGAATGCAGACAGATGGACAAGTACGTATCGGTATGTATGTATGTATGTATGTATGTATAAATAAATAAATAATAAATAAATAAAATAAAAACATCACAGCAAGCAGAACATAAAACAAAGTATTGGGCTCCCTGTTTGACCTCACCTGTCTCTTATACTGATCCTTTTAAACTGAGTATTATGTACTGCTGTTATTTGAAATGTGCTTATGTTATAAGGAATCAACCCCACTGACTGTACTTTTGGACTTTCCTCCAAAACATGGCTTGGGAGACTGTCTTGCACTTAAAAAATTTACTACTTAATAACTGCACATACATAATGACCCATACATAGTTCACTTTTCACCTGATTCAACTAGTGAGGTTTGTTTTTAACTGTGGACAGCAGCTTGGGAACAGGGCAAACTGCTGGCTTCTTGCATAACTTTTAAGCAAAGAACAAACACCCATCTGACTTTTAAATCAGTAGAGGGCAAAATACTTTGCTGTAACTCAGGGGAAGAGCATCTGCTTTGCAGACAAAAGGTCCCTAGTTCAATCCCCAATGGTGGCTCCCAGTAGGGCTGGGAAAGGTTCCCTGTCCAAACCCCTGGAGAGCTGTTGCCAGTCAAATATAGACAATACTGAGCTAGATAGGCCAATTGGTTTGATTCAGTGGAAGGTACCTTCCTATGTAGGGTCAATTAACACAGGTGAGAGAACAGAACCTTTAGCAACGTGCAAAAGATAGTGGTGGCTTGTGCAGTGGTCCTTGGTATAGGAACAGGAATTTTACTAACCTGTCTCTATTTCCATTTGTGAAATACTGGAGGGTATTCAAGGACAGCTTTGGAATTCAGTGTAGGCTGCTACATTTGGATGAACGGGGTGCTGCCCTAAGAGTCTCAGTCTTGCCTTTTTTAAAATCAGAGGAAGTAGTCAAATCCATGTAAATTGTCTGTGCAAACGAGCTGAGAGTCTTGCATTGTGGAGGGTTGGATGAGATTACCCTTGGAGTCCCTTCTAATTCTACAATTCTAGGAGTCTCTAGATGTCACAGAACATTTTGTGTGTGCGTGCGCATGCATTAAAGATATATGTGTGTGTCTATGTATATATGATGATATATAAAATACAGACCTCAGTGGGTAGGTGTGATTTCAAGTAATCCTGAAGAAAAGCATCTTCCAGGTATGGATTTCCAATCCTAGGCTGCTCTTGACAAAAGACCCCAATTTCTTTCCTGGCAAAAAGCTCCCTTGGGTGTTGTGAGGAGCATTGTTGATCCATGGGCTCCGCTTGCTGATTCCAGCCTTTGGAAAACGCGATTGGCCTTTTGCCCCAATCTTTGCACTTTTGATTCCCTGCTTGCCCTAAGCTTTGCAACCAAACTTCGCAGTTTGACAGCTTCGGCTTGCAAGGCGTCCACATGGCCAACTTGCCAAAATAAACGAACAAACCAAAAGCCAAAAAGCAAACCAAAAGCGGCCGAAGAAAGAACCTAGCGGGCGCGTTTGTTTCGCCTTGAGCCACCTCCCCCTTCCAACAGGCGGGAACTGGGGCTTGTAACAAAACAAAGGACGCCCTTTCCCTTGCGCAAGTAGCCGGCAGGACGAGCCTGAACGGGACCTTGGAAAGGGCTGGCACCTATTGAAGGTTTCGGGGAAAGATTGGAGGAGGAGGAGGAGGAAGCAGCGGAGCTGGCGAAGCAGATTCCCTCCCTCGACCCGAGCCAACTTTACTTGCAAGAAAATAGGAAGCTGCCCCTTGGTCCATCGAGCTCAGTATTGTCCACAAACCCTGGCAGCAATAGCTCTCCAGGTTTTCAGGCAGCGAGTTTCTCCCAGCCCAGCCTTTGGAGATAGATGCTTTGAGGCACTGAACCCGGATTAATGCTTTAATATAAAAATAAACGGCCAGAGGTTTCCCCCCTCGGGTCAAATAGAATCCTGCCCGTTTCCCGCCTAAATTCAGCGCCCGCCTGAGAGGAGCGTCGGAGTTCGACCTGAAGGGAAGCTCCGTCTGAGGGAAATTGCGGCTTTCCCTCCCGCCGTCGCAAAACTCCCCCAAATATATAGGGAAAGAAGGAAACAAACGTCCCCAGTGCTTGCCCCAACTTCGAGATAGCCCACAGCCTAATTAGAGGTCTGGAGAGGCTCAGTTTCTTCTCAGTTTGAAAATAGCCCTCCTCTGATCTGATCCTCAAGGGAAACGCGCTCTGCACTTCCTCAGGGACACCTCAGCTGCCCTTCACGCGTTCCAGGGGTCGCTTAGTATTCATTTCTTAAATTTATAATCCCGCCCTTCATTGCAAATGAGCCCAGGGAGGCAAACACTTCTGTAATAAAACAATACAATTAACGACTAAACAAACAAAAAAAGAGCAGTTAAAAAAGCTCTGGGGAGAAATTCACCTCACAGCTAAACATTTCAGGGATTGTGTCCAACTTAAGTCCTGCTCAGGGTAAACCAGTGGAATTTAATTGATTTAAATGAGTCACACCCACTAACTTATTGTATGGTACATACAGTGTATGTATAATTGTTGGAAACCACTTGGATATTGTTATGAGTATATACACATTTATTAAAAATAAATAGCCCTCTGTGGGTCTGCTCTGAGTAGGACTAGCATTGGTGCAACCCAGAATTGCCAGGGACAGTATCTGTCGGCCTTCAAATGCACCGGATCAGGGGTCAGCAAACTTTTTCAGCAGGGGCCCAGTCCACTGTCCCTCAGGCCTTGTGGGGGGGGGGCGGACTATATTTTTTTGGGGGGGAAATGAACGAGTTCCTATGCCCCACAAATAACCCACAGATGCATTTTAAATAAAGCTCACATTCTATTCATGTAAAAACATGCTGATTCCCAGACCGTCCGCAGGCCGGATTTAGAAGGCAGTTGGGCCGGCTCCCGATCCGTCCCGGGGCCTTAGTTTGCCTACCCATGCACTGGATAAACAGGAAAGTTTTGAATTACTCCTAAAGGTTGCAGACAGACGCACCTCACTAGGGAGGGCATCATGGGCATAGCCAGCGGGGCAGCTGTTTCCCCCTCAAAAAAATCAGTACAAATCAATACAAATATGAAGTTCTATCCCCCACTAACAAAAGTTTGCCTCCCCTAACAAAAGCCTGCTCCTCAAGAACAATCCTGGCTACACCCATGGAGGGCATTCCATCAATGGGGAGCCGCCACCAAGAAGACTCTGTCAGTTCACGGCTAAGTGGGCAACTGCCCACGTTTAAGTCATGGTGTTGAAGGAGCTGAGTGTTTGACACAAATTAAGCACCGCTATGAAGTGTGCATGCAGATTTGATACAAAATTTAGGGAGTGTGGGGAAGAGCATCACCTCTCCCCTGCCTTAGGAATTTCTCAAGAGTGCTCACCCACATTCGTACCTAAGGTTTTGAGTGGTGGCAAAATATGAGACCTGAACTTCTGACATGGCTGAGTGTTTTATCACGAGTGGCCAGAGGTTCTTGCTGTGAACATAAAAAATTCGCTTGTGTAATATCTTTCTTGAACAGAATTCATTTAACTTCTGTCAGGAACTGAATGATCTGGGTGCTAACAGCTGTATGGTCCCCCAGGCATAGAATTGTAGAACTGTAGAGTTGGAAGGGATCCTAATGGTAATCTAGTCCAACCCCCTGCAATGCAGGAATCTTTTTGCCCAATCTGGGGCTCAAACCTGGAGCACTATACAATTCTTTATAATATAATTATATATTGGCAATTCCTTCCTAAAATGCCCAAAGTTGCAAACATTAAAACATTAAAGCAATACAATAAAAAATATTTTTTAAAAAAACACATATAAAATAATTAAATGTAAAACATTTAAAAGCTGTCGCTAAAGCCTAATTTCAAGATTGCCATGGCCAGCATCTTTTATCCATCAAATGCCTTGGGTAACCAGGAATGTGTTTCAGGGGAAAGTTAAAGTCAGTAATGAGGAAGACAGGCACATCTCACCCAGGAGGGCAATTCTGCAACTGGGGAACCACCACTGAGAAGGCCCTGTCATGGGTCAGCACCAGCCAGGTGGCAGTCGGGTATAGCTCTGCCAACAAGGCCTCCCTTACCAATGAAGCACTCCAGCCTTTTTTAGTGGGTTTGCTTGTCTCAAACTTTCTCACTAACATGTTTTGTTTCCAGTCAAGCAGCAGCACCAATAGGCTCCATGCCCCCCGCTTTCTTTTAGAAAAATATTCCTGGGCTTACTCTGCCAGTTTAGCACCTGGCCTGTGCTCTTCCTTTTACACTGCATTCTCTGCTTTGAGCAAATGTTTAAATCACCTCATACACAGAGGTCCTCTGCTTTGTGCTGAAGTCTGTTAGAACAGGAGCTTTGGACAATGTTGGAAATGTCCCATTCAATTTCTTCATCTTCTAGCTGTGTCAAGACTTCTTAGCTGAGAAGGCTTCCAAAGAACAAGTAGGAGCCGATTTTGAGATTTGATCCATCTTGAGACAGTGTGTGCCATGTCCATTTCCTCAATAGTTAAATAGTGTTTCCCAGTCTGATTTCTGTGGCACTCTTTATTTTATATTAAAATCAGAGGCATGTGCCTCATATCTTCCCACCACCACCAAAAAAAACCCCCAACTACCACCACCACCAAAAAACCCAAACCAGTTTATTTCCTACAATAAGAAATTATGTTTCTCAGTGGAGGCCATGCACTGTGTTTCTGCACGTGTCACTGTTCTTGCCATGCCTACTGATTGGAGGAAGGTGGGTCCGAAGAAAGATACCATGCAGAGATGCAGCAGGGACAGCCTCTTCCATTGCTGGGTTATTTGTTGGGCTCACAGGGGCCATTTAACTGCATTTCTCAGAGCACACTAACATTTTTTGTTTAAAACATAGCTGTATATTACCTTCTCTCAGGCTAGCAGGAAAAGACAGTGGTCTCACCTTGCCATTTCTGGGGGGGAAACCATAAATCCTCTGATTTAGTCTCCCCTCTGAGCTTTTTCTCCCCTCCTTGCAGGGACCCTTGATCAGACTTGGTGAGCATTTGGAACAGCCTCTGTTGTCTGCTTGCACTTCTCCGATAACCTCTTCAAACTAACCTTTGACTCCCTCCCCTGCACGCCTCTTGCCCATAAATCGTTACACCAAAGACGAATGGTAGCAGCCCAGTTGGATATTGAGGTCTGTGGGCCTCTTTTCACATTATACTAATAAGACTTTTTGTTTCATACTGCATACTGCAACTAACATGCAAGTGGCTTATCTGCAATGAGTATTTCAATTATAAGAGCAGGCAATTTCTGTGTATTGAGTGGTACCATCCGGTTTGGTGGAGTGGAGACCCCCTGTATCGCTGCAGCTTACCTGCTAGAGCTGCAGCAAAGGCGATGTGTCCACCCTGCCCTGGCCCCATCCAGGTAAGCTGCAGTGACACCAGTATCAGGAGTGCAGCTCTACTTCTCCACACCTGCCACCACTGGTATATAGAAACCAACACATTATTTTGGCCTTTTTCCATTGAATTTGGTATTACAGAGAGCTGGCAGCTGTTGGGGAGTTCTTGAGCAGTACATGGAGAGAACCTTACCAATCACTTCTGAAATAGCACAAGAGTGAAAAAAGCCTTAATCGTGGGCTAATGAGCACTGAGTGAGGGACAAGGCAGCGTGAGCATTAGGGTCTCCTCTGCTAGCCAGGTGGAGTAGAGTCCCTGAGAAGGAACATGACTTTGACACTGAGGGCCAAGAGTCTGGCAAAAATCCTGAAATGCATATAAGAACCTACTTAGGGACTAAGTGATCCCTTTGCGTGAGATTTGAACAGATATACCCAGGCAGAAAATTCCAGATAGTATCTCTTTTACACAATGTCCAGGAGTTTCTCTTGAAAGGAAATATTTAGTCTTCTTTTGGCAGCTAGGTCGTGCTGTGAACCATCACCCTTTCAGAATCTTCACCGTGACGGCATTTGAATGGCTTTTTCCAAACTTTTTGACACAATGCCACTGTCCTTACAAGTCAGGTTCAGTTTGTATTCCACAATGAGCTAGAAGTAACCTATATCATTTAGCCCTGTTAATATCTTTGTGTGTGTGTTTCTTGACAAGTGTACCTGAAATGTAACTGGGAGCTAAGCAGGTGTCCAATGGAGGAGCCACATTCCAAACTTTTTGACACAATGCCACTGTCCTTACAGGTCAGGTTTGGTTTGTATTCCATAATGAGCTAGAAGTTGATTATGCTGAGTGGTCATAACATACCTGTATGTCATTAAGGTAGAGGCACAAAGAGTAACTTGGGGATCTGTTCAACTGTGACTTGCAGCCATGGATTGCATCCAGACTTGGGCTCATACACTCCTTTCCATATTCTCATGGCTGTTAACAATTAATAATTGAAAAGTGTTGAATGCACACACTTGAATGCAGTGTTTTATGACAAAGGCTGTTTGTTTCTCAACTTTCTACTTTTATTTACTGCAGTCTTTGCCAGCTTACTTCAGGGTAAGCAATACCTTTTTTATTGTATCAGAACTGTCTCTCTCCCCACTAACTTCTTTATTCCAGGATAGTGCATGGCATCTCTTCTGCCTTCCTTCTTACAGTCTTCCTTTCAGAACTGGGTGTTTGTCATAAACCAAGGAAGTATCCAGAGAAGCTGCTCCAGTGCTATAAGACCCAGCTTTGTCTTCACTGTCCACAGGGCACATGTCTTGGTGACACCATCTGTAAGAGTTGCAGCAAAGCCCTTTGTGTACAACTGATTTAAACTGGAAATCTGGTTTTAAACTTTAAACCCATCAATGATTCGCCTACTGCATTAAGCAGAGGTGGTGAACCCTTGGCCCTCCAGGTGTTGCTGAGCTACATCTCCCATCAGCCTCAGTCAGCGTGGCCAATCATCAAGGCTGATGGGAGTTCTAGTTCAAGAACTTATGGCGGGCCATAGATTTCCCGATTGGCTAAAGGTTTGCAAGAAACTGCCCTGATGTATGTGGGAAACTATTATCTCTTCGCCATAAGGATCAACATTTAATATTTATATTTAGTGAAGAGATTTGAGACCATCTGCTCTGCCACCCATGTTATGGAGCCTAATGATCACAAGGCACGTGTGGTCCCTTTAGAAAACCAAATAGCACAGGGCAGCCTACTGGATAGATTTGACTGATCACTCTGAAATGCTTATGTGAGAGTTGACCGCTTCCCACCAATATCACACAGCTCTGCCCTCTCATTATGTCCCTCTCTCGCTTCCCTACATGCATACAGCCTGGCTCTCTAGAGCCGTATGAGAGGTTTTCCGATTTAAACTGCTTCTCTTCAGCCTTGACAGCTGCACTGACTTTCAGCATTTCAGGACTGCCCCCCTTTCTTAAGGAGTTAAAAATATGAATATGTCTTTGCCATCTCAGAAATTGCTTTGGAGGATGGACTAAGCTTATTTAATACCTCTGAGCAGTATAGATGTCTGTGGCTGATGCATTCGGCCTGGCAGCATATTCCAGCAGGAGAACTCCTATGTAAAGCAAATATATAGGTGGTTAACATTACTGAGCTATCGTCCAAGTAACATTATTCTGCTACAGCAGGGAGGGGAAACCTCAGGTTCAGGGGTCAAATATGGCCCACAAGCACCTCTTAACTGGGCCCTTAAGACTCTCCCTAGACCCACCCCTCACCACCCTTCTGTTATATCCTATTTGCATGTTTAGGCTGGCTGGAATATTCCCTTGAGGTCTAATAATGCTGCTTGCTGGAGGACAGGGGTGCATAGAAGCTACTCTATTGTAAAAGATAAAATTTACATTTATTTCTCCACCACTTTGGGTTTGGGCCTTACTCATCACAGGTCTGTGGTCCCTGAAATGTTTCCCTGAATGGTATGCAACCCTCTAACTGAAAAAAGTTCCCCATGCCTGTGCCACAGATCTGCCAGTCATATGTGAATCATTCTGGCCCATGGTGGGCCTTTGTGGCATACAGATTAGTCTGTGAATATCCCCCCACCCCCGTATACACCTAATGCCACTAAAGTAACAGCAGTCCAAAGATCTAGTGCCATCTCTTTCCCAACCCTGTCGGGTGTTTTGTCTTTGCCAAACTTAATTCCAGAGGCAAAAGCTGAAAAATGGGATTTAAACTAGAAGGTAATGAAGATAACGTTTCCAGATGGGTGTATGCCTGAGGAAGTAGTCAATAGATCAGGTAGTCACAGGTGGCGGAACAGATAATGGCAGTGATTGGGAGCAACAAGGAAAGGTGACCTGGCCATTGGCTTCTCTGAAATTACACTGGTCACTGGCAGCCTGCTTGCTTAAAACGACAGCAGTTCACACAGACAGGAGATTGTGCATCCATCATCTTCTGAAGAATTCCGTGACATGTTCTTAGGAACAATTGCCTCAATGAAAATAAACTATTCCAGCTTGATGTGCTGGCTTTCCAAGAAATTCAGTTCTGTGCTGGTAACTTAAATATTTTTGATGTCCATTGATTTGGTGCTGCCCCCTTGTGTACTGCTATGTGCCATATGATGTTAGTTGTACTGAGGGAGCCAGACTCTCCTTTGTATCAGGAACTAGAACACATTTTGTGCCTGTCAAAAATCCTCTTTTGATTGTCACGGTATTGGAAACAGCTGTTTTTCAATTATGGATTTATTCTCCCTATCCCAAAGTAAATTTCTTGCATCTTTTACATTAAGACATTTTACTCCTGCCTGAGATGAGTCACTTGCTACGTGGCTGTGCATCCAGTCAAAAAAATGCCACTTTTTAATCACTGGCCATAGGCTCGCAGTGCAGAGTTGGGTTGGAAGATCACCCAGAAATGCCCGGTGATCATAAGCTTCAGCCTACTACACTGAATTCTACATCATTCTGTAGTAAGCTGGCAAAGTGATTATTTAACAGCATTTTTCATTACCTCCATAGATCCGTGCCAGAGCATAGGCAAAGTCTCTTGCAGACAGCTGCATCCCGGCTTCCCCCTTTAAGCTTATTTTCTGAGTGAACTGTTTGAGTTTGTGGAGAGCATTTTGAACTATTTGCACAGAAAGTTCCAGTTCAGAGACGCTAAGCGCCACCTTCAACCTGGCCTGCAAGGAAATCAATTATATGGTAATCAGTGTTTTTCCAAACAGCCAGTACTGCTGTCCAGTCTAAACCATCTTTTCAGCTGTTAGCAAATCTGAACCAAAGTTTACATTTTTTTCCGGACAAGTATGTTGATCTGAACAAGAAAGAGGCTTGGGGTACCTGAAAGGATTTACAGTTGTCAGTATGACATAAACTTTTAAGAACTTGAGTCCGCTTTATCACATGCATAAGCGTTATCACATAGTGCAATGGGGAGGGGGGGAGTCTGTAGACCAGCTATTTTTAGACTATACCTATCATTCCTGAATACATAGTGCCCATGCCAGCTAGCTGATGGAGACTCCAAATCCCATGTTGCAGCTTCCCAATCACATCTGGAGGGTCATGTCCCCCTCCCATGTCATAGAATAAACACACATGATGTTAGATGGAATGAAATACAAAAATACAGCCGGGATCAAATACATTAAACCTTGAGTCAGAGCTTTACAAACTGTGTTTCATGACATTTTAGTGTGTTGGCTGCAGTGTATAAGTGCAGCTGGTATAACCTTCCATTTGACAGCATGGCTAAGAATCAAGCCATCTATGCTAGATGTTTTTGTCACCTCTTAATAGTGGCCTGCTCCTCAACCTGTTACCCTCTGCCTTTCGGACTATAACTCCTGTTAGCCCCAGCCAACATGATGATTAAAAAGTACAGTGATTTCTTAAATACTTTGGCCCCTATTACACACATGTCTATTCACAAACTCTAGAAAACAACCATTCGTCTTTATATTCATCATATTTGAGCTTTGTCTCTTTGAAAACCACTCTAGCATAGACAAACTGCTGCAATCTCTTCATCACAGCTGAGGGCACAGGAATGGATGTGGCTTATGCACTCCTTTCCACCTTCTGCAATCTTAAGAGTGTTTTAATGCAGCCTTCCCCAGCATGGTGCCCTCCAGATGGATTCAGCCACAAACTAGGCTATGTTCAATGTAGTGGCTTTGGTGTATATAACCCTATAGACCTTGGGACGACAGTACCTGAACGTTAATCTCACCCCCTATATACCCAGTCAATGATTATGCTCTGGAGGTGAGGGCCTTCTGCGATGCCATCTTAGGAGGTTCATTCCACACATTGTAAGAATCAGGTCTTTAGGGTTCTGGCACCAGCCCTTTGGAGTCTGCTCCCTTTGAACATTATGTGCCACTTCTGTTGCCTTTTTGGTACCTGCTGAAGACCTCCCTCTTTCAATAAGCCTTTTAAGTGGCTATATTTCCCAGTCTGCATCTGTACTGGAATGGTTTTTAAGATGTTTGACTGTTTTATTGCTTGCTTGCTTGCTGGGCTCCTTTGAGTGGAAGGATAGAATATAAGTTTAACAAAACCACACACACACACATACCATCACCCCCTGCCAGCACAACTCTGTTGGCCATGGCTGTTGGGAATTGCAGTCAAAACCATTAGAAAGGCACCAGGTTGGAAAGTAGGCATAGTTTAGAATTACATTTGTAGCAGTGGCATTAACAGTAATGTGTCCTTGTTGAGGAATGCTCACCTGGGCAGTAGAGAAAAATGCATCCAGCACTTTTCCTTGGCTCTTGACTAGGGAGCGCAGAACATCCAGAGAGAGGATATTGGTTGTTCCTTCCCAGATAGTTAGCACCTGTCAGGGAGTCAGAGAAAAGTGGGACAGCAAACAAAATGACAAGGGAAGCCAAAATCTAAGACGTTGAGGGAAAGTTGAGATGTTAGACTAGTAATGGATGGAAGAGTAAGAACAACTTCATGTCACTCCAGATGAAATATCGCTCCTGAAATCTCGGCAATATATCAATCTCTGCCAATCTGTCACCCTCCGGATGTTTTGGACTACAACTCCCACCAGCTCTAGCATTCTATGGCTGTGCTGGCTGGGACTGCTAAGAATTGTAGTCCAGAACAACTGGAGGGCACCAAGGTGGCAAAGACTGAAGAAAATAAACGTAGAAATCTGAAAAACAAATTGCCCTTTCTGGTCACAAAATACACTGGTCAGCATGGTTTTGAGTTGGAAAATGGGTAGCAGAGGATGCTGAGCTCTTTCCCGACAGTTGCTTTCTACCATCTGTGATGTTCCCATCCAGACTATATTAACAAGCAGGGGAATAGCATGGGGCAGGGGAGAGAGCAGCAGGCGCATGATTTTTAGGGGGTGTGAGCAACACAGGGATTCCTGTCCCACCTGCCTGCTGCTGCGGGTTATCAGCACTGGAGCCTGGCCTGGCCTGACAGCTGTGTCCCCAGCCCCCTTGCTGAATGTCTGCCTGGCCAGCGTCAGGGTGGGATGGGGATTTGCCAGCCAAGGGCCATGTCGGTCAGCCAGGCTTCTCCCTGCATGGATGGGCAGGGGCGTAGGCCCGCTTGATTCTAGTGACCAGGGATGAACTAGCACGCAGGCTCCGTGAACCCTCCATGCCCCATGTACATACACTTAGCAGTGTTGGCGGTGAGGGAAAGCCTGGCATGTTGGGTTTTCTGGGCCCTGCATGTCCGGCCCCCGCCCAGTGCACACTCGCCCCCAGCCACCAAAAAAGACCACTGTAAACAAGTGAGAGTGGAATTGTGACACGTGCCCCCAGCCCTTCTCTGATGAAATGAAGTCTCCTGGATGTGCTTTGCAATAGAGAAGAGATTGCCCTCCAACTAATATTTTTGAATGCCCCTCCCAAATATAGCCTGTTTGTGTCTATCAGCTTACTATAAATATTCATCTTTGAAGAAATAACATTGGCACTAAGGGATTGTATCTAACTCATAATTAACACCTGCCGTTAAATTGAAGTCCCTGGTATTTGGCGCGTAAATCCAGTTACAAGCTGTAGGGGCACAGTTTGAAGCTGCTCTTTCTAAGACATTCTCTATCAACAGCTGGTGCATTCTTAATCCTGGAGAAAGAGATGCAGAGAGTACATTTTTGAACTGCAGAACTTTTACCTGAAAGAAGAGTGAAAATAACTAATTCTAGTGTGAGCTTAGACCACTGTGACAAGCAATGTCTAAGCCCCTGGAGACTCCAAATAATGGAGCCACCACCAAGATTCTGAAGCCAGTTTTTGTCCCCTGCTCTACCTCAACAGCATTGCTATAGGATATAAGCTGCTGAAAGAAGGAGAAGCTAAGAAAAATGCATTTATTGCAGGGTGTGGGTGTGTGGCTTAATACCTGGGCATCCCGTAAAATTCCTGCCAGGCCTGTATCTTCCATGTAGCCCTGCCCTCCAAAACACTCCAGCCCTTCTGAGGTAACCGCAACAGCCTGCAACAAAGACATGTGGTATGAGCACATTCCCATTAACCTTGAACACCCAGAGATATGCCCCTGGTCTCTGCCCATCTCTGACCACTTCATATACACCTAAAGCGCATTACAGACCTGTCAGCAGACTGGGGTGTGGGGAGGTCAAATGCGGCACATTTGCACTATCCCACTTTGCACTGTCTAGAATCTGGGGATGGGAAAGGCTTGTTGAAAAGAGGATCAAGGCTAAGGGACCACCCTAGGGCAGAAGCCCATCCAGGAAAACATCGGAGTAGCTATCATTCCAATATGTTTATAATAGTTCAATTTCTTGAATACGCTTACCCTGGCAGGGTGTTACTATTTCACAACCACTTGGCCATTAAACAATTACCAAGTTTTGTTCTTTCCTTTCCTCTTCTCCCCCACAATTAGCATTTGGCTCCTCTGTGAATCCTCCCTTTTTGCTTCAGAGCCCAATATGTAACTAAACCATGAAACCAAATTCTAGGCCTTGAAACAGTACTTGTTTCCCAGTGTAAAGTTTGGCAACAGGCGTCAGCAGCCTAAGCATGTGCTGGTCTTGTTCAGTGTCCTTCTTGGTTTCTTCCAGTCCAAGCAATTTCCCTATCTCCATCATCAGCAGGAATGCTCCTCGAGCTTGCACCTGCAGGAGCAAGACAGTGTGGGATCATTGGGGTAGGGTGGAAGAGCACACAATGTTCTTACAACAAGTATCAGAAATAAGCAGAAACAAGGATTTCATATTGGGCAAGGGCGGTAGCTGAGAGGCAGAACACCTGGTTGGCATACAGAAAGTCCCAAGATCAATCCCTGGAATAGATAGGTAGGGCTGGAAGTGTTCCCTGCCTGAAACACAGGAAAGCCAGTGCCAGATAATGTAGACAGTAATGAACTAGATGGAAAACGATGTCTTACTCAGTTTAAGGCAGCTTCCTATGTCTTAAGGATTTTAGCTTAATGGTAGATCATTTGCCTAGCATGCATTAGGTCCCAAGTCTGATGCCAGACATATCCAGGTAGGGCTGCCTGAAATCCTGGTTGAGTGCCTGATATATCCAGGTTCCCTGCCTGAAATCCTGGAGAGCCATTGCCACCACCTCTGGTCACTTCTTTTTGCACTCCCACTGGTAAGATCCCACCCCACCTTGAGACAGAGAAAAACTACAGGCATTTTGCTTTTCTAAGGGAGCTGCTGGATCCAACAGAATTTATCTGAGGTCTGAAAAGAACATTGGCCTGAAAGAGGCTGTGAGAAAGAACCTCACTCTTCCAACTTTGGCTCTATGGGCTTTTCAAGGGAGAAAGAAAAAAACACCTTCACCTCACGACCAAGAGGAACGTGAATGTGGAGAGGAGTCTCATGTGCTTCGTAGGTGGCAGGGGAGACCTCAAGGGTCAAGGTCAAACAAAACCAGCACCTCCGAATGCTCACCTCCATTCGAGCCAAAGTCTGCATGTGCAAAGGGTGAGCCTTCAGGGGTTTTCCAAAGGCTTCCCTCTTGGTGGCATAATCCCTTGCCAGGGTGATCACTCTGGAGATGGAAGGCAATTTTTAGCTAATTAAATGCAAAGGTCACATGTGAGTAGACATGCCCCAAGGTCGCAAAGGCCACAGCTGTTGAGAGGAGTGACTAACCTGTGGCCTTCCAGATGTTGCTGAACTACAACTTGCACCAGCCCCAGCCAGCGTGGCCAACGGTCAGAAATGATGGGAGCTGTAGTCTAACAACATCTGGAGTGTCTCAGGTTCCTCATTCTCCCTCTGTGTAGACTTCTGATTGAGGTAGCTAATTGTAGCTCACAAGTAGTGCTTTTATTTGAGAGATAGTAACATGGAAGTTACCATCTGCACCATACACTGCAAGTACATGTTTCTCCCAAAGGAATCCTGTAAACTGTAGTTTACTGCAGTGTTTTCCAACCGGTGTTCCGCGGCACACTAGTGTGCCGCGAGACGTTGCCTGGTGTGCCGCGAGATGTTGCCTGGAGGGAGGCGGGCGAGTCGGGCGGCGAGAGGCGGGACGGCGAGGAGAGGCCGCCCAGCGCAGGGCTCTCACCGTCTGCCTGCCTGGCTGCCTGCGTGGCGCTGACGTCACGGGGCTGTAACGTGCCCCACATAGGCACACGCGGGGCGGCGAGCGAGCTCCCTCCCACATCCCATCGCCGCTCGCTTCGGCCGGCCTACTGGGCTGTCGCAGGCGGAAGGCCTGCGCATGCGCGAGGTTTTCGCGCCTTCGGGATTCCCTTCACGCCTTCCTCCTCCCGGGTCCTTGAGAGCGCGGGAAGCGGCAGCGCGAGACCGGCGTTGAGCCTGGTAGGTATTTGGGAAATGAAAACTTGCAAAGCAAGCAACCAGTTCAATCTGAAGTACGTGTATGCTTAATATCCTGTATCTGAAACCTGTTCTGCCCACTCCCCCACACTTGGTGCCATTTTCATCTACACATGCAGCAGAGTAAGTTGACCCAGAATAGTACCAATTCAGATGGCAGATGGGAGAATGACAGTGCTGAATGCTTTCCCATGTAGAACAGTCCCTGCAAATAAAAACCTAGCATATCTGGAAGAGGGATGCTAGCCTAACCATTACCTTCTATGCTGTTACTATTTTTTTATTTTTTTTTACATAAGTAAAAAGTGACCTTTCCCCATCTGGCATGGTGGTGTGCCTCGAGATTTTTTTCATGAAACAAGTGTGCCTTTGCCCAAAAAAGGTTGGGAAACACTGGTTTACTACCACAATTTGGAAACCAGGAGTTTCTTAACAGCATTTTCACAGCCAACTTCATCTTACTTTAATGCTTATTCAGACAGCAGCATGATTCAAAGAGCCATAATTAAGCTCAAGCACCCAGCAGGTCTTAGGGAAGAGGACATGAATTACCTTCTCATGTACCCAACTGCACCAATGACATTGTGGATCCTACTGATGGTCAGCATGTTTACAATGGAAGCCACACCCCGGCCCTCTGCAGAGATCTGCAGAGAAGCAGAAAGAGCCAGAATAAGGTTAATTAGCATGGTCTGGATTGCAATTTAGTAAAAAGGGAATCTCTTTGCTTTCTCTCATGTTCTCCCTGGGGCATAAAAGCCTATAATAACCTTTCCGCCTGCCCGTAACTCCTAAGCAGAGCAGTGGGAACTCTGCACATATTCTTCAGTCAAGAAATACATACACACAGCACAGTTGCATAGATACATATCTAGGCATTAGGAAAGGAAGAGCTGCTCATAGGGTATAAACAACAGGAATGCTGTGAGGGGGCAGCTCAGTAAGCAAAACAAACCTGAAACATGCTAACCAACGATTGATGCAATTCTTTGGTAAGGATCTGCGTAACCGAAGCAGAAAGGGCATGAAGGCCAAGGAACGAATTTTCGAGGATGCCAGTGGTGGATGGGACCAAAGGCAAAAGTGATCATGGACAATAATCTACTTTCAACACACACCTCTTTATTCTCCATCCAGACAAAGGCCATAATTGGAGTTCAAGGACACATTCCACCCTGGCCAGAAAAAAACAACCCTTGGAGTATAAAGTAGGGCCAGTGGGGTGTGTGGCCTGAGGAGTTTTAAAGCCCAGATAGAGAGACCTGGAGCACCGCATTTGGCCTCCAGGTCTGAGGTTCCCCATCTGTGAGGAGATTGTAAGGTAGCGGCCACAGAGTGCATTGGCCTGCTCTTAGTCTTCCTCTGAGTACCATAGTACTCCAGAAGGCATTATTCAACAGTTTGATGCTGTTTCTTTTTTGCTAGTAACTTGGTCTTCCTAAGGAGGCAGAAATTCTCATCCATGCTGCTTTGGCTGTTAGATGTCTGCTTCTGCAGCTGCATGGCAGCTCCATGCATGGGCAAAATCCACAGAGAGCTGCCCTACTCCAGAGCACCTTGCTTTCATTTGTCTCATACCAGGGAAGTAGAAAGTGAGCTTTGGAGGAAGTTTTCCTCCACACCTTTTTCTTTCTGCTCACCTTGAGTGACTTGGCTCCATTTAGGAGGAGCTCTGCGGTCGGCAGTTGCCTTGTGCCCAGCTTGTCTTTCAGCCGTTGTATCTCAATCCCATTCAGCTTCCCTTCCTCATCGCGCATCTTCAGGTAGAACAGAGACAGACCTTTGGAGCCCTGTGGCCGAGAATGCAAAGGTGAGAAACACTGACTGGTAACAAGGAGAATAGAGCTAGAATGAATACATTGTGCAATACATTAGTGCAGCAATGGGAAACCTCCAGTCTGTGAACCAAATTAGGCCAGGCAAGGGTTCTCTTTGGCCTGTGAAGCTGTTTTCTGCAAACCAAGCCCACCTGATCCTCACCTGACATCGTATGTGAAATGAGTATGTGGCAGGTAAAGACATGGCTGTAAGGGAACAATCAGGATCCTTAAAGTGTACTACGCTGGATAGTTTCTTGGCAAACAAGGTTTGCTGTCAGTGCTGATCAGATGTTCGGTGATGATACAAGCCCTGTAAGGGATTGGCTGTGCTACAGAGTTCTCAGAGCTTCTTAGTGCAGCTGAGCCACCACCCTTTTCCTGACCAAAGTGGGTCTTGCTATAAGCGCTGATCAACTGTTTAACACAGCAAGGCCCAATGGATCATGTGATGTCAGGTGAGTGGCAGGTAAGTGGCCCCAACGCCTGTCAAAATGGCCAGTGAAGGACCCTGTTTCTCACCCCACTTCCACATTACTGATTACTGCTTGTGAGCTGGTCCTTCAGTTTTCCCAGTAAGGAATCTGACCTGCTGTATTTGTCCATCAGCAGTCATGCTCCTTGCCAGTGTCAAAGTTATATCTGAATCGGTGGCCGAAGTAAACCATTTCAAGCCATGGAGACTGTAGCTGCCATCAGGGAGTTCCAGGGCTACTGTCTCTGTGCCACGAGCTGCAAGAAAAGAACACCCAGTCTTAGCTGCTGCTGATCTTCACAAATAACCAGCACTGGCTTCAAGCTGAAGAAAAAGCAACATTATCATTCAACAGTGTAGCGAAAAAAGAAACTGGCACCTCAGTAACTTTGGGAAAAGGTCATGGCACCAAGTTCAAGTTTAACAGAATCACATGAGAAAGCATTAGAAACTATCAAATTTTATTCATAAAGTCATGGTGGTGCTGTGAGTTAATTGAATTTTTAAACTGTGAGACTGCACATGCTTAAGAGTATTATCTTTCTTATTACCAGGTTGGTAAACTGTTTTTGATTTGTTTGTTTTTCTTTTCCATTAGAAATGTGGAAGCAGTTAAAAGCATGGAATGGAAGAGGTGTTGGGAGAAGTGTTAATTGTGCATTTCTCAACAGACGTTATACACATGGCCATCTAAATGACCTCTCTCCATGCCTCAACAGACCATTAGGCTGATGGTATAACATTATCTGGGACGCGGGTGGCGCTGTGGGTAAAAGCCTCAGCGCCTAGGGCTTGCCGATCGAAAGGTCGGCGGTTCGAATCCCCGCGGCGCGGTGCGCTCCCGTCGTTCGGTCCCAGCGCCTGCCAACCTAGCAGTTCGAAAGCACCCCCGGGTGCAAGTAGATAAATAGGGACCGCTTACAAGCGGGAAGGTAAACGGCGTTTCCGTGTGCGGCTCTGGCTCGCCAGAGCAGCGATGTCACGCTGGCCACGTGACCCGGAAGTGTCTCCGGACAGCGCTGGCCCACGGCCTATAGAGTGAGATGGGCGCACAACCCTAGAGTCTGGCAAGACTAGCCCGTACGGGCAGGGGTACCTTTACCTTTACCTATAACATTATCTAGCTGCACCACTACTCATTTCTTAAGGCATTTTGTATTGCACTCTGTGTCAGACTTCCCACTTTGGGGCACACTTACCAACATCAGAGCCCCCTCTCCGTTCAGTCATCCACTGGCCAGAAGTCCAGAATTTGGCAGGGTCACGTGATGTCAAGTGGATAAAAACTTCTTTGAGGGGTTTGGGGATACCTAAGGACTGTTGGGAGTTGCAGGAAACAGACGGGAGAAAGAACAACAAACAGGATTTCCTCTCCTGGTTCCTTCCACAGCAGCCCAAAGCTCCTTTGTCCTGTCATTTATTGCTCCTCCCTCTTTATTCCACTGCATGCTTTGGGAGACCAGGTGGGAGGAGAGCTGGTCTCAGCAGGAGGGGGAGACTCCCTGAATTCTTCAGCAGCCTCCCTCATTTCTGTCTCCTGGCCCCATTCCTCTGACACCTCTGAGGCTCGGCTGCCCTCCGCCACAGCCTCTTCCTGCTCACTATACCTTGTTCCTTATTCAGCTTTCAACACTTTCCTCTGACCCTGCATCATTGTCCTACCACAAATGCCCTGGCTCTGAACCTTCTCTGCCTGGTGGTTCCCTTCCTGTTGCCTCCCACCACTCCTCTGCATCCAACCAGTCTATGACAGTCTGGCTAGGGCTGGGTGGGCTGCAAAGTCAGGCAAGGGACCTTTCCCACAGAGGTTTTACACATCAACTCCAGATAGTTAGGGATAGACTTTGATCTTTTAAATTTCAGTGGCGCCCTGTGCAAGGCCAAAATTTGGAGCCCCACCCCCGGCTTTTGCCTTCCATTCTGCTCTGTTCACTATGGTGCCCTGTAGGCTCAGAGCCCAGTATGGTGGAACCAGTTGTGCTGCCAAAGATCTGCCTCTGAGATAATGGCCAAAAGGTTTTTCAGCAGAGCTGGCTGATATGCATCACTTTGGATCTAAGCAGAGCCAGGGTGCCACGTATGCACCAGTTTTGCTAACTTCCAATCTGGCCTTATTAGGGAAGGCCTTGGGGAACTGAGGAATATGTCTTATATAGAGTCAGACCATTAGCCTACCTCAGTATTAGTCTAGCAGCTCTCCAAAGTTTCTAAATAATAGGGTTGCGGATAGGGTTTTGTTTTTTGGTAAGGGGAACTTATGGGTAGGGCGTTTTACTTTGGTAGCAGCATTCCAGAAATGAACCTCCAACTTAGTCTAATTCAGAGCAATGCAATATAGTGATCTACCTGCTGAGCACTGACTTGTGATCTCACCTCTATTACTTTTGCTGCTCCATCAGTCATGGCCAGAGGACATGAAAAAAAACCAGAAGAAGGTGCAAAAAGGTAGAGTTTGGCAATCTGATGAACGCGGCTGTGGAAGGAGAAACAAAGCCTTGCTGAATTTAGAAATGCCAAGGGAAAAATATATTTGCTATAGAGAGATCTCAGCTGGATTATAGCTACACAAAAACACAAGAAGAGCTTGGCTAAAGGCCTATCAGGTTCAGCACTCTGTTCTCACAGTGGCCAACCAGATGCGTCAATGGGAAGTTCACAAGCAGGACATGAGTACAACAACAGTCTTCCCACTTCCAATTCCCAGGAAATGGGGTTCAGAGGCATACTGCCTTCAACAGTGGAGGCAGAACATAGCCATCATAGCTACTAGCCATTGATAGTAGCTTTACATGAATTTGCCTTGCTGTCTTGTAAAGCCATCCAAATCGGTGGCCAATCATTACATGTTGTGGGAGTTCTACTGTGGGGGTGCTTTCGTCTAGAAAAGTGTCACTATCCCCACTGTAGGGACATTTCATTTTGAATGGCACTGGAGGTATATGGACATGTTCGCTGCCCTGAAGTGTGGCCAACTGAGTGTGAAGGTGTCAACTAAATTTGTACCTCCAGTTAGAATATCTTCTCTCATAAGCCTCAGCAATCAGCCCCTCCTCAGCCGAGATCGCCTTCATTCTCTTCCAGGCTGGGCAGGTGATAATTTCATCCACACGCCGCCCCCAGGCATCGAACTGCTTAAGTTGTGGAGGGTTTAATTCACACTCGCGTCCCAGGAGATCAATTTCATCCTTCACTCGAGCCCCAAACTGTTCAAGGTCCAAACTTACGTCAGCAAACACCTGCAAAGTAAAAGAATGTGAGCAGATGGACAAGTACGTACCGGTATGTATGTATGTATAAATAAATAAAATAAAATAAAACAAAATAAAACAAAACAAAAACAAAGCAAAACATCACAGCAAGCAGAACATAAAACAAAGTATTGGGCTCCATGTTTGACCTCACCTGTCTCTTGTACTGATCCTTTTAAACTGAGTATTCTGTACTGCTGCTATTTGAAATGCGCTTATGTTATAAAGAATCAACCCCGCTGCCTGAACTTTTGGACTTTCCTCCAAAACATGGCTTGGGAGACTGTCTTGCACTTATAAAAGTTACTACTTAATAACTGCACATACATAATGACCCATACATGGTTCACTTTTCACCTGCTTCAACTAGCAAGGTTTGTTTTTAACTGTGGACAGCAGCTTGGGAACAGGGCAAACTGCTGGCTTCTTGCATAACTTTTAAGCAAAGCGCAAACACCCATCTGACTTTTAAATCAGTGGAGGTCGACTTCCGGTTTGGGATCGCAAGCAGCAGGGAGCGCGGAAAAGCCGCTGTGAGCTTTTCCGAACTTCACGGGGGCTTGGGGGCGACGCAAAGGCACTGCGACCCCCGAAAAGCTCAAGGCGGGTGTCCTTGAGGGATAAGCTACCAAGCAGCGTCGGCGGAGTCCCGAAGTTTTTTCGGGTTTTTTTTAGAAAGGCTCGAAGACGACGGGACTGAGAAACGCGAATGGTAAGCTCTGCGGACCTCGTGAAGTGATGCCTCTAGCTCCTACTGATTAAAGCGACAAATCTCCGTAACTCCAGAGCCGAATCCCCTACGTTTTTGGATTATAAGAGCATAACAATTAAAATAAATAACTCCAACAGGGATCCGGGAGGTAAAAGAAATTAAATAAGGAACCCGACCTGTCTCTCAGAGCAAAATGGCGCAGGACATTCAGTCGCAAGAGCAAGAGAAGAAATGAGTAATTGCCTGCTGTAGAGAGGAGAAAAGAGAAAGACCTCGGTAACTGTTTTTTTTTCTCTTTTGAAAACGAGGCAAAGGAAAACTGAATAACAGAAGGGATTTTATTGACTTTTAGAGACTTTGTATCCTCTTTTGGGGAGAAAAAGACTTTGGCAACAAAGAAGGAAACAAAGTAAGAAACGGAACGGAGGGAATACGAAAGTAACTTCCTAGAAGCTAAAAGTAGCAATAATGGAGTATTAAGGGGAAGAGAATAAAGAGGAAGAAACCTCATAATATAATATAGAAGCCCTCAATTGAGCTATAACTATCAACTATTCAGCTCCTCTTCCCTGTCTTTTTTCTTTTTTGAATGAAGGCTGAAAAAGACACCTCTACAGAGTGCTTCATACTGAGAGAAACTTCAATAATTATTGGACTGGAATGAAGTCATACTCTTACTTTAAGGGAAGCTTCTAGAGTACTAACCACTCCTTTCTCTTCTCTTGAATTAAGGAATGGAAAATTAAATTAAGATATGGACTGAATTTAGAAGGACACCCTGGAATTGTAGAAGGACAATTTGAATTTATAAGGGCAACTTGGAACTGGTTTTTGATATTTACTTAGTTGTTTAAAGCTGCTGACCTTCAGGATTGGGACTTGAGTACATTGCGACCTTGAAGGACAATTCTAATTGGTAGTTTGCTAAAGGAGGTGGGAGTAATTAGGCTCTCTCTCCTCACGCGTTTAACCACAACCTAAGACTGGATTGAGCCAACAAGTGGCGGAAGAACAAAGAACTTAAGAGGTTAAGTATAATGCCTCTTCTATGTGGAAGTGGTGATTACAGTGGAATATAATAAACTATACATTAGAGTTGGGGCTCACTTTGGCCCAACTAATATTATTTATTAGGATAATCACGCCCGCTTATACCTAGTGAGTACTTATCTCTGAACTACAACGGTTTAATTTTGGCTTATTTCCTTGGAGAGACATTAAGATTGAATTAAGTTAATTAAGTTAACTAATCTAACTACTCTGCTGTCTGTTGGCTATACCATTTGTTAAGATTTATTTTATAGGCCCTATGCCTGGCTTAAACATTGTTTGATAATAATGTTTGATATTATCAAACTGTCTGATAAGTGAGGTGACTTAGAATTTAGAATATAGAATTTGACTCGCAACGGAAAATAAGAAGCAGGGCAAAATAGCTTGGTTGAACAAGTGAAAATAATCAAGATAAGGCCCAGATTGTGCGCCCCCTAGGGGAGAGGAAAATATAGTGAAAGTCCTAATTTACTATTATAGAAAGACATAATGTCGGGGAAAGACAGGAAAAAAATAGGTGGAACACCTTCAGAAAGGAAAGTTTCCCGACAAGAAGAGATTAAAGATTTAGACATCCTATGGTTGAAAATAAAAGAAGAATTTAAACAAAGGGAGATGCATATGGAGAGAAAATTAGAAGAGATAACTCAATCAATAGATAAAAAAATAGAAGGAGTTGTAGGAGAATTGTCAAATAAGATCAAAGATCTCTCAGTGCGGTCGAAAACCTTGGAAGAAGCAAATAAAAGAATGCAGAAAGAAATGAAAGACCATAGAAAAGAGATAGATAGGATAAAAGATGAGATAGGTGAAATGAATAGAAACCAAGACCAAGTCCTGGACAATATAGCGATGATTGAAATGAAAAAAAAAACAGCTAAATCTCAAGTTTAGAGGAGTGGGGGAAGAAATAAACGAAAACATTAAAGAAAAGATGATAATAGAAATTGCGAAATGGCTAAATTTGAAAGAAGAAGAGGTTGCATACACGGTGGACAATGCCTTTAGAATAAAAACAAAGAACAAACAACTAAGAACAAAGAAGGTCGCAGGAGATTGTTTAGTTATATTTAATTCGATAGAGATGAAAAATGTGATATTAAAAACCAGTTACCAGAAAAGACTAATTATTGATGGTAAGCCAATTATCATCTTTAAAGAAATTCCAACTAGATTTTTACGCAAGAGGGAAAGTTACAGACAGTTGGCAAGTACACTAAAAAAGAATAATATACAATACAGGTGGGAGTTCCCTGAAGGGATCTCCTTTTATTATAAGGACAAAAGATTTAGGATTGTCGAGATCCAAGAAATGAGGAAGTTCTTGCGTAGATATGAAAAAGAGCTAGGTAAAGTAGAAGAAAGATATGAAAGTGCAGAAGAGAAAAGAAAGAAAAACGATCCAGGGAAAATGAAAGAGGATAGGGTCAGAGAAGAGGAGGTAGTTGAAGAAGAAGAGGAAGAGATAGTAGAGGAAGAGGAAGAAGAAGAGGGGGAAGGGTACGAAGAAAATAAAACTACTCAAATCTAAATCATTAATTGCTGATAAACGGGATTGGCTAACACAATGAATCTGAAAGTTTTATCGTGGAATGTAAATGGTTTGAACGAAAAATCCAAAAGGAATAAAATAGTAAATGTGTTGAAAAGAAAGGACCTAGACCTAATTTGTTTACAGGAGACGCATATAACTAAAAAACACAAACATATTTTGGTACAAAACAAACTAGGGGTTGAATTCGCGAATTGCATAAACGAAAAGAAAAAAGGGGTAGTGATATATGTGAAAGAAAAATGGGAACCCAAACTGATCTGTAAGGATGAGGAAGGAAGGATCCTGGGAATACAAATTAATTTCCAGGGAGAAAAACTTAATGTGATAAATGTATATGCCCCGAACTCGAATAAACTGGAATTTTTTAAGAAACTAGAACAAATACTATTAGAATTAGAATGTAATAAGATGATATTACTAGGGGATTTTAATGGGGTAAGGAAACCAGAACTAGACAGACACTCAGATGGGAAGAAAATAAACCAAGGAAAACTGCCAAGCTCATTTAACAAACTAGAGGAATGTTTGGATTTAATAGACATCTGGAGACACAAACATGCTCTAGAGAAACAATTCACCTTTTTTTCGGAGCCACATAAGAGCTGGGGCAGAATTGATCAAATCTGGATATCAAGGGAGCTTTCAGTGAGAACCTTAAAATGTGAAATCCAACCCAGAACATTTTCAGATCACAATTCAATAGTTCTGGTAATAAAAGGTAAGTCACAGGGCGGGTTTAGGTGGAGATTGAATGAATACTTATTGGATAATGATGAAGTAGTGGAGAAAGCTAAATCCGCTTTAAAAGACTATTTCGACCTAAACCTCAATACTGAAATAGGTATAGATATGGTGTGGGATGCCTGCAAGGCGGTGTTAATAGGGTTCTTTATCCAACAAAACAGCTATAGGAGGAAGGTAAGAGAACAAAAGAAAGAAGAAATTGTAACACAGATTGGAGAGTGTGAGAAAAAATTGATAAGAAATCCAAAAGATGAAGAAAACACACAAAAAATAAAAATGTTACAATCTCAGTACTCATTGCTGACAAACCAAGAAATTGAATGGAAGATCAAATTAATGAAACAAAAATATTTTGAGTCAGCTAATAAAACGGGCAAACTATTGGCCTGGCAACTCCGAAAAAGGCAAAAACAAAATGTGATAAATAAAATAAAGATAAAGGAGCAGCTGATAGAAGACCCAAAAGAAATAAAGGAAAACTTCCTCAAATTCTATGAGAATCTATATAAAAAAGAGAAGGAAGATATAACTCAAATAGAAAAATACTTGGAAAACTATAGTGGGAGAAATATAACGGAGAAGGAAAGAACCCGATTAAACAAACCCATCAGAATAGAGGAGATCCAAGGTGCAATAAGGAAAATGAAAATAGGGAAAGCCCCAGGGCCTGACGGATTGTCGGCTAAATATTATAAAGTATTAGAAAGTCAATTAACACCAGTGCTAGGGGATGTCATGAACAACATCTTAAGAGGAGGAAAGGTTCCCGAAACATGGAAAGAGGCCCATATTACAATGATCCCTAAACCAGACACGGATAAATTGGATATTAAAAATTACAGGCCAATATCACTTTTAAACAATGATTATAAAATATTTGCGGAGGTGATGGCAAACAGGCTTAAAAAATGTCTAGTAAATATAATACACGAAGATCAGGCAGGATTTCTTCCAAATAGGTTCTTGAAAGACAACATAAGACACACGGTTAATATTATTGAATATCTGGAGAGCAAAAATGAAATACCCGCGGCATTAATTTTTATAGACGCCGAAAAGGCATTTGACAATGTCTCGTGGAGGTTCCTATTGAAAAGTATGGAGAGAATAGGGATAAAAGGTGAGTTCATGGATGGAATAAAAGCAATATATACAAACCAATCTGCAAAACTGATTATAAACAATAACTTGACAAATTCTTTTAGGATTGAGAAAGGAACAAGACAGGGATGCCCCCTGTCACCACTTTTATTTATCATGGCTTTAGAGGTAATTCTAAATAAAATAAGAGCAACACCAGAGATCCGAGGGATCAAAATAGGAACAAAAGAATTTAAATTAAAAGCATATGCGGACGACCTAATGCTTTCCTTAGAAAACCCGCAAAGAAGTGTCGGGGCAGCGCTGGAAATGCTAGAGAAATTTGGTGAGGTATCCGGTTCTAAACTAAATAAAATAAAGACAAAAATGTTGACTAAGAATATAAGAAAAGAGGAAAATGAAAAACTGGAAATAGAATATGGAATTATGGTTGCAAAAAAAATAAGATATTTGGGAATTTGGTTAACCGTAAAAAATATAAATTTGATCCAAGACAATTATCTCACAACATGGAAGGAAATCAAGAAAGACCTAGAAACGTGGAATAGAGTGAAGCTTTCGTGGAGGGGAAGAATGGCAGCGATAAAAATGAACCTACTCCCGAGAATGTTATTTTTATTTCAAAATATTCCTGTAATTAGAGGTACCAAACTATTTAAGGAGTGGCAAAGAACCATTTCAAAATTTATATGGCAGGGTAAAAGACTCAGAATTAACTTTAAAATTCTTACAGACAGGAAAGAGAGGGGAGGTTTTTCAGTACCCAACCTAAAACTTTATTATGAAGCTGCCAGTCTTTGCTGGATTAGGGACTGGATCATCTTAAAAAATACCGATTTGTTGGACCTGGAAGGGTTCGACAATCGGTTCGCTTGGCACTCTTATTTATGGCAAAATAAAGAAAGAATACATAAAGGATTTTCAAACCATATCATTAGGGGGCCTCTTTTGGAAGTATGGGAGAGAAATAAAAAACTTTTAGAATGGAAAACACCTTGGTGGCTATCCCCATTGGAAATACTAACAATAAAAAAGATCAATATGGAGGGAGAAAGGCTAACATACGAGGACTTATTGATAAGATCGGAAAGTGGATGGAAAATGAAAACGTTTGAAGAACTGAAACACAAATTATCCGGCTGGTTACAATTCCATCAAATAAATGCGATATGGACAGCCGATAAGAAATTAGGAATGAATGAAAAGAAATCTAGGTTTCAGACAGAGATAATTGAGGGCAAAAATAAATTATTATCCAAAATGTATGACATATTATTGGAGTGGGACACCAAAGATGAAGAAATAAAGGGGGTAATGACAAGATGGGCAATGGACCTGGGGTACAATATAGAGTACGATAAATGGTTTAAACTATGGACTAGTGGAATGAAGTTCACCGCATGTGTAACACTCAGGGAGAATTTAGAAAAGATGATGTACAGGTGGTACATCACGCCAGCAAAGTTGGGGAAAATGTATAAAATAGGGAATAAGAACTGCTGGAAGTGTAAGACCAAAGAAGGTAATTTCTTCCACATGTGGTGGACTTGTGACGAAATGAAGAAATATTGGGAACTTATTTATAATGAATTGAAAAAGATATTCAAATATACATTCCCTAAAAGACCGGAAGCATTCCTACTAGGAATAGTCGGGGACGAAATCAAAAAAGAGGATAAAGTACTATTCCAGTATGCCATGGCCGCCGCCAGATTGTTAATTGCCCAGAATTGGAAAAATCAAAATACCCCGTCAATTGGAGATTGGCAAACCAAATTATTCGAATTTGTTAGCCTAGCAAAAATGACACAAAAAATTAGGAACCAAAAGAACACAAAGTTCATGAACGATTGGAATAAATTTATGACTTATATAGAAGGAAACCATAGAAGTTTAAAGACTATAGCCGGTTTGATATAAATCTCGCGATGAGTAAACCATTTACAAACATAAGCTGCAAGAGAGATAAATCATGGATATTAAGAAGCCTGAAAGCAGGAGGGATGGAGGTCAGTAGGGGGATGAAAAGACGAAAAACTGTTAAAAATATAGAGAAACAAAGATGGAGATAAATAATTGAAACGGAAACTGTTTATTTTGTTTGTAATTCCTTTGTTTATTCTTTTCTGGTTGTAACAATTGACTTGGGGTGGGGTTTTGTGATTGTATGTTTTATGTGTGTGAAATATAATAAAAAGAATATATATATATAAAAAATAAATCAGTGGAGGGCAAAATACTTTGCTGTAACTCAGGGGAAGAGCATCTGCTTTGCAGACAAAAGGTCCCTAGTTCAATCCCCAATGGTGGCCCGGTAGGGTTGGGAAAGGTTCCCTGTCCAAACCCCTGGAGAGCTGTTGCCAGTCAAATATACTGAGCTAGATAGGCCAATTGGTTTGATTCAGTGGAAGGTACCTTCCTATGTAGGGTCAATTAACACAGGTGAGAGAACAGAACCTTTAGCAATGTGCAAAAGATAGTGGTGGCTTGTGCAGTGGTCCTTGGTATAGGAACAGGAATTTTATTAACCTGTCTCTATTTCCATTTGTGAAATATTGGAGGGTATTCAAGGACAGCTTTGGAATTCAGTGTAGGCTGCTACATTTGGATGAATGGGGTGCTGCCCTAAGAGTCTCAGTCTTGCTTTTTTAAAAATCAGAGGAAGTAGTCAAATCCATGTAAATTGTCTGTGCAAACGAGCTGAGATTCTTGCATTGTAGGGGGTTGGATGAGATTACCCTTGGAGTCCCTTCTAATTCTACAATTCTAGGAGTCTCTAGATGTCACAGAACATTTTGTGTGTGCGTGCGCATGCATTAAAGATATATCTGTGTGTCTATGTATAGAATATGATATAAAAAAACAGACCTCAGTTGGTAGCTGTGATTTCAAGTAATCCTGAAGAAAAGCATCTTCCAGGTATGGATTTCCAATCCTAGGCTGCTCTTGACAAAAGACCCCAATTTCTTTCCTGGCAAAAAGCTCCCTTGGGTGTTGTGAGGAGCATTGTTGATCCATGGGCTCCGCTTGCTGATTCCAGCCTTTGGAAAACGCGATTGGCCTTTTGCCCCAAGCTTTGCACTTTTGATTCCCTGCTTGCCCTAAGCTTTGCAACCAAACTTCGCAGTTTGACAGCTTCGGCTTGCAATGCGTCCACATGGCCAACTTTCCAAAATAAATAAACAAACAAGCCAAAAGCCAAAAAGCAAACCAAAAGCGGCCGAAGAAAGAACCTAGCGGGCGCGTTTGTTTCGCCTTGAGCCACCTCCCCCTTCCAACAACACGATTAAAAAGTTCAGTAAAGGTGGAAGCCGAAAGGGGGGCGATCCTGCGTGCATAAACAAGTTTAGAAAGAGACAGCTCCTCTGCGGGCCAGGAGGTCAATTGCCCCAGAGGCATGGCTGAGATTTGCATAAAAAAAGAAAAGAAAAATGGATCTCTTTCCCTTGCGCAAGCAGCCGGCAGGATCAGGCCGGCGAGCAACGCCGAAAGGAGACTTCATAGGTACACCTTGCAAAGCACCGATCTGAAGGTTTCCCCAATCGGCAAAAGAAGGAAAAGGAAACAGCGGAGCTGGCGGAGCAGACTCCCTCTCTCCACCCGATTCACCTTCATTTGCACGAAAAAAGGAAGCTGCCTTCTACAACTTAAGTCAGCCCATTGGTACTGTATTGTCAACAAGCCCTGGCAGATATCGCTCTCCAGGTTTTCAGGCAGGGAGTCTCTCCTCGCCCTTGCCTGGAGATAGGTGCTTTTTAGCCACTGAACCCGGATTCATGCTTCAATATGAAACTAACAACATGACTAAAGAGGTTCAGGAAAGGAGGTTCCAGTAAAGGCGGAATACTAAACAGGGACTACGACGCCTCCTGCATAAACCAGTTTAGAAGCAGAGGCATGGCTGGAGGCGGGAACTGGGGCTTGTAACAAAACAAAGGACCCCTTTCCCTTGCGCAAGTAGCCGGCACGACGAGCCTGAACGGGACCTTGGAAAGGGCTGGCACCTATTGAAGGTTTCGGGGAAAGATTGGAGGAGGAGGAGGAGGAGGAAAGCAGCGGAGCTGGCGAAGCAGATTCCCTCCCTCCACCCGAGCCAACTTTATTTGCAAGAAAATAGGAAGCTGCCCCTTGGTCCATCGAGCTCAGTATTGTCCACAAACCCTGGCAGCAATCGCTCTCCAAGTTTTCAGGCAGCGAGTCTCCCCCAGCCCAGCCTTTGGAGATAGATGCTTTGAGGCACTAAACCCGGATTAATGCTTTAATATGAAACTAAACGGCCAGAGGTTTTCCCTCAGACGGAGGTTTTTTCCCCCTCAGGTTGAATAGAATCCTACCCGTTTCCCGCCTAAATTCAGCGCCCACCTGAGGAGAGCGTCGGAGTCGACCGTTGAATTTAGGCGGGAAGCGGGCAGGATTCTATTCGACCTGAAGGGAAGCTCCGTCTGAGGGAAATTGCGGCTTTCCCTCCCGCCGTCGCAAAACTCCCCCAGATATATAGGGAAAGAAGGAAACAAATGTCCCCACTGCTTGCCCCACCTTCGAGATAGCCCACAGCCTAATTAGAGGTCTGGAGAGGTTCAGTTTCTTCTCAGTTTGAAAATAGCCCTTCTCTAATCTGATCCTCAAGGGAAATGCGCTCTGCACTTGCTCAGGGACACTTCAGCTGCTCTTCACGCGTTCCAGGGATCGCTTAGTACTCATTTCTTAAATTTATAATCCCGCCCTTCATTGCAAATGAGCCCAGGGAGGCAAACACTTCTTTAATAAAACAATACAATTAACGACTAAACAAACAAAAAAAGAACTTCCAAAAGCAGTTTAAAAACCTCTGGGGAGAAATTCACCTGCTCTCACAGCTAAACAGGGATTGTGTCCAACTTAAGTCCTGCTCAGGGTAAACCTGTGGAATTTAATTGATTTAAATGAGTCACACCCTCTATTGTATGGTACATACAGTGTATTTATAATTGTTGGAAACCACTTGGATATTGTTATGAGTATATACACATTTATTAAAAATAAATAGCCCTCTGTGGGTCTGCTCTGAGTAGGACTAGCATTGGTGCAACCCAGAATTGCCAGGGACAGTATCTGTCGGCCTTCAAATGCACCGGATCAGGGGTCAGCAAACCTTTTCAGCAGGGGGCTAGTCCACTGTCCCTCAGGCCTTGTGGGGGGCCGGACTATATATATTTTTTGGGGGGGGGAATGAACAAATTCCTATGCCCCACAAATAACCCACAGATGCATTTTAAATAAAAGCACACATTCTATTCATGTAAAAACACCAGGCAGGTCCCACAAATAACCCAGAAATGCATTTTAAATAAAAGCACACATTCTACTCATGTGAAAACACGCTGATTCCAGGACTCGTCCGTGGGGCGGATTTAGAAGGCAGTTGGGCTGGATCCGGCCCCCAGGCATTAGTTTGCCTACTCATGACCTACGCAATATTCAGCAGCTATGGCTTACCTGATTGTGTGTAATAGTTTTAGCTGCCCTTTATTCACATGTCACTGGTTAGAATAATTGTATTTATAATTTAGTCGGCACCTTTCATCCATGTTACTCAAGGCAATGAACAATGTTATTTCCCTCTTCTCCTACCTCATTCCCGGTTACACACATACTTGGAATAAAAAGCACTCAGATGGCAGGCTAGAAAAAGGCCTTTGCCTTAAACTAGGACAGAAGAAGGGAGACTAATGGTCTATGTGACTCAGTATAAGTACTGTACAAAGTTAATGAGTGTGGCATGCAGGGATAGTGAATAGCATAAAGCTTCACTTCTTACTGAGAACCACATTTTCTGAGTATTGGAAATTGGTTCAGTTACTGCTTTGAACCATAATAATATTATAAAGAATTGTATAGTCTTCCAGGTTTGAGCCCCAGGTTGGGCAAAAAGATTCCTCCATTGCAGGGGGTTGGACTAGATTACCATTGGGATCCCTTCCAACTCTACAGTTCTACAATTCTATGATTGGGGGACCATAGAGCCGCTGGCACCCAGATCATTCAGTTCCTGACAGAAGTTAAATGAATGCTGCTCAAGAAAGATATTACACAAGCGAATTTTTTATGTTCACAGCAAGAACCTCTGGCCACTCGTGATAAAACACTCAGCCATGTCAAAAGTTCAGATCTCATATTTTTTGCCACCACTCAAAACCTTAGGTACGAATGTGGGTGAGAACTCTTGAGAAATTCCTAAGGCAGGGGAGAGGTGATGCTCTTCCCCACACTCCCTAAATTTTGTATCGAATCTGCATGCACACTTCATAGCGGTGCTTAATTTGTGTCAAACACTCAGCCCCTTCAACACCATGACTTAAACATGGGCATTTGCCCACTTAGCCGTGAACTGTGACAGGGTCTTCTTGGTGGTGCTTTTATTTAAAATGCATCTCTGGGTTATTTGTGGGGCATAGGAATTTGTTCTTTTCTTCCCCCCAAAAATATAGTCCAGCCCCCCACAAGGTCTGAGGGGCAGTGGACCGGCCCCCTGTTGAAAAAGTTTGCTGACCCCTGGCATAGGTCAGTCTTGAAAATCAGCCTCCAAAGCTTAACGGTCTTCAAAAACTTTTGCTAGCCTGCCATACTTATGGTAATCATTTGGAGTCTAAAATTGGGGCAGCCAGGGAACAGCTAAAATCCCTGGTTGCCTAGAAGTAACTCTTTCTTATCACAGGCATATCTGTCTTCCTGTAGGTCCAATACTCCTTGGAAAACAGTTAACTGAACGAATATGGCTACTGCTCAACTCTTGCATATTGGGCAGAAGCCCAAAACTTTGAAGGTACAAAGCAAACTTGTAGTATTATTTTAAGAAGAAAATGTAGACCTCCAATTTATTTATTTGTCTTCTAAAGCAAATAGGAAATATGTTTTCATCATTTTCAGGAAACGTCTCTGTTTCCAAACAGAGTTGCCACTGAGCAGCAGTCTATGGTTTTGGTGAAAAGGCTGCTAGCAGTTTCAATCTCCTGCATAACTTACCTCCGAGGGCTCTTCCCAGAAAGCTCTTATGGAACCTGCTATTTAGATGGTAACTTTTGCTGCTTTTGCCTTTTCTGTTTCATTGAGCTCTTGAGTTATTACATGTCAGGCGTATCCACATTGAAGTTTAGGGACGCAGGTGGCGCTGTGGTCTAAACCACTTAGCCTCTTGGGCTTGCTGATCAGAAGGTGGGTGGTACGAATCTGCATGATGGCTTGAGCTCCCGTTGCTCTGTCCCAGCTCATGCCAACCTAGCAGTTCAAAAGCACGCTGGTGCAAGTAGATAAATAGGTACCGCTGTGGTGGGAAGGTAAACGGTGTTTCCGTGTGCTCTGGTTTCCATCACAGTGTCCTGTTGTGCCAGAAGCAGTTTAGTCATGCTGGCCATATGACCTGGAAAGCTGTCTGTGGACAAACGCCGGCTCCCTCGGCCTGAAAGCAAGATGAGTGCCGCAACCCCGTAGTCACCTTCGACTGGACTTAACTGTCCCCGGGTCCTTTACCTTTACCTTACATTGAAGTTTAATGTGGATTTGAAGCTGCTCTCTCTGTCTTTGTCTCTGTCTCTCTCTTTGCAAATATAGTGAGATGTACACATAGAAAAAGCACAATACTTCCGAGTTCCAACGGAAGAGCAGTTAGGTTGAACTTGAAGCCACCTGTCTGGGAGCAGCCAATATTTGGTACCTGGAAATCAACTTGGCAAATACCAGTTAACTGCATTGTTTTTCTTCCTCCAGACATGTGCCTAAAAATTCTTCGAGAAGATAAAAGCTGCCAGGGTTCACTCCAGATAGTCAAGTGGTAAGAAACAGAAACCCCAAATGATCAAGAAGATACCATAGTGGATATTGATTGTAGCAGATGCCTGGCTCTGCACAAACTCTGTACATACATCCCCAACCAAGGATGGTACAAAAACCAGAGATTTATATAATCCTTACTATTGATTAACTGGGCACAGGCTTTACATTCCAGAGCATTCCTTCATTTTGTTTGCTATGAGCTCTAAACTCCATTTGGCAACTAAGAATGTTATCACTTTATATATATATTTGGATGAATGTTCATTCATTAATATATCTGCTCCAGCAGGATTCAAGGGTGCTTTGATGCGCTGGAAAAGAACTATGTAAGTTTTGATTTCATTTATATTAAACCGTGTTTTAAGTATCATGAGATTTCACCACAAGGTTACAGAAGGCAGGGAAACCTCACTGCAAAATTGTCTGCTCTTCACCTCTTGCTTTGAATGAATTGTCTTGACCAAAGAAAACTGTTCCTCTAGAGCTGTAAGGTTTGCCTATGCCAGGGGTCTGCAACCCGCGGCTCTGGAGACGCATGTGGCTCTTTTACACCTTTGCCATGGCTCCGGGGCGGATACTAGCGAGGGAGGAGGTGCATTGTGCGCCCCGACACTCCCCACTGTCGCGGGCGCTGTACTGGCTGTGACGTCACATGGGGGCGGTGCATGCGTTAGTCACGCACCGTCCCGACGTCACCTTCCCGGTTTTGCGGCTCCCAGTTTTTTTTCCTTCGGAAATGGGTCCAAGTGGCTCTTTTTGTCTTAAGGTTGCAGACCCCTGGCCTATGCCATGTCGGCAACTGGAGTAAATATGGAGATGTCCATGAATCAAATCAATTTGCAGATTATTCTGCTGCATGTTGTGCCTGATAGTCAGTAATTCAATAAGTAAGTTCGAACCAGACTCGTAATATATATATTATGATAATAAAAAAATTAGATGACCATATCCCAGTCCAAAAGTGCTGCTTGATATGCAGATATTGAACAGATGAAGTTTTTCTCTAAAGATGGAGATTCACTGACAGGAAAATCACATTTGCAAAAACAGTTGTCAAAGCATCATTTAAAGAAAAAGATACCTGTCCTAGGTACTTTTCTTTGCTTAGTGCTTGTTACTTTGGTTGCTTATTTTTTTAAGTTATAATGCTAGTTCTTTTGCTATACACCGATGGCCAAGCCAAACACTCTGCAGGATCTCCTGACATTT